CTATCTGTAACTGCATCCTCACTTTCCTTTTTGTAGAGTGAAAAAGAATATAACTGCTTTTACTTCTTAATCCTTTAATTCAAATCCTTTTTTAAATGCATTGAAAAAAAAAACACAACATTTTAGGCGAAATTGTTCAACAACTTAGTTTTGAAAGTTGTTCGGAATTATGTAACCAAGAACTGTTTTTAAGGACACACAAAAATGCTGTGTAACTACAGTTTGTACTTCACCTCTGGCGTTTGAATAAAACAAAGCGAATATTCAAGCAGCGGAGAGTTGTCATCCCTGATGTCGCCCCTAGAAATTTTAAATTCTGTAGGTATTCGGAGCTTTTGGAGGTGTTGTTGTTGTTGTTGTTTTGTTTTTCCCGGGGGGCTGTGAGGTGATTCACTTCAGGCGGGAAGGGGCGGGGCCGCTCCTCCCGGCCGCCAGGGGGCGGTGCGGCGCGGGCGACGGTCCGCAGGCCGGCAACATGGCGGGGCCGCCGCCCTTCAGCGGCCGCTTCCCGCCGCCGCCGTTCCGGCCCTTCCCGCCGCCGGCGGGGCTCTTCCCGCCGCCCGCCACCCCTTTCCCCGGGCCCGCCGCCCGCCCAGGGCCCTTCGCGGCCGCGGCTCCCCCGCCCTTCCTCCTACCGCCGTTACCGCCGCCGCCGGCCGGACCTGAGGGCGAGGCGGGGCCGCGCTTCCCGCCGGGCGGCGGCCCGTACTTCCCGGCGGCTCCGCCGTTCCCGCCGCGGCCTTTGGCTGAGGAGGAGGCGGCGGCGGCGCAGCGGCAGCAGGACGAGCTCTGGCTTTCGCAGTTCCTGAGCCGCCGCCGGGCCGCTCCCCCCTCCCCGCCGCCTCGCCCCGCCGCCAGCCCCAGCAGCGCCCGGCAGCTGGCGGTGGAGGCCCTGGGGCGGGTGGCGCGGCTGACCCAGCTCTGCCGGGCCCTGCGGCGGCAGGAGGCCGAGGGGGACGAGGCGGGTTGGGCCCAGGCGCGGGAGGAGGCCGAGGCAGCACGAAGGGAGCTGCGAGAGGTCGTGCGGCCCCTGAGGGAGCCCGGCTACCGGGAGGAGCTGCGGAGGAAGGCCGAGAGGGTGAGGAAGAGGAGGCTGCGCCTGCAGCGGAGGAAGCAAGAAGCTAAAGCGGCCAAGGAGGAGGAGGTTGCCCGGGCCGCCGAGCGGGAGGCGAAGATCGACCAGTGGAGGGCCAAGTGCATCCAGGAGGTGGAGGAGAAAAACCGGGTACGGCCTGAGGCTGTCTGCCGCAGGCTCCCGGGGGCTCCTGTGCATTCCTCTGGGGTTCAGGGCAGCGTGTGGAGCTGGGGGAGACCCAGCCCAGCACCTGGCTTTGGCCCCGGCAGGTCAGCAGGTGCCACCTGGGTGCTGCACGGGTTCGGCTTGCTTGGAGGCATGCCATGTCGGAGGCCTGCAGCCTTGCTCCACCCTTAAAAGCCTTCGTGGGCATCTCTGCTTGGCCTTGACAGTTGGGGTTGAAGTGATTTCTGAACTCTCAGTTGTGTGGGGAGGTCTTCCTCTTCAGTCCTGAGCTGTCAGCCTGCCCCACGCTGCTCACAGCTACCCTGTGGTGCTCAGCGCCATTTCAGTAACTATAAGCTGGTTTTGTCCTTGTAAAACTTGTTGTTTGCAAACTTTTTGGTCTCACTGGGACATAAAATGGCTTCAAAGCAACAAACCCCCTCAAATTAGGCTTGCAGGGAAGTGCTGGAGGCACCTTTGTGTTGGCTGTTGGCTAAAGAGCTGCCGTTCTGCTGGTGCTAGGTCTGCTGCTGGGATGGTACAGAGCAACTGTTGTGAAAGGGTTTGTGCTCAGACTGTGGCACGTTAATGGTGTTTAATTGCTGAGCTTTAGAATTGGAATGGTTTGTGTTTGATGTTAATGTTTATCCTAAAAGATTATCAGGCGTTGTGAATTCTATAGCCGTTTGGCCCAAGTTTGAGTTGCTCAGCATTCTGGTTTTTTTGTTTCCTGATGTCTGTCATGTTTTGGCTTTTTCATAAAAAGGCATGGTTGGATGGTTGGCTTATCTTGATATGGCTGTGTTACTAGGAAGTTATTCTGCTCTCCGCAGCTTCACTGATCTTTTTGACAGTACCATTTCATTCTTGTCTGTGTGGGATATTTCACACATAACGTCTCGGGCTTTTTCTTTCTTTTATAGGAACGAGAACTTAAGGCTGCTGCGGACAGTGTCTTATCTGAAGTACGGAAAAAACAAGCAGACACAAAGAGGATGGTGGACATCCTGCGCGCGTTAGAAAAGCTTCGGAAACTGAGAAAAGAGGCTGCTGGCAGGAAAGGTTAATTACAAGATTTTTACTAAACTTTTTAAATTGTGCACACAGGAAATAAGGTGATATGCGTGCCCTGTGCTGACTAGCAAGGCACATCTTGAAAAAGCGGTTTCTTTGTTGGTGATTTTATTTACATTGTTATGCAATAATAGCTATTAAATGCTGAATACAGTGGTTGCATTCCTACATGTTCAAGCTCTTTCCTGATACAATTATTCCAGTAAGATAGTTGTTAGAAAGGTTAAACTCATGTTCCTGTGAGATTTTGCCAGCTCCGCTCTCAAGTCTGATAGCAGAGCCCCTTCTAAATTTGAAAATGTAAGATTAATTCTCTTTCTGTTCAGGTGTTTGTCCACCTCCCTCAGCAGACGAAGCATTTGAGAATCAGGTGGAGAGCCTCAAAACATTGCTCAAAAATCGCACAGAGCTGTATGAAGCTGAGGAGAGAGCATTAAGAGTTATGTTGGAGGGAGAACAAGAGGAAGAAAGGAAGAGAGAAATGGAAAAGAAACAGAGAAAGGAAAGGGAAAAACTACTGCAGCAGAAACTCGAAATTGATTCCAAGCTGTTTGGGGAGCCAGGTAAATTCTGCATGCCATACTTCACAGTGTTTTTCCACACCACACCCCCTTCTCATAGACACTGAGTTTAAAATGCAAATTCAAAAATAGTTGAGAAAGAAATCATCCGCTGGAGTAATTTATGGTCTGAGGAAAAGATGAGATAAATATAGTGTGCTATTAACACATGTGATGTAAGAACTGTTTAGCTCTTCAGTGTAGACTGTAGTATATCTCAAGCCAATTTCATAATGTTTTGCAAGAAGAGGTTGTAGATTAAGCTGAAGTGAGAATAAACAGAATAGATTGAAGACTTCCAGCACCCAACAGATGCCTTAGTCGGGTGATTTGGTAAGTGTGACTCAGGTAATCTGTAAAGATTCAGTGTCCATATGTTCCCCTTGTTCAGAGGATGGAGGCAGGAAAAGTTTTGTTAATCTTGACTTGCCTCTGACAGCTCTGGTAAGGATGAGGAGATGTGCAAAATAGTCCTTTATATCCTACATAGGGAAGTGGTTTCAGATTACAACTGGGGAGCAGCAAACAAGTTGGTAAATTTGAGACTTCTGAGAGTTACTAGAATCAAAGGTCTTTCTGGTTTATTGAATGATATCTATGTGTTTTAACAGATGAATTTCCTCTAGCCCACCTCTTGCAGCCCTTCAGAGAGTATTACTTACAAGCTGAGCATTCTGTAGCAGCTCTAATCCAGATCAGGTAAAACCAAACAGTCTTTTATTATCAGAGATGATAAGTGTTGTTTGTTGAGACTGTAAAATTATGGTCCCTTTTGGTTCGCTGACTTCCAAACATGGTTATGCAATGAATTGTCCTGCTTTTTTTTCCCGCTAAGGATCAAGCTTCTCACTTGATAGAGTTGTATATAACAGATGCTTGTGTGAGGCAGAGTGCACTTCCATGCATAACCATTCCATTTAATAGAATAATACGTGCAGTTTGCACATTTGTGTTTTGAAAACCAAGTTTCAGAGTACAATTTATAGTGTTTTGTGTATTGATCAGTATGGAAAAATACCTGTGTGGGTATATAATAAATCTTATTACCAAACTCATCCCGGCTCTCCTCTCAGACAGTGCTTTCTCTGTTAAAGGCATGAATGGGATCAGTACTTGGTGCCAGCTGATCACCCTGAAGGAAGCTGCATCCCTCCAGGATGGGTTCTTCCGAGTCTCCCCACAAATGACACTTGGGCCACTGCTGTCAGATAATTTAGCCATAAATTATTTTAATGTTGGAGGAATGTTTCATTATAATTGCATGTGTAAATATGAGAAGGTCCAAAGAGAAAGTCTTATCCTCTGTTTCGGTAGCCAGGCACTGGAATGTCCTGAAGAAAAATGTAAGGACTGTTTTTGCTGTCTGACTCTGCAGGGGAATACCTGAGCAAGCCCAAAGCTGCTAGGCCTCTCGTGGTATGGAATTACAATCCCTTTGCAAGTTTTTGTTAAGAAATCTCCATCTTAATAAAGAAACATTGCTGACAAGGGTATTTGTGCCAGTATTAACATCCTATTTTTAGTGGCTTTTATCTTTATAAGCCTAAATCCAGATGATGAAATCTCCAGAAATAAAGAAGTTTTTTAAAAAAAGAAGACATCATTAGTAAACATGTTTTTCTTCTGAAATGAAGCATGTCAAGCATCACTGTCAAAATAGTTCCTGTACTTTTGTGTGTAGAAATGAACCTATTACAAGTTTAAACAAATGCCAGAGTACAAACAAGACAGGGTTTTTCAAGGCTGATTAAAGCAGCTGTTGACATTTTACTTTTGTGGACTAAAACTGGTACCACAACATGGAAAAAATTCCCACTTGTGGTGAAATAGTTCAGACAGCCATGCGAATATATATAATAAATTCGATGAGTAAGCCTGTTAGAAAAAATACAGTAAAATCTGAAGTCTAACCTACTGTAATTGTTCTTACCTATTTAACTATTTTTGTATAGGGACAGATCATGTATATAATACCTGATTAAGAAACGCAGCTCTATTTTGTAAGTTGTTTTTCGTACAGAATAAATAGAGAAAAATTGAATTTTTTTTTTTGTTTGAAGTGTTTTTACTTCGAGAGAGAGATTTGGTTTAGTATTTGGCATCAGAGATGACTCCAGTGCGGAGAAAATTGCTGGCAAAAGGTGTATGTGAAGGAACTTCTCCCTCCTACAAGGAGGCATCTGATTTCAAAGCCTTCCATGTTCTGGACAGTTTGCTTGCAACAGCCGTGGGCCATATGGGATTGGGGCTTTGCTGGTCTACGCAGATTGTTGAGGCATCTTCCCAGAACTGCAGTCATTACTCTTGCTTAGCCCTCAGATGTGGGAATGGATTTAATCTCTCTAATTCCTTAACTCTTCGTATGGCAACATCATGTAATTCATGGAGGAGGCAACACGTATTTGCCTAAATTCAACACTTGGGCCCTGTATGTAACGCTGGTAGTTTATTGGTTAAAGCTTTGTGTTGATTTCTGTAAGAACATACAAACAAGTAATTCTTGATAGAATTAATTTGGGTGCAGAAGTTTGTAGTTCTTGCTCACCCCAAAATATAGATTACTGTGAAGTCCTTTGGAGGGAGAGGTTCCGATTTGCATGTCCATACATGCCATCCCATCTCGTTGCTCCAAGACCTATGGCTGGATCAGATCCTGGCGAGTCTTACCTGATGAAAAAGCAAAAGTTCAAATAGTGTAAAAACAATTGCAGAAAGAACGCTTTCAGTTCAGGGAGCTTAGTGACCGGAGGTTGCTCTGCTTAAATCATTAGGCTCCTTATGCCATCAGCCCGTCTGATGGGACTGGCTAACTGCTTAAGATAAGATAATAAAGCTGTCAAATGCTTGTCTGACACAGCAATAATTTAAAGAACTGATAACAGGCAGCGTAGAAGCAACCCTGTTCTCCCTGCCCTGTGGGAAGAGCTCCATGATTTTTTCTGACGGTAAGGCTAACTTCATATTGTTAATAAAAATAGGACTTGAAAATGCCAGCAGATGATGTACATTTAGGTATATCTCAATCCCTCAAGCATTCTGTGGTTTGTTCTACATATTTGCTCTTGTCTAGTGACGTCTGCATTAAAATGTTTTATATTTTTAGTGAGGAAGATGTTAAAGCCACAGATGGAAGAGGAATGTTTAAAATCTTAACTCATATAATACATGGAGACAGTGTATTAATTCTTAAAAAAACCCTCGTGTATTCAGATTTAAGATTCAGATTTATGCAACTATAGTATTTCCTAATATTTTTAACTTTTTAAAAGTTACCGTAGCCCAGAAGAAAAGAGGGGTTGGCTCTGAGTTTCCAAGACTCATTTGCATCCTATTCCTTCCCTGCTTCCAGTGTGGTTTGGGTTTCTCATGCTTTTCAGGGACATCCTCTTCCTGATAGGAGTTTGTCCGTTCGCCAGACGGTATCTCTGGTGAGAAAGCCGGCAGGGCTGGCCTGAGGCAGATGAGGTCAGAACCCTTGTAGAATTTGCTTTCTGGTGTAAGTCGGTGTTTACAGCTGACCCTCTTTTATTCTTGTTGTGTAGCATTTCTGTTGTCATCGCTCCTCACCCCAACGTACTTTTTTTCTAAATAGTGGCTTTGGGAATTAACACTTGTGGGAGCCTTCCTCAGTATTCATGCAGTGTAATACAGTATTTTCTTCATCATGGCTTCAGACATACTCACTACCTATCCCTTAAAGAGGCATTTAAACCCAAGTAAAGCCGTTCCAGGGGACAGACCACGAGATGCTCTTTTTCCTTTGCACCTTTGTAGCTCGCAGCTTTCGGGAAGAGCCGATTTACAGCGTAAGCAGCAAGGAGGGTCTGTCCCTCTTGCAGGCAGAAGCTGCACGGCCATGCGGAGGAGCTGGAGAAAGCTGGGGGGAAGGTGGCTTCGCTTACAGATGTTTCCACGTGTTGTCTTTGTCAGCGCTGACGTGAATTGTAACTTAGGCTGACCTCTCTTAGGCCGGGGAGCAGATGGCCCGGCTCCGTGTAGGCTCCCCACACGTTGCGTGTGTCGCGTGTGAGCAGCAGTACATGTGCCGGAGCCGCAAAGCTCTGCCTGCGCCACAGCCCCGGGTATTAAAGGCTCCTGGCGTAAGCAGGCGAGCAACAACTTGTAATTCTGTGAAGAGCAACTGAGCTGAACCAAGTGATTGTGCGTGTCGCTCTTTCTTTGTGGTTTAGAGGCAGCTCATTAGTCCTTTGCTAACATAGCAACCAACCTTGAATGCCATTTCCCATTATCGACCCTTAGTTTTACATCGAACCGGCAGCTTTTTCTTCCCTGTGTACATTCATCTGCTTATTTTCTTGTTGTGGAGTGTTTATCCTCATTGTCATAGAAGCCATTTATTTTTAAAGGAAAAAAAAAAAAAAAAAAAAAAGAATTGGTAAAAGCACTTAGGGATGTCACACCAAGCAGTTACTGCTTGTCTTGAGGATGACTGCTGAGGACTTTGGGATGAACGGGCCCAGGCTGCAGAACTCGGTGGAAGACTGACCATTGGCTCTTGCCAGTTGACAACGTATAAAGGAAATTATTTTGCACACAAGAAGCTGGGGACTCGAGGCTTCATGCAGCAAGTAGTGGCTTTGTATTAAATCGAGATGTTTATTCAGAGCTGATGGCTATGCTATTGCAGTAGTATTTGCCATGCCACCACTCCCAGTTCGTCAGAGATTTTTCTCTCCCCTGCTGTTCTTGATCTAAAAACATCACTGCACTTAAAATGAATGGATGGTTCTTAAAAGCTAATCTGGCCTTCAAACGGCTTGTTCAACGTCTCTCTAACACCGAAGCTTGCCTGATGCACCTTGTCTGGCTGTTGGTAAGCTGCTGCAGCACTAGAGGGGATGCCCTCGCCCCGGCTCCCCCGGGCTGCTCTGTGTGACAGCTTAGCAGCACGTGGCCACATGCGTGAGCTCCGTGGGTGCTCTCGGGTCACCCAGAGAGAGGAGACCTGTGAGGCGGCCGCCTTGGCTGCCTCTGTGACCGGGAAAAGTGCTCGGTGTGTCCCCAGCTTGGGAAAGGGAGCGTGTGACGGGCAGCAGAGGGAGAGGGGGAGGCGGGGAAGGGGATGGAAAGCAGCAGTGGGAGAAAAACACTCAGGACCTCTGCCAAGTGAAGCTGTAAGCTCGGTCAGGTCCTGTTGGCTCAAGGTTATAGCAAAGGTTAGTTCAGACAAATCTTCCCGCTATCGGTAATTATGAGTGTGCAAATCTGGGCATTGCACAGAGCGTTTTTCACTCGGCTGGCAGCATCTCTAAGGGCTGCGTTCCTTTTACCAGTGTCACTTGAAATAGCTCATCTCTCTCTCCTTCCAGCTGAATAGGTGCCTTTTACGGTTTTGTTTCATCCCTTCCTCCGGCAGCAAGAAATCAGGCGGCAGCAGCAATGAGCTACCTGGATGAAGTTCCCTTCCGAACAGCCACGAGCCTCGATGGGGACTCAGGGGGAGAAAACACTTTAATCACCGCCCCAGCCATCGAGCTCCCCGACTGCACCGACATCCTCATGAGCACCATGGTGAGCTGTCTGCGCCCGGATTCGCTGCTGGGGGGATGCTCAAAGGGATGTCAGTGGTGTTTGCCTTTTCTTGTGAAGGAAGGGAAGGGAAACATCTCCTCCTAATTGATCCTCTTAACTGGCTGGTTTGCGGGAGTGGGAGGAGGTGAGGACGACTTGTGGTGGGTGGGTTGGGAGCAAGGAAGGGGTTGGTTTGGGGTTGGATTTTTTTAATCCAGTCCAAGCAGGAGGGTTGGGTCTTTCTTGTATAGGAGTACACGCTTCAGGCTCTGCTCTGGGATTGTTTTATACTCTGGAATCATCACCGTCTCATTTATTAATAATATTTATTAATAAGAGAGATGTAAGCAGACAACACTACCTGTGCTGATGTTGTGGTTTAACCCCAGCTGGCAATTAAGTTCCACTCAGCTGCTCACTTACTCCTTCCCCCCGCAGTGGGATGGGGAGGAGAACTGGAAAAAAAAAAAAAAAAAAGGTAGAACTTGTAGGTTGAGATAAGAACAGTTTAACGACTAAACCAAAATATAATAATGAAAATTAATATGGCAAAAAGAGAGAGAGAAATAAAATCCAAGAAGAAACAAGTGATGCACAAGGCAATTGCTCACCACCCACTGATGAATGCCCAGCCAGGCCCTGAGCAGCGATCCCCCCTTCCTAGCCAACTCCCCCAGTTTCTGTACTGAGCATGATGTTCTATGGTATGGAATATCCCTTTGGCTAGTTGGGGCCAGCTCTCCTGGCCACGCTCCTTCCCAGCTCCTTGGGCACCTGCTCGCTGGCAGAGCACAGGAAAAAATCGTTAATTTAGGATAAGTGCTACTGGGCAACAACTAAACCATCAGTGTGTTATCAGCATTATTCTCACATTAAATCCAGAACACAGCACTGTACCAGCTACTAGGAAGAAAATTAACTATCCCAGCTGAAACCAGGACAGCTGGTAACAGATAGAGATATAATATGTGTATATATATATTAAAAATATCCTGTGGCACTTTGTGATCTTGCACATTGCTCAGTCCTTAACTGGTTTTGAATATACACCTACTGCTATAACAGCTTTGTCCCCAGTTTTAAACCCCAGCACAAGAATTTGAAGGAACTGGCTGTGCTCTGGAAGGGGGTAGGAAGCCTTTCCTCATATGTTGGCACTGAAGGCATGGAGTTGGCTCTCCGGGTTTACAGGCAGTGCTAGCACAGCTCCAGCTGAAGATGATTACAGAAATACTTTGCGCATTCAGCCTTAAGTAGTCTCACCTGTAGATGGGGTCAGTGCACTTCATGGGGGAAGGCCATCTGGGCGATCCCAAACAGCCTCTGCTCCCTCCTGGTGATGGGTGAACCAGCAGCAAACCCCACATCTGGCTTTTGGCTAGCTCAGCTTTGCTTATCCATCCCCCCCAAATGACACACCCCAAATCCACAGGATGTGGTTAACATGAAGAGTCGCCGGGTTGTTCATTTTCATTAATCTCTTTGAAGGAAATTTTAATGCACACGTTTTTTGCCACCTGTGTAAAGGCAGGTGATAGTCTGCATCCCCGTGGACCAGCTGAGGTGGTCCATCACCTCATCCTGTCCCGGGAAACCCCCAGCCCCAGGTTTCTCCCTGACTGGGGACACATCAGAGCTCCTCGCTGAGACCAAGCGATTGCGCTGGTGGTCCGGGCTGTTCTTTGTCGAGGCACGTGGTGGTGTTTTCCTCGGGGAGGCTGGTTTGGGTCCACAGCTGACAAGTGGCAGGGAGCAGTAAAAACAGCATTCCTGGGCTGTGAATGTACTTGCCTGCCCGTCCGGAGGAGACCTTGTTTGGAGAGCTCTGGGACGGGCAAGGCTTGTTTGTTCCAGGAAAACCCTTGGATTTCAGTCTTATATTTTAAGCTGGACTACGTGGAAATGACAACTCTGTTCTGGAACTGGCAGAGCCCCCAGTGCCACTGGAGATGCCGTAGCCAGTCCTCCCTCTGTCCAAGATGGCACCTCCCCCCTCGGTGGCTCCCAAGCCCCCGTGCCTGAGGTGGCTCTGATGGGTGCCACTGATGGGTGCTGTCCCCTTCCACAGCAGCCAAACTGACACAAAACCATCTCCGAGCATAAAACACCTATCAGAAGAACGGTAAATACAACTCAAAGCAGTAATAACTTTGTAGACAGATTTTTTTTTTTTTCAGCTATAAATTTGGAGATTCCCTGTAGGGATGGGGCTGGCACTGCCCAATCCTACAGCTCTAGTGCCCACAGCCAGCCCTGATGCTCGGGGAAATAGGAGCAAATATGGGAAGGACACAGCCCTCCAGGTGCCCTCCTGAAGCGCGTGGTTTTCCCTGCGCCGCGTGGTCTGGTTTCAGATGCCCTCACCAGCTCCTTCTCCCTCTTCCACAGCACGACTTCTCGCTGGAAAGAAGAGTGCTTTACTGGGTCGAGGTGGCCTCTCAGCAGCAAACCTCCCGGCATTGGGTCACCTCCGAAGTCATCCCCACGGCTCCGCCGTGCTGGCTGCTGCTGGTGGACCCTGCTGACAGCTACGGGGGGAGACCGCGGGACGGGACGGTGCGGCGCTGCATCAGCATGAGCGCTGCCGACGGCAGCTACGGGCACCCCAGGGGCAGAGGCACCTTGTCCGACACCGAGAGCGAGACCCGACACTCGGAGGAGGACGACTACTCGGAGGATGATGAGTATTCCTCGACCTCCTGGGAAGAGAATGAGAGGGATGAAAAGGTTTCCAGGAGGAGAAACACTGTGAGAGGTATGGCTCTGCGTCCCGGCTTTTACCAGGCCCGACCAAAGACATCGCCTGGCTTGCTGGAGCCCTCACCAGATAATGGTGGCCGCAACACAGCCAGCCCGAACCTGAGCAAGCAGAGAAGATCCATGGTGTTATTTAACAACATGAAGAACGAGCTGGAAGCGGCCAGGAGGAAGCTGGCTGCTTTGGTGCATCCTTTGAACAGAACCACCGTGGAGAGGAGAGGGGTCCCGGTGCCACGGCTGCTCCCCCCACGCCTCCGCACCAGCCGCAGTGTCAAGTACGGGCCAGCCCCGGACGTGTCCCACCTGGGGACCTTAGTGCCAGCTCCTCCGGCCGCGCCGATCCCCCCCATCAAGCGGCACAAGCCTACGGTGCCGGTGAGATGTTTTCTTCTGGTAGCCCTCTGCTTGTTGCTGAGACCGGAGGGAGGGGGAGGAAATCAAATTGGTCCCGTTTGCTGAGGTCTGGCCAGCGAAATGGAACCGAAATGGGGCTTTGGGAACACTGAACCCATGAGAAATTGCTAGCGAGTTTTCATAAGAAGTGAAGGAAGGGGGGTTTTTTTGCAGGGATATAAAGACAAGCTTTCTGGGAGCACATTTACTTGCTCTGTCCTAACCAAAACATCTTCGTTTTTCCCAACAAACAAGGTATCTTATTTGATTTTCAATTAAAACACTAAAAAAAAAAAAGTGAAATAAGTTTTTTTCCCCTCTTTCCTCTTCATTTTTCCCCCTCTAACAGATATAAATGGGGTTTATGGGGAAATGCCTCCTTACAGCTATCATGTCTTTCCTAGGAAACTTTGGACTTCACAGTCCTATTAGAAATACACATCATTTAGTGATAGAGACAGTGATGTGAAATGATGGTGTAAATATTGCTTTGTCACCTTAAAGCTGAATTGCACCATGTTTTTTAAGAAATTATATCTCATCTAGCTACTTGAGGCATTTAGGAGATGAATTACTGAAAACCCACAGCTAACACTATCAGAGACATGAAACGCCAGGTTATTTATATGTAGTTGCATTAGACGTAGGTTAATTAAGAAAGAGTAAAAAGCCCGTGTGTATTTGTACATCGCCCACCCTGCTCAGCTGCTGTTACATGAGCGTCACGCTGAATGCTAAAGCCTCAACCTCAGGCAAGAGCATGCATGTGCAAGGTCATTTCTGGAGATGGCTTTGTAACAGAAACCTAAATATATCTGATAAATGTCACGGGCATAAACAGGGCATCAGGGGAGCATCTTCCTGCCCAGGCTGCTGCATCACCTGTCCGAAGGCAGCGCTGCCTCTTGCTTGGCTGGTTGGGGCCAAGCATGGTATTTATTGCTGGAGGGATGACCAGGATTCCCAGGGAAAGGAAGCTGCTTTTGCTCGCTTTGCCCCATGAACCCTCCTGAGTGCTGTTTTCTCTGATCTGTATCTATAGCTGAGCCTGGATTTAATTAAGTCCAGTCTCCTTTGATGCCCAAGGGGGTTTGTTGCATGTATGGGAATTTTCCTCTTCTGGAGAGAGCAAAGTACCTGCGAGCGTTTAAAAGCATTGCTTCAGCCTGGGTGGTTTTATGTCATGTCATGAGCTGGAGCGAGAAGACCATCGGCTTTTTTTTTTCTCTTGCAGTCCCTCAGCCCCTACGCCTGCCTCCCCCCTGCCTCCACGCCTGCGCAACCTCTCGATTCCTACAGATCCCAGTCGGATTCGGCAGCTGACCTGCTCTCGGCGCTGAGCCAAGAGGAGCGAGACCTCATCGAGCCTGTTATAGCCTTGGGCTACCCCATCCACAAAGCCATCCTCACCCTCCAGAAGACTGGAAGGCAAAGCTTAAGTCAGGTTGGTGGAACTGGCACGGCACCGCGAAAAGCTTTTGGTAAAGAAAAACTTGATTTTGATGGAGAAAGGGATGGCTGTCTTGCTTGGGGTGGACTTCTGATGGCCTTGGCTTTCCCACTTTGGTATCAGACCTCAGTTGACAGGGTTTTGCATGAGATCACACGTTTGCACTTTTGCTGTAATGAAATAGCAATGAGTCGCCCTCAGCTTTTCAGCAAGTAATAACGGCTGGGTAACGTTATCTGTTCAATCTGTTGTATGGAGCATGGTGTCCTTTTGAAGTACAAATTTTGCCCCCGTATATGGAAACTTTTTGCACATCATTTTTTCCTGGCTGTTAGATTCATATGAGTATTGCCATGGCTCATCCTGTCAGAGCGGGACTGTACGAATACCTTGGAGATTTGTCTGGGCTCTCTCCAAAACACAACTTCCCTGTCTTGGAGCAACCAGGGACTCTATGCAAGCATTGCTGCTGGGTCTCAGAGCTCTTTTCCTGACGAACCCTCCATAATAACCTGGAATTCATTTCAAGTAATTAGCATACAAGCTCTTTTTACCCCTGGTATCTGAGTACATCACAGCTTGCTGTCCTTTATCCCAATTCCCAAGGTCTCTGCTTGTCCAGACGAACCCTCGGGGGTCCAGGTGAGCTCCAAGCATCCGTGCCATGAGGGATGCTGCTGTCTCTGACCCTCTGGCGTGGCAAGCTTGGGGCTGGACCTGCCCATCCCAGCAGAGGATTTAATAGGGCTGAATTATCCAAGTAGCTCTTGCAGAGAGAGAAGAGGCTTGATCGCAGCTTAGCAAAAGGGATGTCCACTGGGCTATTGTGCCAGAGCAGACCCTGGGCAGAAGTGTGAGCAGGCAGCCCCCTGGTCAGCTGCCAGTCTCCTTCCCGTGCTCCCAGGGAGCTGCCTGTGCTGCGGGGGCCAGCTCTTACCCATCTGGTCAGTGCACGAGGCTGCTCTGCAGCTGAGTCATCACGCAGCTTCTGGCTCCCTCCTGAGTCAGCCCTGGCTGGACCAGCCTCCCCAGACCCTCGCTGGTGTTTCAGGCAATTGTCGCTGCAAGCTGAGACGGGAAGGGAAGCTTTATTTCTTCAATTCATAAAGGTTTCATCTCGGCAGAGGGAGATGGGCAGAGCCCAGCCCTGATTCTTTGTGTGCAAGGGTGTCTTGGAGCAACTGCTGTCTCAATATGAAGGAGCAGCGCATTTTATTAAGGATGGAAATGAGTACAGTCTGCTCCCTTCTGTGTAGACACAGGGACTCCCATCCTCTAGGAGAGGTGCTTAATGCACCCAAATACAAGGTCTGCCTTATGTCCTGTGCCTTCTTCAACAGAAGTTCCCATTTTTCCCATTTATGCGCAATACAGCCAAGATAACATGTAAGGCATAGCCCTTCATGCCTCTCTTACAAGTACTAAACTACCACATTAGACAAAACCTTCCTGGAAAATATGTTTCAAATCAAGTTAAAAACAAGAGCTGTGGGCGCTCTTCATTGCTTGTTGGTGTCACGTGGGGTTTCAGTGTGTGACGATGACAGCTTCAGCCGTGAAGATTGATTGTAGTACCAGATGGTAGCCAAAAATTGCTCAATTTCTTTGCAGTGTCATGTCAAACTGACGGGGCCCACCCTGGTGGAGAAGGCAAGTCTACTGCCTTAAAGAGGTGATCCCTTCTTAATTTTGGTGGAAGAACCTCTCTAAAAGGCTCAAGCAGGGTTAGTTGCGCCAATGCGCCAGAGGTTCATCACCTAGGATGTCATGGGCAGGGGCTAAACTGAAAATGCATCGTTGCATCTTGATTAATGATCGTTGATCAATCAAAAATGCATCGTTGATCCACGGAGCCAAGAAGTGACAAATGGCTGCAGCTGATCAGCATCCCTCTCCCCAAACAGCCGTGAGCACGGGGTTCAGAGCAGGGCATTCACCACGGGACACAACCCACTGTGCCAGCCACCTCCTGGCCTTGCGCCGGTGGGAACCTTCTTCCTGTGGACTGTTGGACTCTTGAGAAGTCCATAATACAGCAAAATCCATGCTCAGCTGTGTTTCCACAACATGCTCCTGCCCTTTGCCCCCTCCAAAAGAACCTGCTGTCTCACCCCAAGCAATGACCTACATCTTCAGTGCTTCCTACAAGCCTGGCATCAGCCATCTCCACCGGCAGTGGCTCCCCGAGGCTCTCTGACGCTTTTAGAAGTTGTGTCCTTGGTGGTGGTGCTTGCAGCAGTGAATTGAGCAGGGATGTCCGCCGTGGTGCTGGCTGGGGTCTCCCTGTCCCCCCAGAAAGCCTCTGTCCTTAGAAGCTCAGTGCCCAAGGGGTAGTGTCCACTGAGTTTCCGCATCCCCGGCTTGAACCCTGCTGCAAGACTGGGGGGATGTTTACCCCATTCCTCCACGATTAAATCATCACTGGGGTCTTTGGTGGTGTTTGATCATGGTTTTTTCCGTGCTGGCAGCAGGTAGTTTGTGGTCCAGGTGTGTTGGTGAAACGGTTGGTGGTAAGGCTTTGCTCTTCCTAAGCAGCCAGTTGTTGGAGCACCTGAAGCAGGGACCTCATGGGGATGGGCCGTTCTGATGGGTGGTATGGGGAGACGGAAAATCCCACCGGAGGGGTGATTTCCTGCACATCACTGCACATGCTCATCTTTGATGTGAAAAGCTGAATTGCTGCACATAACATCAAGTAGCAGCAAATGAGGGAAGAGACAGATCAGCAGGTTACTGATCTACGAGAGCCTGGAGGTCTCTTCCCACATGAGCAGCCTGTGATGAGGTTATTGGGCTGGCCGTGCAGTGGGTAAAGCCAAACTCTACAGAGGTGCCTGTGCTGGAGGAACTTCACGCCTGAGCGTTATAAGGAGCCTCCTTGAGAGCTACAAGGGGAAAAGGAGTTTCAGGAAGGCAGTGGCACCTCCTCCTCCTCCTCAGTGAGCAGTGGGGCTGGTTCTGGACCCAGGAGGTTAGCAGATCATAGTATTTAAAAACCTGTTTTTGTTTAGTCTTGAGGATATATATATATTATTTTTTTAATGATAAAAATCACTGAGTTGACAGCAGCACCGGTTTCATGCTGGGCTTGAACAGGCTGCCAGGACTGTCTGTGTTCTGCCGTGAGCAGCTGTCCCTGCTGCAACAGGGCAGGAACATACAGCAACGATCTGGGGTTTTTAGTTAGTAAAGTAACAAGGAAAATAAAAACAAGTTACGAATGCCAATGACGAGTGACTATCTCATTTTTGGGTTAATAAGCTGCTCCTTAAAGCTGACATTTCTTAAAATCCTTACTCTGCTGCTGAGCCAAACTAGATCAACTCAACATTTGAGGGACTTTTTCAGCTTTTTCACGTGTTCTATAGCTTTTTACTCAATCCTTCTCCTTGGCTACAGCGGTGCTGGGGAGGGTGGAGGTCTGCATGCTGGTGGATCTGGGGAGATATGAATCAGCTTCTCCTTGGATGAAGATGGCACAGCTTCAGGGAGACCTGTGGGATGGTTTTATTCCCCCTGCTATTGTATAGCTCATTTATTATTGTCTGTCCCATATGTTTTTGGACAGTGAATGATTCTCGTGGTATTTAAAAGATACCGCTGGGAATAGTGCTGTCAGCACTCCAAGAACAATGAGGAAAGCCAAAAATAACTGTTTACTTTCAGCAGTGATAGCACACGGGTCTCCCCTGGGGTGGCTTTTGTGCTTGGACCCTGGAGCGAAGGCCCAAACCCTGGCACATCAAAGGGATGCTAGGTCACCCGAGGGTGGACATCTCACCGGGACAGGCTCTGCTTCACCCCGCAGCCTGGAGGCCATCGCTTCGTATCTCAGATGGTTTAGATATTTGGTTTGCTCCTCATCCTCCCCCCGCCTTGTTCCTGTTCCTGCCCTGGGAGAGTTGGGGGGACGGGGATGTTGTCTTCTCCCAGTGAGAGTCCTGCTGACAGACAGAACCGCCCTGGCTGAGCATCAGATGGGAACTGGCAGGATGGTTGTGGCCCAGGTTCTGCCCATGAGTGTGTCCCTGGGAGGTGGCCAGGTGGGCTCCTGAATGCACTCGCTCCCCACGTCCGCGAGGTTGGATTAACCCTGATTGTCTTCCTCTGCAGTTCCTGAGCTACCTGGGTGCCTGTGACCGGCTGCTGAAGCAGGGCTACGAGGAAGGGCAGGTGGAGGAGGCCATGGAAATGTTCCAGTACTCAGAGAAAAAGGTCAGAGCAGGATGGCACAGCCCAGCCCTTTGTGCTGCATCCTCCGGGCTCGCGTTTCCAGCGGGCTGCATGCTCCCCTCCTCCTCTGCCGCCCCTCGCGCAGCTCCCGGCAGGTCAGACCCTTTGCCCTGCCACCAGCGCGCCCCGCAGTCGCAGCAGACCCCCCAGGGCAGCATCACCATAAGGACCCCCTGGGGAAGGACACCCACTCCGTGGCTTTTCTCCATCCATCCTCTCCCCGGGCCGTGCAAGCACGATGCTCGCTCAGCCACTGCACGGGGAATCCCCCACCCCGAGCCCACCAGCACCCGCGCTCGCTACCTCCCCCCCATCTCCCCCTTTGCATTCACCCCCCCAGGGAAAAGAACCATGATGGCACGCTGGGCATTGGTCTCCATCATCAGTCTCCTCCTGGGGATAACAAAGAGCCTGGGAGGGTAGAACTGCTTGAAATTTGGGCTGAGAGTGTTTGACGTGATGCTGATGGCACGTAGGATTCCGGCTCACGGCTCGTTTGGGCCGTGGCAGCGGGAGGGCACCTGGGTCTCGGTGTCAGGCAGGGGGTTATTTACTGAGGACACGGCTCCAGGAGATGTTGTGGTGCTGGGGCCCAGCCTGAGCAGGAGGGGAAGCAGGACAAATTAATTCCAGTTTGCACTCACTGCCTTTCCCTGGTCTCTGTAACGCGGACAAACACTTGCATGGAATTCATAGTAAACTTAATAAGGAATAAGTGAAGCGAGAGGCTGACTTAAATAAATATTTCTTATTTAAAAAGTTGATGTAAAGGCACACTTCTAAATGCTAACAGTGGTATGAGTGTCCTTGCTCTGCTGTCAGAGTGCCCTTCAGCAGTAATACAACCCGGCCAGGTCATCTGGCTGCAGCCTCGTCACCCAACACTGCTTCTGCTGCAATGCTACGATAAATCCGTCCTTAAAACCCCATGATAACATCAGTCCTTTCTCTTCCTTCTTCCTCCAGGCAGCTGAATTCTTGCACTTGTTAGCTCAGTTTAACGATATGGGTTTTCAGCAAAATGAAATCAAAGAAGTTCTTTTGCTTTGTGGGAATCAGAGGGAGAAGGCGCTGGAAGAGCTCGTGATGAAAGCCCAGTGACCAGCATCCTGGACCCCAGTCACAGCTTCCCCTCTCCAGACCAGACCTCTGAAGGACCCGGGTGGGTGGGCACACGCGTACCCTTCGGCCGCTCCATCCCCACCCCGAGCAGCGCGGCTCACCGGGCACAGACCTTCAAAGCACTGGCTTGGTGTCTCATTTTATGGAGATCCATCCATCATAAGCATGTTTGTCACCGCACTAAGGCAAAGGCTTTATAGCAGGAGCATTTATCTCTTCACCCACACATCTCCACCCTTGATCAGCTGTTTAGACTAGATGCAGTAAGATCCAAACCGCCTTCAGCTTAGATTTTGCAAAACCCAAACCACAGTTTTCTCCCTCCACCTGGGGTGATGGGTGTCATGTTTTCAACTACAATCAAGTGTGGCATCTTCAAAGATTATATAAATCAACAGAAGAGGTTGTTTTCATAAAAACTGAAGGCTCCTGCAGAAACGTTTGTTGGTCCTTGCTTGGGAAGAGTCTCAGCTGACTTAGTCATGGTTGAATATTGTCATTGAAATTCAGTCTGATCACATTAGTGTCTCCTTTTAAACCAGAAACTTGAGTAAAATACACAATTCAGTGAGGGTAAGGAAGGAAAACAGGCTGTCCTTGCTTTAGAAATATATGAAGTTTTTCCAGTGCAATGACAAATGGCTTATGCAAGGGTTTATGCTCAGGGAATTTAATGAAATTGCAACACGGAGACAGGGAACAGCTCGGCTGTCCTTGTGTTCTGCCCAAATCAGGAAAATTCAGGGGATGCTTCCCTAAACTGTGGAGACAGTGGCTCCAAGTGAAGCTAAGCATCAGTGTCAGGATCAGGAAAATCTGGATGCCCAGGGGAATTTTTGCATGTAACTGAAGGACAGAGAATGGGAGATTCAGATCACCTTACGGGATGCGTCTCTTGGCTTGGCACTGGAACAGCGGACAGTGTTTTCACATAAAAATATATTCTTTTCCTGTGAATTAGATACAGATGTAATTTCTTAAAGTAAAGATGGTTGGAGAGGTTCTTCTGAAATGTATTTGTGTCTTTTCCTGTGGAAATGCCAACTGGCACAACCTAGCAGAGAAAAATCCTTAATTAGTGGCATTAGCACCATTTTTCCATTGTATCCTTCCAAACAATCTCCCATCCGAACATACTGCCATCGAGTTAAAACACCGTGTCCCTTCTCCCCAGATCTCTAGGTAGGTTCCAAACAGCATCAGGAGTGTACAGTCCTCCATGGTGGTCTTCATCCTCGCCTGGATGCAGCAAGGACACTTGGTGTCCAAGCTTGGGGGGACTTGGCCCATCCATACTCAAGGATGCTTTATACCTGCTCCTCTTTAATGGCATTGAAAAGGAAAGTGTGGCACCTTGTTATGGCCAAGGGAGATATCTGTGGGGAGCACACAGGCTCTTCTTGGAGCTCCCAGCCCTGTTTTTCCTCCAGCTTTCCCTTGGTTATACAAGCTTTTATTTTTGATACAGCCCTTATAAGGCAAGTCCATTCTACAGACAGCTTTTCGTTACGTTCATCCTTGCCAAGATGATGTCGCCTTAAAAAAGAAACTTGCAAAAGGTTAAACTGTGATTAGATAGATCGCTTCGCCTCGCACTGTAATCTTTGGCGGAGTAAACACCATGAAGATTGAAAGGGGAAGATAACGGGGCTGTGCTGGTGCCAGTAACGCTGAGGGCTAGGTTCTGGTGGAGCGAAGCACATTTGCAGCATCGTGCCCACTCACTGTGCAAAGGCTGAGCAGCCTCTTGCTCTCGTTAGAGATTTGCTTAGTCCTGGCTCATCAGTTTTTCCCCCTGCTTGCCGAGGTAAGAACTGTATCTTTTTTCCTCGCTGTGCACCTAAAATTATCTTGTTATTTTCCATATAATGGTCTGGATTGATGGATGCAACAAATTGCTCCTCTCTTGGGATCATCCATGCCATAGTCAACAGTGCCTACTAAGACCTGCTCTTTCCCACAGGTGCTGCACTTAAAATCTTAAAACCTTCTGTATTTTGTCGGCAAATACCTTTGTAACACCCTGAACTGTCAAAAAAACATCGTGTGAAGGTGGGGGGAGAGGTTGTACCGCCGAGTGGTGTCAGCTGGAGGGAAGGGGAGAGCCTGCCAAGTTCAGCTGTCCCGGCTTAGCCACAGGAGCCCGTCATAAATATTTTAGTAACAGAATTATTTTAACTTTATTTTAATGGAGGGTTTGAGCTGTTTGTTCAACTTAGAGCAGTTTTAAAGCAGCCTGCTTCCATGTGCTGCTTTCGGTTAGGAGAAGACAATGTGAAATGTTAATTGGCTTCGTCTAGGAAGGGAGCAAGGGTTTGATTTGATGGCCTCGCTGCTAACGATCCGCTCGAGGACAGTAGTGCTGCTCAGCTAATGCTGCAGCACGGTGTAGAGCTGGGTGACGTCCACCAGCGTCCCCTGCCTCCCCCGAGCCACCGTCAGACCTGTACATCCCCCAGCTGCGGTCCCCATCCTGGGGGTGACAGCGGGATGGTGGCCTGGCCCGATGGCAGAGGGCAAATGGGGACAAGGCGCATCAAGCGGGTTTCAATCTGGACATGGATGCAAGCTGGGGTTTTCTCGTTTGTTTTGTTTTGTGGTTGTGTCGTGTGGTATTTGGGGTTTTATTTTTTTGTTTTATTTTTTTTCTTTTTGTTTTTTTTTTTTTTTTGTTTTTTTTTCCCTCAAATGCGGTAAGTGTTTTGAAAATGCTGGGAACTTGGCGAGGGTCAGCCACGGAGATATTTGAAGCATCCCAGCTGGTATTCCCTTCCGCTCTGCCTCGGCCTGGATGGCACGGGCAGCCCAAAGCCAGCTCCATGGACGGGAACCAGCTGAGCCACGGGCTGGGTTTGCTGCTGTCCTGGTCCCCGTGGGTCTCCCAGCAGCGCTGCGGACATGGAGGGCAGCTCTGCCTTCTCCAACCACCCCCAGAGCTGGTGTTGAGGGCTCTCAACCTTCAATACCAGGGGGTGGTATCTCATGAGAACAGCTCCTCTGGTTACAGAGCTCTGCTAGTGGAGAAGATCTCCGCAAGCCTGGCATCACCATGCAGTGGTGGTGCTCTCTCCCTTCCTTCTCTTTTTGCACCCTCTGTATTTCCAAGGTTTGCCATGTCCTCAAAAGACCCGGTCTTGGCTCAAATGAGTCTCCGACGAGTGCCAGCACTTGCCACCCCGTTAGGTCTGTGCTGGGGCTTGGCAGACAAACCTGGAGGAGACGATAGCTGGCACGGGGCAGGGTGTCAAATGGGTCCCAGAAACCCCTTGGTGCATTAAGTACCCGGTGCCCAGGAGATGCTTTCCTTCACACCCCCAGCTCCCCTCTTCCTCCCAGGACCCCGCTGCGGCCGGAGCGGCCGTGGAGATCTCCCTGGGGAGAGCAGGGCTGCGTGGGAACCGCGCTCCCACATACGGCTCTGAAACAGAGCTGCAGCTGAAAAAGCATTCAGTGGGTAGGAGTGAGCCTTGACATGGATCCCCGTTCGGAGGTATTTTCTGTCAGAAGGGGGGACACACCCCACACACCCTCCCCCCCCCAAAAAACAAAGAGTAATGAAAACCACAGATTTTGTTAGAGCTTTCCTTTTAATTCTGGGATATAATGAATGATTTCCCACTGGAGCAGAGGAGGTGGGATGCTGCGCACCTTCAGAGTGCAGTCAGAATAAATAAAACCCGTGTCTGCATCTCTCTGGCATCTGGCCTCTGCAGAAGCCACGAAGCCCCGCACGCGGTTGGCTCGTGAGCCCGCGTCTGGTAGGACTTGGTGCACAGCCCATGCGGCGCTGGCAGCAGCTGCCTGCAGCCCCCCTTCCCTCTGGCAGGTCTAGTGTCACCTCCAAGGTCCAATGTGACACGTCCCTGGACCTGAGCACGGCTCCGTGGGGGAGGAGAGGAGCGGTGGGTGCGGAACCGAGGCCACGTGCGAGGAGAGCCGCCTGACGTGGGATGGGGGGGGCCACCTACGTCGCAACATCGTGGTCACGTCTCGGCAGCCGCAGGAGGAAGGTCTGCAGGGAACCACTGCGCGGGAAACCTGCCCGCTCCTTCTTGAACCTCCAGGTCTCCTCTTCCACGGAGTAGAGGAGCGTCAGCATCTTGTTGACGGTGTAGACGGTGTCACCCTTGATGACGGCGGTGAAGAGGGCTCCTTTGCTGTTGAGGAACTGCCCGGGCAGGGCGCTCCACTGCCGTGAGGTCAGGTTGAAACAGTCAATGACACAACGCAAGAAGTCATCCGAGGGGCCGTTGCGCATGACGTAGAGGTTGTCGCGGTGGGCCACCATGCAGTGCCCGTAGCTCTGGTGCCTCTTGAGCTCAGTGACGGGAAGCCACGCGTCTCGCCGGGTCTCGTACTCATAGATGACGGTGGTGTCCAGTGGCTTCCACAAGCAAACGAAGATCTTCCCCATGGCTTGGGTGCAGGGTGCCGCCGCGCTCGGCTGCGGCAGGTCGGAGACAAACGTCCAGGTGCCGGAGGCCACGTCGTACCTTTCCACGGACTTCAGCGAGATCTTCTCGTACTCCCCGCCGATGGCGTAGAGGTAGCCCTCGTGGCCCACCAGCCTGACATCGTAGCGCAGCTGATGGGGGCTGGGGAACTCGCTCCAGGCGTTGGCATCGGCGTCGTAGCAGAAGCTGCTCTCCACTACCTGCTTGCTGGCCCCGTAGACGCCGCCCACAATGTAGATCTTATTATCCATGGTCGCCATGCCGGCTAGGAACGTGCTGGCGCCCAGCGGCAGGCAGGAGAGGGTCCTCCACGTGTTGGTCTCCTCATCCAGGTAGCAGATGGTCCTGGAGAGGTCCTCCAGGAACTCGAAGGTGGGTGTGTGGGCTCCCACTGCCACGAAGGTGCTGGGCAGGAGGGTCTCCACATAGGCCAGCAGGTCGGTGGAGAGGCAGTCCAGGTACTCCTTCAGCTCGGCGTAGCTGTCCCTGATGTAAAGCGCGGCGCAGTGGAAGAGGTCCAGGAGACCGAATATGGCGGCGGCTTGGTACAGCAGGATGCAGTTGTCGGAGTTGATGGAGTGGATCAGGTACTTGGCCAAGGGCTTCACCTGCAGGAAGGCGGCACACTCGACCGCCTGGAAGGTCTCCTCGCTGCTGAGGACCGGCCTCTCGCCCGCCAGCACCCGCAGCATGGCGAGGAACCCGCCCGCCCGCAGCTCCCCCAGCCCGATCTCCTCCTGCGTGCTCTCCCTCATGCCCGAGCGGAACAGGGCACGGAAGTACTCACTGCTCTCCACCAGCAAGGTCTTCTCCACCCAGAACGACTGCCCCTCCACCCGGATACACACCCGTTCCAGGGGCTCTGCCTGGGAGCCTTCCTCCTCGGGGGTCATCCTCGCCCAGGGGCTCAGCAGCTCTTAGGGTGGGTTGGGGAGGGCAGCGCCCGATGCTCCTCCGTGCCGTGCCCCGGCGCAGCCCCCCTCCTGCCTCCACCACCCTTTGATGCCTTTGCTGCTCTGCCCGGCGGCCTCCACGCCGCTGCCTTGGAATATAAATACCTTCAGCTAAAGATAGACGAGCTCGTGACCGGGGCCTTTCAAAGGCATCCGCCGAGCTCAGCTGCCCACCCGAAACCCAGGCAGGGCCCCGGCATCACCGGCCGGCGTGGGGTCACGGCAGAGGTGCCCGGCTCCATCACGGCTCGTCCCACGGAGGGTGCCCGGCCGCCCCGGGGGAACTGGGTTTTGCTCTCCCCACTCTCAGGCATCGTCCTTGCGATGCCCTAAAGGGACGGTCCCCACCTCAGGGCGGGGGGCATGGCTGGGATGAGCATATTGTTGTATTTCTCTTTTTTTTTTTCCCTTAAAATGTGGGGTTTATGGCCACAGGGAGGTAACCAGCGTCATAAAATCACAGTGCCATCCAGCCCAGCTGTGGGAAAGGGGCTTGTTCCCCCCTGAGCGTGGCCGCGGACAGAGAGAGACCTTTATGGGGCCGGTTCCTCTGCAACCCTCCCGAGGGAGGAGGCATTGAGCAACCCGGGCAACATCCATCCTGGGTGCAAGGAGCCGTAAACCAGCTTCACATTGGGATCCCGCAGCAAGGAAAATGAATTGCAGCAACCCTTTCTCACCAAAAAAGCCCCCTCTATCCCCAGGGCTCAGCCCACTGCCCATAACACCCGGCTACGGGCAGAGGCAACCCCCCTGCAGCCCATGGTGTGGTTGATGGTGAAGAAAAGCCAGTGTTTCATTTTGATGTGTAATTTAAGGTGAGCAGCCCACCCTGCTGAAGGGATGGTTTTTTCCTCCCTCCTTAGCCCCTCATCCCAGCAGCCGGGAGGTCCGGGGGCACCATGTGACAGCAAAGCCATTGCCCCAGGATCGTGGCTCCAGCAGGTTCCCCCCCAAAATCTGAGTTTAGGGGAGAAGGCGAGAGCTTTGAGCTGTGTTACTGTCATTGGGTCTTTTGGGTACCCAGCTTAAAATACCACATTTAGCTCTGATTGTTTTTAAAGCACCCTTGACCTGTGTCCAAAGGGGTCTGGGAGCCGGGGGTCCCCAGAGGGGCTCTGGGTCTCACAGCGGAGCGATCCCCATCCTCCCCATCCCCGGGGCTTGCAGGGACTTCCACACTCCCAGACTATTTTGAGAGGGTTTAAAAATAACCTGCCTGCATTAACGGGCAATAATCCCAACGGCGCAGCAGCCCCGCGTGGCCACAGAGCAGCCTTCACCCCCCAACCCTGGCTACGGCCCCCCCCTAGAAACCCCTCGGGGCCGGCCCAGGGGCCGTATCCTGCCGGTCCCGGGCGCTGAGCCCCATCCCAAATGGCTGCGATCGCCATGACAACGCTGACTTCAGCCTCCACCACCTACTCGGGCTCGGAGCCCGCTGGGTGCTGGCTGATGGCTTGGTGCGGGCAGTGGTGAGTACTCTCTCCGTGCTCCCCTTTCCCCCTCGGGATCATGCCTTTTGGGTGGAAAAAGGCGCTTTTATTTTTTTTTTTTTTTTTGGTGGCTGGACAGGCAGCACCGCTCCTGCCTGCGGGAGGTGTCATGAGTGCACCGGCCTCAGCCAGGGGAGCGGGAGCTGCTTTTTGCTTGCTGGGGACACGGCGAGGTGGCCGCTGAGAGGAGGCATGGCGGGTTTTGGGGCTGGGGGGGTCACAGCCTGAAGCCTCAGGAGTTTGGGGTTGGGGGTGTGGGGGGGGGGGGTGTGGGGGAGGCCTGGCGTGTGCCCCGCTGCGGGGACCGTCCTCGGGGTGGCCGGGGCAGCGTGTCCAGCCCGGCGCCGGCGCGGCAGCTTTCCTTACAAGGAGTTTGGCTGGGACCCGAGCGGTGGGAGCCGCGCTCGCCTCCTCCTGCCTCATTCATCGGCAGCCCCGGCGGTGCAGGGGCCCCCAACCCCGGCATCGGCCCCCGCGCACCCCGGCGAGCCCCACTTCTCCTCCGGCGGCGGGTTTTAAGGTGGGAGGCTGCGTTTCTCTTCTCTTTCTGGGGTGCGAAGGGTGGGTGGAGGGATGAAGGAATGTGTGTGCGTGTAGCGGGGTCCCTCTCTTTGCTCGGGTGGTGATGCCGGCCACCCTGGCTCCAGGGTGAGGATGGAGGAGAGCGGATTCCCCCTCCCCGGTGCCGCTGAGCCCCCTTTTCCCCCCAAGGCTGGGGCACCCCACGAGCCAGGCGGTTGAGAAGGTCCCCACCCGGCATGGCAGTGGGTGCCCCACGTCCCCCCCCGCTCTCTCCCGCAGGACCGAGGATGTCCTCGATGTTCGGCAAACCCCGAGCCGGCGGCGAGCGGCCGCCCCAGAGCCCCCTCGCCGAGTGCAACGTGGCCATCCTGGGGTGCCGAGGGGCCGGCAAGTCAGGTGAGCGGGGTGCCCCGCCACCACGGGGATGGCCGGGCATCGGGGAGGTGGGGGGGGGGTGGGGGGGTTTGGGGCTGGGGGAACACACACACACACGCCTGCCTCACCCACCTCTTTCACCTCCTGCAGCTCTGACCGTGAAGTTTCTAACCAAGAGGTTCATAAGTGAATATGATCCGAACTTGGGTAAGACACTTTCACCCTGGGTGGTTCCCCCCCCTCCCCAACCCCAGTTGTCCCCCTACAAGCTCCCACGGAGCATCCTTCCCGTCTCCCGCGTTTCCCACGAATATGGCATTTAAGAAAAAAAAACAAAAAAAACAAAAAAACAAAAACAAAACAAAACCAAACCACCCAAAATTACATGAAAAACAACGGAAGGGCTGGATTTGACCCAGACCCGCCTGTAAAAACAGAGGTGAAAGCAGCGCTCTCTCCGCGGGCATGTCCCGTGGGGGAACATCCACTCATCGCATCGCCCCAGCGAAACTGAATTTGGAATTATTGGGGGTCCTTGGGGAGCATCTTGTGTCTCCTGCTCGCTCCTGGGGGTGTCAGGCAGGGGAAGGGCTGGGGGAGTGAGCGGGGGCCACAGAGCAGGCGGCTCCGGGGGCTGCGCTTTGCAACAAGCGGTTCTGGGCATTTTCTTTTTTTTCCACTCGTTTGAGTAATTAATAACTATTTTCCTAGGCCTGACTCCAGGGCGCGGGGAAGAACCATAAATGATTTATCGGGGACATTAGGGAGATATGGACCTTGTCCAGGAACCAGCTCCAGCCCCTAATAACTCAGCGACTCTTAGGAAAGAAGGATAAATCCTTTCCTCCTCGGATCTTTTTTGGGAATGTGGTTTCATCTTCCCACGTCAAAATCTTTCCAAAATGCATCTGTTAGGACCCGGCCAGGAAAAGGCATCGTTCTCCCAGGGGAACGGCTCGATGGTTCTCCCTGCCTGCCCTCCTTCCAAAAAGAAAGGGGTGCTCCTTTTGCCTGATTTATTGGGAAACAGCTCCGCTGTCAAGCCCTTAGCTCGGTTTATCTCGCCAGGTCATGGCATTTAGATAAGGGCTGAGCCCTGGGTGCAGCGATGGCTGCGCCGGGCGCCTTCCCCTCCCTTCTTCTCCCACGGGAGCCCACGCTTGCAGCACAGAGGGAGAAATAACTGCTCTCAGCCAAGCCTGCCCAGCAGCATCTCCGTCAGCCCCCCCAAATCATGTTGTCTCAGGAAGGAGCGAGGTGGGAGGCGTCAGTGGAGGATGCTCCTCATCAGGGGCTGAGATTTTTCCACGGTGTCCCAAGCATCCAGGGCTCTGCTTGGCTTTGGAGAAGACGGGACACCCCAACTCATCCTCACCCCCCACCCTTCTCTTTGCAGAGGACACTTACGCCTCGGAGGAGCTGGTGGATCAGCAGCCTGTGCTGCTGAAGGTGATGGACACGGCCGACCAGGTGAGGCACCGGGGCACCGCTGGTGCCAAACGCCCGGCGTGACGTGGCTGGACCACGGCTGGACCACGGCTCAGCCGCTCCTCTTGCCCCCCAGGACGGCCCCGGGAACTGCGAGCGCTACCTGTGCTGGGCCAGCGCCTTCCTCGTCGTCTACAGCATCGACGACACCAAGAGCTTCGAGGGCTGCCAGCGTTACCTGGAGGTCCTCGCCCTGCACGCGAGGGGCTGCCGGCGCCGCTGCCCCGTGCTCCTGCTGGGCAACAAGCTGGACATGGAGCAGTACAGGTACTGGGTGCGGGGCAAGGCTGTCTTTTCCCGGTGAGGGGGAGCTCACAGATTCCCTTCCCCATCCCTCCAGCTGCGATGCGAACCGCAAATCTGATTTTTTTTTTTTTTTTTTTTGGTGGTTATTTCCACCTCCGTTGGTATTTGCCACATCCTCCCACACTTCTGAGGTTCCTGCTGTCCTGCCCGGGCAGGGGGATGTGCTTATTTTGAGCCTGTTGGTATTTTCAGCCGGATGTTTTTTGGCTGTGTGGCACGACAGCGTCACTGTCCCCGGGCAGGGCTCGAGCCCGCTCCAGCTCCTTGCCCCCCTCTGGCTCTGCCCTTTCCCTGGAGCCCTTCCTCGCCCCGTCCCCGCTGCCAGGACTGGATGTCCCCGGTGTGTTCTTCTGGCCTTTTGTGCCGCTCTAAGGCTGTGCTGAGCCTTGGTCCCATGGGTCCTTGAGTCACATCCACTGCTGAACCATCCCCCCTCCCTCCCACGCAGTCCTGAACCCCCCCCGCCCACGCTCCCAGCATGGATTCTGGCAGGAGGCTTCTCCCTCCCCATGGTGAGGACCTGCCCTGTCTCCCCCAGCCACTTCCCAGCGTGATGCCATCGCATCCAGCCCCCGGCGTCCCGGGTGGGGGTTGCATGATCCCCCAGGGACTCACGCAGCCGGTTACTCCGGGATTTCGGGAAAGGCAAAAACCCTTTCGGAACCACGTCCCCTGCTTGTCCCAGGACAGGGGACGGGCGGGTGCTGCCCTGGTGCTCACCGAGAAGCGGGCACGGGGTGTGGGGTCCGTTGCTCCCCGCCTGCACCCCTCGCTCCCCTTTTCGGGTGGTGGCAGCGCTCCTGAGGGATGCTGCACCCGGCCCCTCCCGCTCTCGCCAGGCAGGTGCCCGCCACCGAAGGGATGTCCCTGGCGAGCAGGTTCGGGTGCCTCTTCTACGAGGTGTCGGCGTGCCAGGACTTCGCGGGGGTGCAGCGCGTCTTCCACGAAGCCGTGCGGGAGGTGCGGCGCCAGGCGGAGCGGAGCCTCCCTGTCCGGCCGCTCTTCATCACCGAGGAGCGTCCCTGCCCGCCGGTGGCCACGCCGGTCACCCTGCCCACCCGCCACGGCTTGGCCAGCTGCACCTACAACACCCTCTCCACCGTTAACTACAAGGAGATCCCCTCGGTGGCCCAGGCCAAGCTGGTCACCGTCAAGTCCTCGCGGGCTCAGAGCAAGAGGAAAGCTCCTACGCTCACCTTGCTGAAAGGCTTCAAGATATTTTAGGATGCAGCCCCGAGGGCTGTGGAGGGGTGAGGGGGCGGCGGGAGACCCCCCGTTCTCCCGGCTCCGCGAGGGCTGGGACCATCCGTGACGGACTCACGGACACCACAGCGGGCGCTGGCGGACGGTGGCCCCGGTCTCCATGCCGGGGCGAAGCCCGCGGTGACGGTTTGGCGAGCGGACGGGGTGCCGAGAGTCCGAAATCGGCTGTGGCATCGCTCTGCCTCGCCCCCCACCCCGGCTGTTGTCCCCCTCCCCAGCCGAGCGCCCCGGCCTGCCGCCGGCACCAGGGCCCAGCCTGGTTTTCCCTGCGGATCCGGGTGGTTCCCGGAGCAGCCGGAGCCGCTGGCACCACCCCAGGGCCCCCCAGCTGGGCTGGGCGCCTGGCGCACCGTGAGGGGAGCCCAGGAAGGGGGAATTAATCATTAATCAAGACTCATTTGTCTCACGGGTCCCCTGACCAAGCAATAAGTAAGAGGAATTTTTAATTTTTTTTTTTTTTAATCTGAACAAGAAAGGTGCAGATATTGTTTCAGCTGACTAAAGGCCTCAGGTGTCCTGAAACCGATTCCCATGCATTGAACTAAGTCATACCAAAACAGCTGTTTTTTTAATCAACTTTTTACACTATAGTGTTCCTTTTCAAAGGCTTTGCGAGGAGTGATGCTTCGCTGACGAGGACACGCTCTGAAAAGCCTTTGTTTAAAAGACTGATGTATTTCCAAAAATCTCTTAAATTATTTCACGGTTTCTACAAGTGCCCAGTGACGGGCGTGCAGTGAATCCTGAAGCAGAACAGGCTCTACCCGTGCCCAAGCCAGGGCCAAGGGCCGCGCGTTCAGTTTCATTTGCTGGATCAGGTTAAATGGTTTGCTTCTCCTTGGAGTTGCAGTTACTCTGCAGAGTAAAATATCCATGTGTATATTTGTACACATATATATATATATATATATATATGACCTTACTGTGAGAGAGAGATATTCAATATGGGATTTTGATCAACGACTTTGGAAAGTATTTTAATAAAGACAATTTCTGAAAAGCACAAAAGCGCCTCCGCTTCAGCGTGGCTGTTTTCCTGGCGGGAGGTGACGGTCTGCAGGAAGAGCCTCCAGCCTCCCACTCCCGTTTGGCTCCCCCCGTTTGCGGCGAGGGCCGGCGGCATCCGAGGGAAGGGGCAAAGCGGGGGCGGGCGAGGAGGTTGGAGGCGGCTGAGCGCGGTGGGTACCGACCGGGGCAGGCAGGGCTTTGCAAGTCCAGAGCTGCTTTTGCTGGTGCAGCTCTGCTGCTTTTTTGTTTGGTTGGTGGTTTTTTTTTTTTTTTTCCTTTTAATTGTTTCCGCAGGCTAAACTGCATTTTTTAAACTTCCACCACTATGAATTGAGACATTCTGATACATTCCTTAGGGCCTAAACGGTTTGACTTCAGGTGCTGTTATATGGCATCCTCGGGGCTCTCTGTGTACAGAGACGTGACGGTGCCGTCCTTCCACTGGACCACAACTTCTCCTGATCTCTGATCCTGCGGCACCAGCTCCTGCTTGCTCGGCTCGGCGGGGCTGTGTTCCTGCACTGGCATCAGGGCTTGCTTGGCTTCCAGCTCAGCCTGCTGCGCGGTTTGCACGGCTTCTATGCACATGTGGATCTTCCTTTTCCTGCAGGGAAGGCGTAAAAAGGAACCGTGGAGTGAAGCAGAGAGCCCAGGCTGCATCTGGGGGCAAGCAGCTACCTTTGGGGCTGGTCACATCCATCGCTTCACACCTTGGCCCTGGGAACACACGAGCTGCTGACGGGCAAACCCCGGCAGCTGCACCGTGTCACCCAAGTGGTCTGAAGTGTTTGAGTACACCCAGCTGCGGGGTTCCCCTCGGAGAATGCAGAGCACACATGGCCCAAAGCGAGGCAGTAACACCCAGCAAGCCACCCTTAAACTGCGAGCACGGCACACTCGTAACATTAGCTCTTTTTCTCTCATTTTAGGATGAAAGCTCTGACCCAGATGCAAGTTTTTTTTTGCTGTAGAAACCAGTGAGTTGCTCCTCGGCTGCAGGGTTGCTGTGCAGCAGTACTGCCCCGAGGAACCCTGTGGGAACGCAGGCGGGAAAAGGCTGGGGAGCCCTGCTGCAGAGCCCCTGTACTGATGGGAGAGCACCTCACACCACAGATTCCACGTCACCTCCCTCCCAACAGCCCTGTGCACTGGGCAGGGCTGTTGCAGACGTATTAGGGAGGATCCAGGGCTTGGAGGAGTGGAGTGGCTCATTCCGAGGGACACACGAGGAGAGCAGGGAGCCAGGCAAGGTTTTACAAGGAAGCATGGTTCAAAGGGAGTTTGTCTTTGCTCGTCCCATCACTCAGGGCTTGAAACCCATGTCTGTCTGCCTGGGGGGGACGGTTCACACACACCAAGATACTCAAATTCTCCTGTCGTCTCACCTGTTTCGCACAATATTAATGGCCAGAAGGAGAAGACCCAAAATCATGGCCACAAAGGAAAGCACAAGGATGGAATAATTCCACGTTGACTCTGGAGGAAAGCGCAGAGAGGCAGCGTCAGCATGCACAGAGCAGTGTGACCCGCAGAGCCCAGCCAGGCGTTTTCTGAGGATACCCAGGCTCAGAGTGCCATGGCTTGGCTGCAGGATGAGAGCAGAGGTGCTGGTGTCCAGCTCAGCACCCAGAACAGAGCACCCAGGTTACATTTTTGGGGATAACCTCAGGCAACTCTCCCTCCCTGGGCAAGAGACTTACAAAACCGCTTTCTGCCGCTCCCAGCTCCCCCTGCCTCGGGCTCCGTCTCTCTCACGCTGACCACATCTGCCACACATCTGGCTTTTCAACCTTGCCCGAGAGCTGGGAGAGGCTGTGCCTGAGGCAGGAGCAGGGCTGAGAGCTGCAGCATCTCAGCAGGAGCACTGCTAGCAGTGTCCCTCTGCCCTGCAGCCTTCCTCGCCACTGCCACACTCAGGCAGGTGGATTTTGCCTTCCAACACCGGCCGGGATGTGCAGCGCCGACGGCAGCAGATGCTCCGTCCTTGATTTTTGTGGCTTTGAAGTTGATCCTCGGGGCACTGACCTGCTTCTATCAATCTGCTCCCTCCACCCTACCAACACCACTGGTCATCCCAGACCTTTGCTCTCTTGGCAGGCCGTGTGCCTGGAAAGAGGCTGAACCCCTCTCTGGGAAGTTCCACTCTATCTCAGCAAAGCCTCATGCCTGTCTTTATCCACAACCTGCTTCTTCTGGAGGTCAGACTGAGGGTCTGTATACCTGGAGTAAATCACCTCCTTGGGTAATTCCCTCAGCAGGAGGGTTAGCAGCCAAGGACTGTGTATCTCTATTTCAACTCTCAACCCAGGAACGTCAATGGGACTTACGGTCTTCTCTGCGGAAGAACCAGAGCAGCTCCTCCAGCTCTTCTTGATTTATACCCAGCGCAAGGGTCGCGTTGCCTGCTGTGTGGTCATACACGTGTGTGCTGGCAAGGGCTGCAGCGAAGTACCCATCTTGCTCTGCCTCGGCTGTGGAGGAAAAGAGCAGAGAGATGCAACAGTCGCTTGCCACAACACTTCAGGCTGGAAACAGCCTTCCCCTGGGCTCCCAGGGCAGCCCAGCAAGTCTCTCCAAGCAGGTAGAACACAGCCGTGAGGGCAGAGCCTTACCTCAGGCACTGAGAAGTGGAGAGCGTTTCTAGTTCCCACTGCACCCCCCATTATAGTGGGGGACCCAGGGTTGGAAAGACCCCAGGGCGCTGACTGTGCCTTTCCACGTTCCCGAGCAGCGTGTGTGTGTGTGTGTGTGTGTGTGTGTGTGTGTACGTAGGTATGGCCGTACCACTGGTCCCCAGGAGTGCAGCACTTACCGGCTTTCTCCTCACACACGCTCCTGCCTGCAACATCTTGCCACAGGGCCTTGAGGCCTCTCACGTTACTGAGAGCGACTCCTTTCCTGTTTGCCACCAGGTAGCCCTGGCTGCTGCCCAGAGGAGAGAGGAGCGAATTCGAGCAGTCCCAGCTCGTGTAGCCCGTGCTGCCACAGAGACTTGTCTGCACTCCGTCAGCTCCCGCCGCGGAGAGGCAGCTCCGCGCGCCGTGATTCATCAAAGAATCGCCTTGCCAAGACCAGTCCTGGAAATCTGACTCTGGATCACAGTCCTCCAGCAATAAATTCCCATTCATCGGGCTGGCTTGTAAACACAGCTTGACTTTAGCATTTTTCATCAGAAAAGCTTCGGTGTCTGCAAAGAAACCAGTATGTGAGTGTGGTCGTCCCCTAAGCGCAGGACATATACGCACACAGAGTGGACGGGGCAGGTGGGAATGACACCCAATTCTGGAACTGGGAAATCAGTGTAGGGCAAAAGGCATTCCAAGAGGCAAACCACCTCCAGTCTGGCTCAGGTCTTTCCAGTTTGGCTGTCTAACCTTAAAGTGTCAGCTGGAACATCCCTCTGCACGGAAGAGGTGCAGAAAGTCCCGACAGACATTGATACTGGGTTTAAAAAAAAATCCTATCTCCGTGAGTCAAGTGTCTTCCTTGGTGTCAAAGAGATTACAACTGCGCTGTGGATGCAACTTCCTCCATGGTTCAGCCGGGCTGCTGCTGGTGAATACTGAAGGAAAAGGGCCCATGGAGAGGAAGAAAGCCTATTTCCAGAAAGTTAAGGTATTTAATGCATGCCTTTGCCATAATACTATCTGTATGTGTTAGCCCACAGCCAGTGAGACGTTTGTCAGATCATACAACAAACTCTTGCACATGTACATCCAGCCCCTGTGAATCTGCCCTGCAGAAAATGTCTTGTTATAACCCCTGCTGAGCCTGGTGTGGGTGAGAGCCTGTGAAGAGACGCGGCCGCTGCACGTGTGACCTACTTTACCCACACCGCTATCCTCCAAGCCAAGGCTCTACCTTGCAGCAGGAAAAATGGGATTATCCAGAAGAACTTCATATTTGGCTGTGCAGCTGGGATGGATCACGCCTTCACCGGCGTTTCTTCAGTGCGCAGCTGCCTGCAAGAGGGAGAGACAAGAGGTGAGGGATAACCTCGCAGCATCCTCCGCGAGCTCCCACTGGGCAGTGCCACTGGTTCTATCGGTGGGAGACCTGAAAGTTACACCAGTTATTACTCAGAGGGACAGCAGGCCAGAATGTTTCTGTTCTGGTGTCTACAGTAGAGGAAAGGAGACAAAAGCACAGTGATGATCCTTCAGATTGCTCTGTGCTCATGGCGATCCCTCTCCCTGCCCCAGCTCTGTGTTCAGCGGGGGGATCTGGTGCACCCCTGCAGCTGGGGCACTGTTTTCTTCTGCGGTCGTGAGTCTGAGCTGCCAGGATGGGGTGCAGCCAGGCGGCGATTCTGGGAGCCGCTGAGGTGACAGCAGTGTGGGCCTGGCAGAGGGGCTGCTGCCTGGGGTTGGACTCCTTGCCTTGGTGACCCCGTGAGGATGCGAGCGCGGCTGCTGAGAGCCAGCCCTTCCTCAGCTAACCTCGCTGCCTTGCTCCCCTGCCACGATCCTCAGGGAAGACACACTTTGTGGACAGTGACCACCTGCTGCCAACCCGTGGATGGCCGAATAAGGCTGTGGAGATGAGGAAGTGGAGGGCTCAGCTCCAAGAGGAGGAAAAGCCGGTTTGCCATTGAGGCAAAGGTATCTCCCATCCCTCAGGGAAGCAGAAAGCTCCTGACCTTTAGTCCCTCATTTGTCAGTGGCATCAATCCAGCTTTTACAGCTGCTTGTCCACCTCAGTTTTTCAGCCTCCTTTGGAGGGACCTGACCAGAGCAGAGGGTTTTCCTGCGTGCCCACAGCGAGTTACTTTGGGTTGGTTAGGTTGGCTCTCCCCAGCCCGCTGCTCGGCCGCTGCTCACTGGCCTCCTCTGAACTGACACCCACCCGCAGGTGAATGACACCACAACACACATGCATCCCACAGGCCATTAATTATTATGTGAAGACTCAAGACCTTTACGACTGTCTGATACTCTCAACTTTTACCCACCTTCGTAGCGTGGCCTGGCACTGTCTGAAACTGTTCCCTGGAAATTGCCCGCGAGCATGTTCCACCGTGCCAGGCGTGTCAACAACGCTGCTGCTGACTCCTCGGGGAAGCATTTGTCCTATCGGTTATAGACCTAATGATTGTTACTATTTCTCCCTGCTTCTCAATGTCTTCACAATTCAAAGTTCACATTTTATGGCCAACCAGGCATGCAGGCTTGCTCTGGGCTGCCAGAAAACCACTTGTTAGCAATTCTCTGAGGACGGGACTCTCAAACACGTGGTTCATTTTGACTCTGTATTTCAGAAAATATGGATAAAGCTGCTCCCTGTAGTTAGGTATGCCAATTATCTTACCATCCAGGTAACCTTTAGCTTATTCATATGGATCACTTCTCAGAAAGGAAGAAATAAAGCCTTGGTGTCAATGAAATCAAGTTACAAGTCTGTTACACCCTACTAAGAAATGCCACTTGAATGTGTTAAATCTTGCTGTGCAAGGCTTCTGTCTAATCCTTTGCTCAACTAGGAATATTTGACTTGCATGTTGCTGATTTTCTCCTAAGGTGTTTCATAACTTGCAAGCCACCACCCGACGTCCACACTAAAGCTGCCATGCACAGCAGGGGTGCCGAGAAAGTTTCTGGAAGTACTTCACTACTTCATAAAGTCCTCAACATCACCAAATCTCCCCCAGATATAGGAGGCCAGAACGTCTCAGGTACAATACAGTAGCAGAACGGATATTTATCGTGCATTACCAGGAAATTTAGGTGAAATATTTAAACTTTAGTCTTTCTTTAGATTGTTATTTTAAATACCTTTTGCATCTACATCAAACTGAGCAAACTAGTTTGGAAATTTAATTCATCAAAGCTACAAAACAAAGTGTTCTCAGGCCAGTGTATCTACCCCAGCAGAGAGCCTGAGCAGGATCCAGAACACTGCCTGCATCACCAGTTTCCCCAGTAAGGAAACAGTGAGTCTCACAATTGTGCTGGACATGCTCTTGAGAGTTTGGATCTTCCAGCATGAAAGAGAGATTTTTAAAGTCATCTCCTCCAGCATGGCTGCTCTGCCCCACTGCCCACATCCCAGTGTGGGTGAGCACTGCTCCACCAACCAAGCTGAGAGAACGTGGGTGATGTTTTCTCTGTTGTTCCCCTGCCCGCACACCTCAGCAGTCACTGGCTGCCGTTGGATGGGGATAAGCCCTTAGTTCTGGGACTCAGACAACTCTAAGCTGTGGACTTTGGTCTCCTAGCCCTCTGAAGACTCCCTAGACCCTTCTGAGGTTACTTCCCAGCTTGGGTACAACACAGGAAGCTCAAATGAAAGAATATTCATGCATTTTATATTTGTATGGAAGGAGGTAGAAAGAACAAAGAGGCCAACACCTCTCAAGGCAACATTTTACCTGTGTTATTTTTAGTTTATATTTACACCTGAACAATTCTGTAATTTCTTTCCTTTTGCAAATGGGATTTTCACATCAAAAGCTGCAAAATTTGTATGCTGTGCATACTTCAGGAACAGAGAGTCACTTGCCAATGCTACCCCAGATACTCGTGTTCAAAACCAGGATCTGTGGACTTTGGTGGCATCCAATGAAATCTCAAGAAAATACAGAAAAATGGCAAGTGATTGCTTTTTGCTCTACATATTGATCCCAGCACTTAAATGGTAAAATCCTTCCTCATGATGGAAGCCCTTGGAGATCTGAGACCCATCACATGCACAAGGCAGAGCTGAGAGATCGCTGCTCTAAAAGTTGGCACAACCCAGCGAGGGGCCTGTCGCCCGTGGGAACATGCACGTCCCCAGCTGCACGTGGGATCTCCAGCCAGGGCACAGCACGCGGTGCTGTGAAACCACCGTGTGCTTTGTATGTTGGTTTTTATCAAGTCTGATACTCATGGTTGCTTACCAGGCCAGCTGTTGCCCTCACTCTGCAAATGAGAAGTCTTGAGATACTTACTATATTGATATAAGTAAAGATCAGGGTGGAAAAACATGTTCTGGAAAGACCCTCAAGTACAGCTCCTGTTAAGATGATAATGTCCTTCTGGACACTCTACTCACTACACAATATGGGACAATGAACTTAAAACATCCCAGTCTTCGTAAAAAAGCCTCCTCTTGTCATCTAAGTGCTCTCTCTGGTGGTTATCTTATCTTAACTGATTGTGTTAAAATGCATCTGTTATTCCAAGTACATTACAAAAGTGGGACGCCCCATCTTTTGGATTCACAGAGGATAGACAGTGGCACACAAATGGATGAGTTGGTTTATAAAGGCATGTTAAGGACTGAGTTCAATTAAAGAATCCAGGAAAATGTTTAATATTTAAAATACTAAAGCAAGAAGGCAGTCTGTACTATTTTTTAACCTTTGTAAAGTCAAAAGTTAAAGAGCAAATATGAGTTATATTAAATATTTTCCTTTGACTGCTTTCCAGGCTGTTTATATGCAGGAGTTATCCCAGCCTGCTTCTTGCTTGCCATTCAGTCTCTCCTTAAAAAAGTTACGCAGCCGTTGCCTAAAATTTCCAAGAATCTGAGCTTTCTAACTGAAATAAATAAATAAGCCGTTCTTTACAGCTAGCTATAAATTAACCCACCAGCTAGTGCAGCAGGAATGTCCGTTAATCTCTGTTAACTCACCAGAAACATGCAGTTCCCAGCAGAGAGGAAGCTACATTTCTTCTTTAAGCCCTGCTGTCTGAAGATGTCTCCCCCGAGCACCCGTCAGAGCCTTACTACGGTGACAAGGTTGCCTTTCCTCCTGCTCTCGGTACGCTATGAGCTGTGATTCATTCTGCTCCTGAGTCATGTGTGAAGGCCAGTCCAACAGGTGAGGCTCACTCCAGCCCCTGCAAAAAACACACCTCTTTAGTGGGTCCATTTACAGCATGAGGTGAATGACCTTTTCCCAAAGAATGAACCGCAGGAACCTCCAGCTTATTTGCTCAAGCTATTGGCATAACCAGTATTAAAAGAGCATGCTAAGTAGAATGACACTCAGTAATAAGTTACCCTGGGGTTAAAATAAATGATAATGTTCACTCTGCGTGGCTCGGTCCTCACTGGATAAAGGAAGCATGTCCTGATAAAGCAGATTAGCCGTTTTTTTTTTTTTTTTTTTACAGACCAGTCATTCTAAGGCTCTCAGAGCATCTTGTAAGAGTGACTGACTGACTTTGCAGGCAAAGCACCCGCCAGAGCTTCTGCTGTCCCTCTTTCACATGTACAGGCAACAGTCGCCTAGGTCTGCTAAGAGGCTTTTCAGTGTCACAAGGCTGATGTGCTGTCTGTTTGTGCCAGCCACATTTGGAAAGAATTCCTCCTCCCTGAACTACCTGATCCATGGATGGAGCTGCATACCGTAGAGCAAGCAAGATAACTCTCTGTGATGGGCTCGGAGCACACAGCTAGCACTGGTTAGCTTAAGCTTAATGGGAGCTGGGCACAGTTTGTCCTGTTCTCGGTGTTTTCCAGATTGAAATAAAGTGTCTTTGGCATTGAATCCATGTTCCAGCATGATTAATCCTTTGAATCCCACCTCCCATCCAATTCAGAGATTCTTCTGGCAGCCCCTGGAAAATTTCACCCAGCAGACACGCATACTCCCCAAACAGCAAAGTTTTACTGTTCAGAGTCAGCCTGGCAGCGATCGGGTGGGAGCTGCACTCAGAAACGCATCCTCCAGGAAATGAGAGCTCCTCTCTGCTGGGGGAGGCAGGTCAAGCTGGAACATCACATCACACTGTAAATCGTGGCATCTTTCCTCCTCGTGTCAAGCTGGATCATTTAAAAAGTGCCACCACACTAGGGGACACTTTTTTACAGCGTCCTTGTGACCTTTCCACTTCCAGGGACGGGGTACAGTGACAGGACAGCATCTCACAAGCTACACAACCAAATCCTGTGTTTTACTGCCTTTGAGAAGGGCACAAAGAAAATGTCTGGCTCCTGTAGTGCAATCTCTGAGTAGAGGGATGGAGATGCTAGTCATGGTGAAGAGGTGACTGTAACTGGTGGAGGGTGACTGCAAAGCCCCAGAAGGTCCCTCTTCATCCCAATTTCCTACATGGCTCGATTTATGTATCTATATTTTAATTTAAAAAAAAAATAAAATTCCCCAACTGCTGTGTGGAAGATGAGTGTGATGGTATAACCCACATTTCCCTCAACCAAAGCCTCTGAGAGCAGGTGGAGAAATCTGAGCAGAGGAGACAGAGCGCCTGCAGCTGCCGGGAAGTGACGGGCAGCAGTGCCGTGGCCGTTTGGGTCCTGTCCCGCCTTTGGGCTGTTTGCAGAAGAGGCGTCTGACAGCTCCTCTCGCACAGGCAGCCCCCAAATCCCCACTGCCCCCCCTGCCAGCCCCATGTCCCACAGCCAGCCGTGAAGCGATGGGCTACCAACACCCGCCTGCACAGGGCAGGGACAATCCTCAGTGCACCAGCACAGCAGTTCCTATTCCACCCCCCATGCCCTCAAAAAAAACAGTGTCAGGACGCAGGCAGGTGGCCAAGATGCCTTTAGGACTCAGTGTGATATATATATAAAAAAAAAACCCAACAGTTTCCCACTGGTTAGAGCTGGCCCTTGCACCCAGCAATCCTCTCCTTCTCAAGACGACTGCGAACACGCTCAGGAGCGATCTCTTCAGCAACGGCTGTGAGTGTTTTATTTCGTTTTTCCCTTGACAACACTGGCACTCTTTAACGGGAGATATCTTTTCACTTCTTGGAGGCACGTTGAGTGTCTTTGGCTAGGAAGCAAAGTGGAGATTAGGACACTGATTTGTGTTCTGCTTCCTCCTCAGATTTGTCTTCACTACTCTTAGGAAGAACTTGTCTGACCTTGGTGTTTTAATTTTCCTTATCTTTTTTGATCCCTTCTGTGTCTTTGACCCGAAATGACTGGTTACAGAATAACTAAACATTCAGGGTTGGTTTTTGGTTTGTTTTTTTTTTTTTTTTTCATGTACAAAAGCAGAGTTCAAATGCAGAAGGAAAGTAAGATTTGTGAGCTTTTTTGTGTGTGTGTGTGAAACAATCAAATAATTTCTTTCATTCTGCTGGAAAAATTTACAGTGAAATAAATCTTCAGTTAAAATTCATGCACACTGTGTCCAAGGCATAATACTAACTAATAGCTATAATATGTTTAAACTGTACAGTTGTATCAGAGCTGAAGATTAATTACTTAGGAGCAAGTATACTGGAGTGAATTTAAATCCACTTCATAAACCCACTGCAAATGAAACATTAATTACTTTATGTGTAAGTCTGGCAAAAGCTCAGCCTGGAGTCTCAGCATTTCCAGGAGCTTTAACTACTGCCAGAACCGAGAACCCATCTCCACGGTTTAACTCCCCCGAGGAGCAGCAGGTGAAGCTCCACACACAGCACCGATGTGCCGCTGACACCTTCAGTGCCTCCTGTGCCAAGATCAGGTACCTGGAAATTAACACCAAGCAGCAGATGGAAGCCAGGTTTGAATTCCCAGCTTTCGGGCGGCGTTTGGGCTGTCCAGACCGGCACAGTACTTCCTCAGCATTTCTGAAGTGCTGGTGATAAATCCAGCGTTTCACCCAAGACCTCAGAGAGCTTGGATTCGCTGGCACGACACAGGATGTCTCCTTCCAGCCTGCCTTCCAGCAACTGCACTGTCTGCTTCTGGAAACCATGAGCGTTCTTCAGCATCTGAGATATTATGTGGTCAAATTTTTCCAGCATCTGAGATATTATGTGGTCAAATTTTTCCAGCATCTGAGATAAGTGGTCAAATTACACAGTGTGTGGAATGCCGCTTCCTCTCTTTGGGGGCCTGATACCCGTAAGTGCCTGATAACGCAGTTTATCATTGCTTAGTTATTGTGCAATGACTAATTGTTCCCCGTTTACTAGCTCCATACTATTTATGATAAGACAGACTGCTCGCCTGCCCTTCTTCCCCCATCTGCTTTCCAAGACAAACTATGCTGGTTGCTTTAATCTCTTCTCAAGCAGAAGCCACTCCATCCTTGCTACCCTCGTTTATATTTTTATTTTTTTACTATACCATTTCAACAATGCACCCTGAGATGAGGTGGCTGGAATTGCAGTGTGTCCTAGATGCTACGAAACTGAGGATTTTCACTGGGCTCCCCAAGCAATATTGTTTTCTGGAGCAATTGATTTTTATGTACTGATTCTCAGCTAGGAAATGACCTTGGTATTTAGTAGTATTTTCTCAAGGTGCAGGAATGTAAGCACCTCAGTTAGGATGGCCTGACTCATTTCTTTTACCTGTAACAGCACTTTCTCATTAATTTTCCTGTGTTTCTACTGCTGGAGATGGAGGCATCTTCCATGTCTGAGAGAAGAAAGCCCTAATGATGAGTAAAACTGACATGAAAATGGGAATGAATATGCACAGCACTTACCGCAGCACAAAATTTCACTTTCCTTACCGATCCTTCCCTCATCTACCCATCTGACATAAATTCTGTCATCCCGTTTCCAAGTAACTTACATGCTTTCACTGGCATATAGGAAACGTTTCCAAATTCTCACAATCCATGTTTTAAAAATTCCTAGTATCAAAGACTGTAGGATATTCTGTGACTTAGATGCATAGGGAACTTGTGTATATAATTTACATTAAATGAGAAACTGCACAAATAAACCATCTTTGTGTTGGGAAAAAGGATGTTCTTAGTAGAAAGATAAAATATTTGAATTCTTATGTTATGGGAGAAGATAGTTCTTTAAGTGGTTATTCTGACCCCATGGTTTACAAGAAAACATTCTTTAAATTATAATCACTGTTAAAACAAAGCTGTCCATAGAGTAGACACAGAAATTAGCTTATCAAACGCTACACTGGAGCCAGCAGAAAATCAGTGGCTGCAGTGTCAACAGTCCATTCTGCCCCCGGCATTTTTCTGCGTTATCTTCGCACTGAGGCAAAACGGCCAATTTACGGTCATGAGGGCCAGGGTTACGCGTCCATCGCCACGGTGGACGGAAGCCAGGGCTCGGGCTCCGCTCCCCGAGCCCGCTCGCCTTTCCCTTGGCGCGGTGAAGCGCTCGGGAAGCGCTGCCCTGAGGCGTAGCTCAGCCCTTGAGGGAGCGCAGCTCCAGCGCCCGCCCCACACCAAAATGGCGGCGGCGCCGCTGCAGCCCTGAGGGGCGTCTCCCCCCCACACTTCCTCCTCCCCGCCCGCCTCCTCTGCGCGTCATCGCCCGGCGCCGGAAGCGCGGCGATGCCGGGCCGGCTGGCGCGCGCCTGGCTGGCGGGGGTGAGGGTGGCGCCGCCATGGCGGGTGTTGTTTTTCGGCACCGACCGCTTCGCCGTCACCGCGCTGAGGGCTCTGGGGGCGGCCAGGTACGGCGGGGGGGGGGCGGGGAGCGTGGGTCGCGAGGCGGTCGATGGAGGGGAACCGGGGGGGAGGGACCGTGGGGGGGGTGTCACTTCGTGCGAGAGTCGTGTCACTCCGTGTCTCTGCGTGTGTCTCAGGTGTCTGCGTGTCTCTTGTGTGTCACAGGGGGCTGCAGGTGTCTCGTGTCTGCAGGTGGCTGCGTGTGGCGTGTGCCTGCGAGTGGGAGTGTCTCTGCGTGGCATGTGTCTGGGGGGGGTGCCTGCGTGGCGTGTGTCTGGGTGTCTGTCCCGCGGAGGGGGTCGGGGCTGGACGCGCTGTGGAAGGGCGCTGAGGCGACCCGGCCTTCGCCTGCGTGAGCCCTTCCATCCTCGCCCACGCCAGGGAGCCCAGCGGGGACTCGCTGGTGTCCAGGCTGGAGGTGGTGACGCTGCCCTCCTGCCCATCTGGCGACCTGCCTGTGAGGAGATGTGCCCTGGAGCTCCAGCTGCCTCTTCACGAGTGGCCACACACGGGACCTGCAGGGCAGTTTGACGTGGGTGTGGTGGCATCGTTTGGACGTCTCCTAAGTGAGGACGTTATTCTGCAGTTCCCATAGTAAGTGACTTGACAGGGCATCTGTCGCTGCTTCGTTAGCAAAGTTTTTGAGTCAACACTTGAGACTTGTGGCAGGTGAGGTCAGCTTCTTTCCTGGATTCATCTGCCTAGCCTTAGCCCGACTTCTGTCGTTGTGAGGTTCACTGTCATTCTTTAACATGTTGATGTAGACCCATGCAAATGTTCAGCGTAACATGTTTACCTTTATTCCTCTCATCTCCCTTTCTGTGTTCACTGAGAAACTGAAGGTTATATAGTGTGAATTTTCCCTTAAATGCATATTTAAACCAGTAACACTTTAGAAGGTTTGAGTTGTTAATTCTTAAAGTAGTTTCAGTGTAATAAATATTGCATGCCCATTTACATATGGACTCAGCTTCAGGTACTGTTCCTATTCTAACTCTGAAATATTTCACTTCAGCGGTGTGCTGAATGTCCATCCCAGCTGTCTCCCGCGATGGCGTGGTCCTGCACCAATAATCCACACAGTGCTTCATGGTGATAAAGTGACTGGGGTGACAATTATGGAAATAAGACCAAAAAGGTAAGTTCGGTTTACTTCCCAGAAAAACTTACTGTTTCTGTTGCCTCTCAGGACTTTAAACCATCACCACTTAAGTTATCATTTAAATCATTTTATGTGATTGCTTTTTTTTTTTTTTAATGCACCTGTATGTTTAATATTAAAATTTTAAACACTTAGAAGCTTTCATCTAACCATATGAGACTTGCCAATAATACAGTATTTTAGTGAGTGCATATTTGCACTCTAGACTCCAGTCCTGTTCTCTAATTCTTGGCATTATTACAGGGAGCAGACAGAGAACAGTCGTACAGCTAGGTGAATAGGCTTGGTATGATGTAACAAGGGATTTGGTTTTCAGACTTGAGAGTCATTTTTAACCTTCTGTAAATGAAAGAGAGGCCAAGCAATTGCCTGTCTAGGGATGGGAGAGAGATTATGTTTTAGTTTCAGCACAAACTCTGGCTTAAAAGGCTCGTGAAAACACATTATCATAGTTATCTTTGCTTTCTTAGATGCTTGTCTGGTAATAGATCTTAGGAAAATGCAAACCAGATTTCTCTTGAATGTTTCTTCTGAGATCTCATGCTTCTGAACTGTAAATTGTGCATTCATACCAATCTCAGCTTGCTGAGGTGAATCTTGCTTGCCAAGATTTGTCTGATATTCTTTTCCCTGTGTTTTGTGAACCAAACATTATTTGATAATGTGTGAAAAATAAAGTTTTAGAGGAAAAAAAGGGTAATTAGTAACTGAGTTAATATGTTGAATGTAGACTTTCGAGCTGCTAATTGAGTCATAGCCTGTATATTTTCTGCCTTACAGGTTTGATGTAGGCCCAATTATTAAGCAAGAAGAGTTTGCTGTTCCCCCCCACTGCACTGCAACGGAGCTGGAAGTGATGTTATCAAAGATGGGTGCGAACATGGTAAAGTCATGCAAGCTAGTGTCAATTCTGATGAGTTCCTTGCTTTTAACATGTGTAAACAGAATTCTTTTTAATCTTGTTCTGAGTTGACTGCAACTGTTAAGAGGAGAGTGATCTGAAACAGTGTTGGTGAGCACTTTGCCTTGCTGAGAGGAAAGCTGAGTGGTATGTGATAAGCTGTCAGTGTTGGTCCTTTGCGTTGCTGTTCTCTTTCTGTTCAGTGAAGAACTCGAGTGCTTTGTATGGAGGCAGTGCAGATTCTGCTTTCGTTGAATGAATATCTACTTTTTCGTCTTGATAATCAACTTTTGTCCTGTTCTAGGATTAGTATCAGAGAGGAGATCATCCATAAAAGAATACTTGGTTTTTTAATTATGGTTCAGTGGGAAGGATGCCTTTAGCGTGTTTGTGTGTATGATACAAGTCTTCTGAATATAGTGACCTGATTTTCTAAAAGCTCACAAGAAAGTTTCACTGATGAAAAATTAAGTACTGTATTTGTATGTCTTGGATTTACTGTTAATAAATGTACTCTACTTAGCTTTGCTAATACTCTATACAAAATTTAATTTTCAGCTGATATCAGTTTTGAAAAACTTGCCTGAAAGTTTAAAAAATAAAAAAGAGCAGCCAAAAGAAGGAGTAACATTTGGTAGGTACACATCATACTTAATGCAACTTAATAGTTTTCCAACTGATAAAATTAAAAAATAAATTTCTTCCTACTGTGCTGCGTTGTAGTTTTTAAAATATTTTCTCAACATGATCTCCTCACTGTCTTCTCTGGTGTAAAGTCATACAGAGGGAAAAATGCTTCAGAATTCTTCAAACTTACTACATTAACTTTTTTTCCAGTTGCCTGCACAGTATCAAAATCACTAGTGATGTCACAAAATCTGAATGAGTTATTCTTCATGGTTGTAACACAGACAGAATGTTACAGCTGTGCTAGTAAATATATGTTACCAGTTTGCAGTGCAGTGGGTAAATAAGAGGACAACGGAGAATAAGGTGTAAATAATCTAAATTGAGGTTTTTACAAAATCTTTTCTCCAGTTGTTGTCGAAGGTACCTGTGGCTAGATGGTAAACCTACCTTGGTCAGGATAAAACCAGGTTTAAAATAGGATAAAATAATACAGCTATTTGTTTGCAGAAAGATGCAAAACAAAATATGAAGTCTTCTAATTTATTTTTTCCTCCTAGCTCCTAAAATATCCATAGCTAAGAGTTGTATAAACTGGGAAGAGCAAACGGCTGCACAAATAATACAGCTGCATCGTGCAATTGGAAGTATGGTAAGACTGGATTTTTTTTTTTTTTTTGACCCTTTTCTGTCCTCTAGCATGTTTTGAGTTTGGTGTAGATATTTTACTAATGACTAAAACTCAAGTTTAGTTATTGTAGTCTCCAAAACCTAGCATGGGTTTTAAAATCCCACAATAGTTTAGCATTAGAGTTGGAATTAGTGTGGAGGAGAATTTTCATGAGCTTGATCCTAAGTGTGAAATCAGCTCAATAGTTTTGTATTGTTTCCTTAGTTCTGAAATTTCCACTGGTGCATTTGAGAGGGTTTCAGAACGCTGTAGTGACATCCTTGCATGACAGCAGACAGTGTAAACTGCTACAGGAAACGGCTACTGTAGCTGGTTGTTTAACTCATTATTGCACATGCTAATGGTTTGCTCGTCAATGAGATGAAGAAAGGAAAGGAAAACTAGATGTAGTAAGGAAAATCTCTTATCTGGTCATATACCTAAAGTTTTTCTTTAATGTTATTATCACAGGTATCTTGCATGAGAAAAAAAAAAAAACAAAACAACTGTACAGTTGCCTGGAAATGGTGAAAATATTCTCAATGTGTCATCTGCTTCTGTTTCCAGTTTCCTTTGCGGACAATCTGGAAGGGTACTACTGCTAAACTTCTGGATTTTGTGGAAGTGGATAATATACCTGGTTTTGCTGGTATTTACTTTTAAATTAATGTGTTACATTAAGTTTTCCTTTCTTTTCAAACATGGACTTGGAGATCGTACACAATTGTACTAACCAACAGCTTTAAGTACTGCTTTCTGAAATTCCAGTAGAACTGTCAGTGTCATACATGCTTAGAGTGCTTCTGTGCCCAGAGATGAGCATAAAATGGATTTTAAGGACATTCCTGCCTTGTAATGATGTTGAGCAAGCAGCAGGTGTAGTTCTGTGAATCCTGAGATTGGTGGATTTTAATCCTCCAGTTAGTTAGGAGATCCTCTTCTAATACCATTGTCTGGGGGTCTCTCGTGAGGAGAGCTGTTCCTGGGGACTATTCCCTAAGCTGTTTTCTGTAGTAGCCTGTGAGTCTCATGGGCTGAGTGCTGTGCCAGAGCATACTGGGCTTGATGGCTTTGTGGATCAGATAGGGAGCAGAGCCAGAAAGTTCTGATTCTACCCTGCTCATTTGGGTGTAACAAAACACAGAACACAATCAAATATTTTTGAGCAAAATAGTGACTGAAGATGATTATCATGCTTCAGAGAGATATAAGTGTTTCAAACTTTTTTATACTTGTTGACATAAAAATGCAAGACAATCTTTCTGTGCTTTTAGATCAAATATTAAATGGCTGTGGAGCTGTTCCTGGTTCACTACTATACCATAAAGCGTCCCAAACGCTGATGGCTTGTTGCAAGGTAGGCTTTTCCCATTTGTTTTATAGTCACTGCCCCAAAGATGAGGTTTTTAGTATTTGTGTGTTATGTAACTTTGTCTTAATTGGCCCTCTTTATTCACTGAACTAGTATAGATAGGCATCAGTCTTTTTTTATATGATACCTTGAAGAACTTTCAATTTCCACTAACAGGCTTTTCACTAGTAGGCAAGAATTTGAATTGTAGTGTAAGCATGATGACATTAAATAAAATGTATTCTGTAAGCGAGCCTTGTGAGAGCTAAAGATAATATTGAAACATGAAGAATCTTATTGCCAATTTATTTTTATTTTTAGGAAGGCTGGGTTGGAATCAAAACAGTCATATTAAAGAAGAAGCTTACAGCAGTTGACTTCTACAACGGATATATGCACTCTTGGTTTCAGCAGAACTCAAGGACAGTTCATCAGGAATGTAGATTTCAAACACTCAAACTTAGCACGGCAAAAAAGACTCTGAAAGAGAGGGAAATATTGTCACAGGATAGAAAATAGGTGTATTTTAAAATGCAGAAGAAGATGTCTGTAAGTTAATAGTAATATAAAATATTTCAGTGCTCACCTGTAACACTCAATTTAGTTAAGGGACTTCCTCCCAGAGTGTTTGATCTTACTGTCATCTGTGTGTTTTCATCATGGGTTCCTGATGATACTCACTTCTTTTTCCCCCATCAAGGAAGAGAATCTGTGTGGATGCTGAAGATAGTGATAAATCCCTGTTTCTGCTGTTGAGTAATAAATTTATTTTTATACATTGTTTTCAATTTTTTTGGAGGACTTTTGGAATACTTTTCTTCAATTATAAATTGTGCATAGTTACTTTAATCTGGAAATATTAAAATTCCATGCTTCTCTGTAGTTCAGAGATTAGTGTTTACTGAGACCCTTAGATTGTCTAGTTAGTTTCTTGCGGACTCTTAAACTACCTTTGTATCCCCACATTGAGATGACTAACTTAAGCATTAGCTGGGAACATCCAGAGAATCTTTTCCTGTTCATAATAGTTTTCTTAGAGTCAACTACACTTAACACAGCACATCCCTTATTTCTCACTGGAATTTGATGCCACGTCTTTATATAATACCATACCTGGAGCTGAGTGGAGCTGGTCATATGCTTTTGTCAGAGTTGTTTGCTGGGTGGGGTTTTCTGGGCATTCTGATGTTCCATCTAATTAACCTGCGCAGTCATTGCCAACTGTGTGACTACCTGTGTCTTCCTGTTTATTCTCTTTATGTAGTTTCAGTCTACAGGTGTCTACTTCCAGTGTGCTGGAATTCAGTTTCAATAAATCTTCGATTTAGAAAGGGGATAAATGGAATATTCCTAATCCATTCTAATCTGAGATCCAGTTCTCTTAGGACTGTCATGGTTATTTGGGCCTGTTGGCTGAAAATGCTGTAGTAGTAGGTACTGTTTAACATCATCCATGAATGCTAGCCAATTGGTTTTAGTCACCTGCATGTGATGCAGGCACATCATTTTGTTTCCTTTTAAATCCATAAAAGAAAAATTTACTGTGTATATTTGCTTTTCAAGTGATTTGTTTTAATCTCATTGATTCTGTTTCTAGTCTATAAACGATTTCTAATCTATAAATGTCATTCACCTTGTTCATTAGATACTTTTGTTTAGCTTTTCAGATCAATTTCTTAGCTTTCCTATTTAATCATATTGATTGCTATTTCTTCCTTCTCCATTTCGTTTTCATATCCTAGAATGTATCCCACTTAATATTTGTGTGCCATCCATCCAGAAGATTTATCTTCTACTGTCATACTTTCTTTTTGAGAGAGGTTTTTACTTGATGAGTTGTTAATCTAATCCAAGCATTTCCTCAGGCTGTCTTTGTTAATGGCATGTATAAGAAGGAGCGTTTCATGTGAAGAACCCCAAAACTGGTGACTCTCTTACTTTCTTGTCTTAGCAGTAATGTAGCACTCTGAGGATAACAGCAAAACAAAGACTGGCTGTATCTTAGGACCTCATCTAGTGTTATTTGCTCGATTTATTCCTGCTTTTTCTGAATAATACTGAAGTAAAAGCAGAGCCACTGGTGCTATTCGGACTCGAGGAGGCACTGTTCTGTTAGCTTCATATTTACCGCATTATCACTGAAATTTTGTAAGCCTCAAAAGAAGAAATTTCAGGGGTTCTGTAGACTTGGTGTTACAATGGTTCTGTTTTCCTCATGCTCATCGATAAATGCCAGCACATCCTCTTCCACACATCCTTTTGGTTCTTCAGACTTTTCAACACATTCATGTCTTTTCAAGCAATTAAGTCTGGAACTTAAAGTTCAAGTCAGGTGTTGAATTCATGGGACTTGCATCAAGGTGACAGGAACTTGATGTGCTCGAGTGTGACTCGCTGAGTGAAAGAAAGCAAAAAGAAAATACAGAAAAATGTGTCATATCACATGGATTAAAATGTTTCTGAAGAAGCATCTGTTAAAGCAGATGCTGTGGTATTTTTCTTTAATTGACGTTGATCCAACAATTAATCTGCCTCTGACAGGTTTTCCAGAACATATGATCCCTCAAGAAATCCAAGCCTATGAATCAGAGTAAAAAACTGGAGACAACAGCAAGGTCGAAGTCAGGCTCCTGTGGAGAATTCTTTTTGTCTCTGACTGCAGACTCAAGGGTGAAATTTGTGCAGCAGAAGTTACAAAACCAGCAAATTTGTTCCCAGGCAAATGTATTTTTGTATTTTGCTCCCACCTACTACTCGCAAGTAAAGGTTGTGAAATCATTTTGCTTTTACTCTGCTCAGATCAGTCTATGACAGGTTAGTTATCACCTTATGCCCATAGAAGGGATGGTGGGTGGGTGAGTGGGGTTCTTCTGTGTTTGTGGGGATGGTGGGTGGGTTTGGGGTTTTTTGTTTTGTTTTGTTTTTTTTTTTTTTTATATCACTGGTCTCAGCTGTATAGCTGCTTGCCTTATGTTTTCTCTGCTGGAGCTTCTGGGGAATTTTTTTATCAGTTATTTTTAAAAAACATTCATAGGCATCCTTAGAATCCAAATATTCAATGTTTGCTGAGAATAATAACATTTTCTCTAAAGCCCCTTCCCCATAGACGGTGACATTTTTGACACTAATCAGCTGCCTGGTAGGGGTCTGGCCTCAGACATTGATTGTATCAGAAGTTGAATTAGCAGAGAAATTAGTATACAAAAAAAAAAACCAAATCCACCCGCCACCACAATTTATAGATAAGCACAAATGATAAAGCATTTTGGACTTCTGAGAACTGAAGTATTTGAGTTATTTGTTAGCATGGGTGGACCCAACTTTTCTGGTGTACTGAGTCCTCAGGCACTGGAAGATTGTTCATTATGATCTGACCAAAATGAACAGTGAGATGTGACTCCCACAGAAAGAACTGTATCAAAAGTTCAGGCAATTTAAGCTCAAAAGTTTTTAGATGACCAAATTTAAATCAACTGCTTTGTTCTAGGAATAACTTCTGAGGAAAATTCCTTCAAAGTTCTTTAACTCCTTTGCTTTTTGTTTCTATCCTTTGCATCTCCAGAGTGACACGGAGCAAAGCAATGTGATTGCTGGGTGGCATTAATGCTGCTGGTTGGACTATCAACTTCCAGCCAGCTGTGTCTGTGTTAGATGTTAGCATCGGAGAGAACATGTGGGGCAATTTGTACATCTCTCACTGACGGTTTTAGATTGCGCCTCATGTGAGATCTATTGCTGTTAGTCATTGCTGGCAGGCGCTAATTTCAGTTCCAACTAAAGAACAAAGCAACAGCAAAGAGTTTCCCTGCATCCTCGGGGGAGTTTGAGGTGGCATGTGCTAAGAAACCCTGCAGATGGTGCTCGCTGCACCTCTTTCAGGGGAAAACCAAGTTCAGCTGGACAGAAGATTGTGAAAATCTGGTACAGAATGTCTTCAGTTAGTTGTTTAATACTAAATAATGTCTAAACCATATTGTAGCCAGGATGCCTATACTTGTAACTTAATCTTTTGATCTGTGCAGAGTTTGCTCTTTGCAGATCTGTGCAGAGTTAAGTCTTCTCAGAATTGCTTTCTATGCAAGAGGTTATCTAAGATTAGACAGTTCTTTGTTCCTTAACAGTTAATATCCTAGCTCTGAATACGCTCAACTTCAGCCAGTTGTTTTATGGAGGAAAAAAGGGTAAGATTAATTCATTTTTTTATGGAGGAAAACTTTGGCATGCTATTTTTGGCATAGTAGAGAAGCTTTAAAGGGAATTGGTGTTCCCCAGACAGCTGTTAGCCAAAATGTCTCTTTGGAAACTTTGCTTTCACCTAGATCTGTAGGGATTTAACTCGGTAGGTAATGAAAATCTGATTATTTTTGCAGAACAGACAAAACAAAAATGGGGCATTCACTGATGAGGTGTGGAATAGCATGTCAGGGTTGACTCTGGAACACAGACATGGTGATTTAATCCCCAGTACCACTGCTGAGGTCAAGCACAGCCACCCTAGGAATCGGAAAGTGATACTGGCAAAATAAAACAGCTGTCCTCCTCTCGGACGAGAGAGGGAAAGTAGCAGAGGTATTCATAGACCCAGCATTCGCTATGGCTCAGTTTAAGATCACTGAAGCCAAATTACTGGTAGAACTGCAAAATGTTTGGGCACCAGAAGGGCGCTGGTGTTGGGTAGGGATGATTTCATCTTGGATTTTAAGTAAATGTTAGAGGGAGTGATATTTCCTAGGATGCTAGTGACTCGCAGTTAGATGCATCTGTTTCGTGATCTGAAACCTTATTACTCCCCCTGCTTCCTAGGAAACATCTTTATTCCTGTTTTCTGCTGAATAAATTACAAATAAACAAAAAGTGTAAGTGACTAATCACAGGAGTACTTGAGTCTTTTTAAAAAGTTGATTGCAAAATCATTGAATAATTTGAAGGTTGAGACTAGACAAGAATATCTCTCCTTTTGTTTACCCTAACTGCTGATGGCCTGATAGCTTCTGGGAAGCATTTTCCCTTTCTTAAAAACAGGAGGAGGGATAGGTTACCAGATTTATCTGAGTGTTGGAAACTAAGTGACCTTAATGAAAGATGCTTTGTAGTTAGCCTCGGACCTGCTAATGTTTAGGAGCCAGGTCTGCTCCACGCCGTTTCTCAAGGCTGGTGGTCCAAAAGCTAAGGCCAGGGGAGGAGCTGAGTCACAGCCTTCCTGCATTCCTCCAGTCGATGGTCTCGGCTTTGATATGTGGGAGTGTGGGTTGGGTTTTGGGTTGCAGAGAGGACACTGCTGTACACTGATCATGAACACAAGCGCTCGGGAGCTGGAGAAGTCAGAACTGACATTGGACTATAGCGTAAAACTTGTGTGAGGGCTGGGTGCCAACCTGCTGTAGCTTTTCTCTTAGACAGACTTTCTTAATGTATTTGGTATGGTGGCTCATCAGTAATGAAAAGTTGGCGCTGAGTGGTGGTTGTTGGGCCAAGGTTGTTTTCTGGTGATAGTGCTTAAGCATCTGTGTTTGAAACCTCTGTCTGCAATGTACTCTGCCAGCAGCCTCCTCCGGGAGCTCAGGGACTTGGTGAGTGTGGAGACTAGTTTGTTCCTCCAAGTCAGAGTTAAGTTGCAGTGGGGGACAGATTGGGAAAACTTGGAGAGCTTCTCGCTGTTTCACAGATAGGCAGAATTTCAGGCTGTAGGGCTGTGACCATTTCATTCCTGTTAAACAAACATTTCTCCCCAAAAGGAAGAGCCCTGTACTCTGCTGTGTTTTGCTCTGCAAGCCCACATGCAGGACAGGGACCAGAGCCCGAACCTGCTTTCATCCATGTATCTCCCGGGTTGATCTGTAGAAGTCATTTGTGTTACTTCACCCTTGAAGTGATGAAACCAAGTTTGGGTTTTGGCTGGCTGGCTGCAGAGGAGGAGGGGAGCAGAGGGAAGAGACATTTCTCTGTGAGTCTGCAGCGCAAGCCAAGAGCTCTGTGGGAAGGTCCGAGCTAATGCTCCCCACTGGCTGCCTTGGCCCCAGCTCACGCCAAGCCCTTGCAGCAGACTAAACACAAAAGAAAACACAGAGTCTAAATTCATTGGTATGAAGAGGATGTGCCAGAGTATTCCACAGCTCTTCCTTTTCTGCTTCTCTGATAACCATCAATTTGCAGAAAAACGTGGATTATTAAGAGCTTTTTTAACCTTTTTGAACATAATTAAGGCTGCATCTGTATTTGGTCCTGTACAGGTCTGTGTTTAATGCCTGGGATGCCTCATGTCAGACCTGAGAACCTGTTCTGAAGCTTGCTAAATGCTATTGAAAGATTCCCCGTGCCCTTGATGGGCTGTAGGTAAGACAGCATAGACCTAGAACTGGCTTCATACCCATAGGAGAAGACAATCCACACTTGAGCATGTGTTTTAATTCCAGTGTTTATCCAGTAGCGCTTCCCACTTTTTGTGATCTCTCTCAGTGGAAATTTTGGTGTTGGAGGCTTGCTAGTTTGGCTGCACCCCAAAAATTTATTGCCAGTGTTTGGGTGTAAACACAGGATGTCTTCTGTGCTGGTGAGGTCCTCAGTTCTGCTCTAGGAGGGGTTTAATAGGGCAATTTAATAGCTCACATGGAGATGGATCAGTCTGACCCCTTCTGTGGCCATCTGTACCTTCAGCTAAGAGCAGCTTCTTGTGCAGCGACGTGCTTGCTGCTGCTGACTGTGGAGAAAAGCCTACCTCCTCCCTGTCTCTGCACCTCCCAGCCCTGCTCTGCACTGCTTGGTTTCCTACCATCCTTAAAGCAAAGGTTCCCAGTCTCCTTCTCTCCCCATCTAGTCCCACTCCGGGAGCCTTGCTGTTGCCTCCTTAGTTCATCCCTTGCCCAGACCTGCTGCTCCACTTCTTCCAGCTCTGCTGCTGGCTCTCCACATCTCAACCTGGGGACAGATTCCCTGACCGCAGCACGCCGTGGCCAAGCCTTGGACCTGGGGGAGCATCAGCTACCCGCCAAACCCCTCACACGTACCCAGGAGCAGTCTCACACTGATAAAGCTGCGACCTGTCTGTGAACAGAAAGGTGAAATTTTGCAGGTTAGTCTTTGGTCAGCTCTACACATGGTTTATTTACTTGGGCATTTCAAACACAAAAGCAACACAGCATTGTCAAAGTTACAAAATTAATTTTTTTATTAACCTACCCTATCATAAGAGCATGGATTTTCTTGTCAAATAATGCAAGAAGCAAGAGAAAACTGTAGTTTTATCCGTGTGGAGCCTACAAATCCACATGGCTTCTCTGTGCTATCGAGCATGTGAGTTCTTAGAAGTGCAGCTGCCGGTAGTTTAGCTTGAATACAGTCATTCTAAAACAAGCTAGAAATAAATAAAATACTTACATTTCAAGTACAAAACCTTGCAGTTGGATTCAGTATGAGGAAATTAGTTTACTCCTTTTCATGTTACCAACTACTGTACAGGTACTTGGGCTGGCAAAGTCTGCAGATGCAGAACAGAAGAGTGTTTTATGTACGTGACTTAATTGAATCGTGTGTTTAGACTTCCCTTTAGGCTATCATGTGAAGCTCTTTAATGTCAGGCAGAAAGAAGATTTTTATGGATGCATTTAACAAGACACAAACTCACTACTGCTACTGTGCCCCAAGTTTTGCCTTATGTCTTTACTTTCTGGTGCAAAAAAAAAAAAAAAAAAAGAAAAGTGCACCTTCATTATGTCTCAGAAATAATGACACCTACCAGCTTTGAATTAGGTTATTAGCAGGTAGATGTTACTTTCAAATTGTATTTAATCAAGTGTGAGCAACTTTACTGAGGCTCCTATACAGCTCTAGTAGGTAGGAGAACGTTGACCTCTCATTGGGATCCTGCCTTGGGTGCTTTGGCGGCTTGCTGGCTGCCTTTGGTACGTGGGCCTCTCCCCTGGCAGAGCCAGTATGGACTGCTGGCCCGAGGTCCTCTGAGACTGGAAGATGCTTTGCTCTGCTGTGCTCCTCTCCGAGCAGGTGAAAGTCAACCCAACGCCGATGTTGCTCTTCATGGTTCTGGAGGTACCATCAGATGTGCCGTCGAAACACCTGCCCAGGGCAATTTCCTTGGCGATCCTCGGGTCTTGGTCAGTGACGGTGTAGATGCCGTAGTTGTGTCCCAGCGGGTCAAGAGGAGCCAGCATTGTGTACTCACTGGAGTCGTTGTTTGTAGCCATGGGGAGGTGGTTCACCAGGTACTCATGGAGCATGCTGTTGACGCTCTCTCGGCGGCACCTGCCTTGTGGGACCACTTTCACAAGCGTGCGGTCCACACGGTCTTGGTCGAAGAGCATGCCGCTGCACTTGAACTCCAGGCAGGCTGCCGACACGTTTGGCTGCTCGGAGTCACGAATGCTGCGGACGTCTCTGATGCCATAGAGCTTGCCAATGGTACGCGGGTGCGTCCCACCCATGTTACGAGACCTTACGTTCACCTCTTGGGGTCCGTTTATCTTTACTTTAATGTAGCAGGCCCTAAATTCCATGGGCTTGGGCCACCATGCCAAATAGTCATCAGTCCAGCTCATGAGGTCATCTTCGCTGAAGGGAACAGTGTTGTAGTCGTACTGGTCTCCCTCTATCCTGTAAAACCTGAAGTGAGCAGCGTTGTATGGAGCTTCCTCACATTCTCTTAGGTTTTCGTAGGCATAAATAGGGCCGTTGTTGTCTTCTGGGGAATTAGGGCTTGGCTTGGCCACGTTAATGCTGAATGCTGTCTTCTTTGTGTTGGAGTCCTCGTGGTCTGTTCTCCTGTAGTTGAGCCTGTTGAGATACGGCTGTGGGACCCCAATAGCATTAGGGTTGAGTTTGGGAGCAGAGGGCACAGCTTCGAGCTCTTCGCCCCCCATGCTCGCCAAGATATAAGCTGCGTAGGCCTCGGGGTTTTGCTCGTCGCAGAAGGCGGGCACGCAGGCACCGTTGGGACCAGTAACCACACTGTCAAAACGGCCCCATGCTCTGGGGTTGGATGAGAACCCTGGTTGTGGCTCCATGTTTATAACAGAAATCACAACCCCTTGGATCTGCTCGCTTTGCAGAAATCTCTCGCTTCTGTAAGCTCGGACTTTGACATAGCACCGCCTGCTCTCTGGGACGTCCAGGTTAAAAAGCCGCCTTTCTTTGATCTCCATGTTCCCAACCAAAAACGTTCTCTCTTCCCTTTTGCGCCGGTTGCTTTTCTCAAGGTTGAAGTCCCCTTCTTCTTCCCATAATCCTGTCTCTGGGTTCAGGGACCAAAGTTTCATCTCTTGCAGGTGCTCTGGCATCTTGACCTGAGCAGCATCCAAATGAACCTTCACCTCTTCAGCATTAAGAGATTCGGTGCCCTGTTCGTCAGTGAAGTCCACAGAAAACATGCCGTATGTGCGGAGTGGAAATACATCTCCTTCCTCATCTACAAAGTTCAGGTCACTTTGTGTCACAGCGGCCGCTGAGATGTTTCTTGGGTCCAGAAATGTCACGCTGGCTTTCACTTTGCCTCTGTAGGCTTCTCCATTTTTCCTATAAAATGCATTGGGTGGAATCTCTAATTCGGCAATTGGATCATCTTCTTCCATTTCGCCCAAAGAAATCACGTTGGTTTCAGTGGATTCCAGCGTAACGGGGGCTTTCTTTCTTAGTAGCTTGATCTCGTGAAACACAGCGCCTCCATTTTCCTTGAAGGGCAGAACTTTCGTTGTGTTCACAAACTTCTGCAGCCGATCAACGAAAGTTAGAACCAGTCTCTCCGTGTCTGCTGGGACATGGATGGAGAAGGTTCCCTTGTAGCCAGTCATACTCACTCTCTTGTTCCCCATGTAGATGTGGCCAAAGCGCAGTGGCTCACCGTTATCTGCTGCTGTGGCTCTGCCTCGAACCGTTATTTTGGTCTCGGTGCATTTTTTGCAGCCACATTCTACAACGACTTTAGTGGGGAGCGTGTACCCGTTGCAGGAGATGTCTCTGGTTTCCATCTTGGACACCCCGCAGCAGTAGGCGATGTTGTCCTTACACCGGAGTCCTTTATCCAGCTTCCCAGCACAGGTCTTTGCTGGGCACTTGCCCACGTCGTAGTAGAAGGAGTTTGTTGCTTTTTGGAAGCAGTCGTGAGGAAGTCGGATGAGGTGGCTTTGGGGTTGGGAGTTGCAGGCTGCCTCTTGTCTTCCTGTTGAATAGGATTTCTTAATGAGCAGCATGAAATAATTGTATAGTCATCACGATGTGGTCTGAAACCCTCAGAGCTAAACGTTGCTTCCAATAACAGTAAGGTTTTTGCAGCCATAAAACAGATGTTTTGCAGGATTTTGGTTAGCTGAATTCATCTGGCATCCGTTTTGGTGAAGCAGGTGCTCAGCTTTAACTTTAGGTATCTGATTAAGAGCAGTGCTGTTTGCAGGAGCATCCCAGCTCCTGCTTACCCACCGCTGCCATCCAAGCCCACCCTCAGCTAGATGTTCTGCAGCTGCTTTGTTTTATGGCTACGGACAGACTAAAACGTGTCCCAAGATTTTAAAAAAACCCTAAACAAACAGAAATATTCACATGTCAGGCAGCAAGTACAGTGAGAAATCTGCTGAAACCAGCAGATTGAGCTTGGCAGGTCACCTGCAATCCAGAGCTCCAGTTTGTAGAGAGCATCTGGTTCATAACCAGCTCGTGCAAGCTTATCTGCTAACAGACGCATGAAATAAACCTCAAATATTTTTCCTGCAACCTTTCTCTCCCACATGTATCACAACTTCTGGTTTCTGCATTCAACCACCTCCCCAGCTGCTTGGAGAGCATCATGCACGTTTTCTCTTACCTATGACTGCAAGCTTGGCAGATTGGGACTTTGCTGACCCCCCAGCGCTGCTGGCCTTGCAGAAATACTCTCCAGACTGGTCTCTCTTCAGGTTCTTCAGAATCAGGTTGTTTTTATATTTGTATAAGGAGGGATCCAGCAGTGAGCCATTGTGGTACCTGCCAGGAACAGGCAGGCAGTTGAGGGACAGAGGCTGACTGTCTGGCTGGAGCAGAGCAATGGCCTAATCCTGCAGCCTGCCATGTGGATTTTGCCGGACCTCTTGCCTCAGTTTCCCCATTTGTAGTCTGGCTAGGTGGCATCACCTAAAAGCTATTCCCCTTCCCCTGGCAGCACTGAGATGTGGCTGCCAGGCAGGCAGAGCTGCCAGCTGTGCCTGCCGAGGTTTTTCAAACTCCTATTTGTATCTTTTCCCAGTAAGTCCCTCTGCAGATGACATTACTACACCTGTGAGAAATGCCAGCTCTGTACATCTCGAGGAAACCATAATTTCCAGCAATCAGTTCTTGGTGTAGTTAGCTGTTTTATAGCTAAACCCCACACCTTTATGGAGATGGTAAGGAGATAAGAATTTAATCTGTGGGGCAGGTAAGACTTCTGTCCGATCAAATCCCAGTTCCTTACCAGAGGTAGCGGTCGGGGGCCGGCCTCCCAAGGGCATCGCAGCAGAGCGACACGCTCTGTCCCACTCTCCTGGCTTTGTCCTCGGGGCTCCTTAAAATGTAGGGTTTGCCTGTGGGAGGAGGAAAAGGCCATCTCGTTACTCTTCCCCTCTTAAAATCATGGTTTATTTCTGATTACTGTGTAAAGCCTCCTGCATTCCCTCTCTCTTTGGGGCTACCTGATCGTTGGAGCTGCACTTGGATTGCCAGGTTTCTTCTGTTGCTCTTGGGCACGGTGACAGTCGCTGTTGCATACTTGGCTTTCTTTATTTTAAGGGTGTTTTTGCCATCGGGACAAACCCCCGGGATCCTAAACATGCCTCTGTTATCAGCCGTTGTCAACAGCTTGAGTTTCTTGGCTTGCAGGTAGACCCGGGCATCGGCAGCGGGCGACCCATCCTCGAGAGAGACCTTCCCGTGCAGGGTTGCGTCCTGGCACATGCAAGCGTCGCAGTCGGCGTTAACGCGACCCATGGGGCAGGTGATGTTGCAGGCTGGAGGAGAGGCAGGCAAGTCAGAAAGCAGCCCCGAGTCCCCGTAACGCTCATGGCACGGTCTTGTGTCTGCTTTTAATTTAGATGCAATAAGGCAGATACTTCATAAGGAATAAATTGTGCCCAAAACATATTTTTGCTGATTATCAACAGCTGTGCATTAGAAACACAGTGACGATGTAATTTCGAACCTGACAATTAGTAGAAAGCAGCCACGTGGATATAATTACAGCTAGGAACTGTTATTTGCCTTCCCCAAAGGGCTGAATTTCGGGGAAATTTGAATCCAGATCAGCATGTGAGCTCAACCCTGGCAAAATTACAAATCCAAATGCCTTAAATTTTGTAGGTTTCTGTTACAAACTTATGCCTAAAAGTTGTGACTTTGGTCTATCTTAAAATCTGTCTCCCCTTATTCAGTGGTATCCTGGCTAGGGCAGGACATAGGTTAATTGCCAAATAAGCATTACCTGATGGGTTTAATGAATGGCCTCACAAACATTGATTCTGAAACATTTTCATTACCTATAGCAATTAATCCTAAATAATAATGTGTCTCTTCCTAACCAAGGGCTCAGGTCATTCCTTTTACAATCGCAGAGCATCCTTGTACAGCAGCTACCTGATAATTTTTTTTTTTTATACCTGAATAAATGGAAGAAATCAGGGAAAACCTGAAACAACTTTCCTGGAGAAAATATGGACTATTTTCAGGATTATTTGTTTAAGAGGGAATTATAAGAATAATGACATTAATTACAAGCCCCTTCAGCAGGGGCTGTGGCAATTCGATATTCCCAACTCTTCTTCCTGGAGATTGCATGGAGGCAGCTGCCTGCAGTCACTGACTTCACCTTGAAAGCTGCTGTTATAACAAGATTAATGGGATTATTTTTTTCTATATCCCCAGGGTATTTATGGATCCCTGATGATTCCTCATATCTGGATTCCCCCCCCCCCCCCCCCCCCCCCCCCCTTATCTTGCTATTTGTCTAGAAACACCCCATGCTCTGCTCCCTTAGTATTCACCAGCCCTGCTCGGGAAGGCACTGGCGTCACAAAATTCTGGCAAGGGAGGAAGATGGTAAAACAACAGCGGAGGGAGTACAACGTCTACACAGTGGTGAGGTCAGGACATCAAACCCTGCCCGTAAGTGAGGTTTATAGGAGCACCTGAGCAAACATGTCCAATGCAGAGCCGCCCTTCCTCAGTTGCTTCATTACAGTGCACGCCCCCGAGGCGCTCAGCTAGGCAGGATCTGGTACGCTTCTGCACACCGGTTTGGCCACACTTTGCTGAGCACTCGCTCCATTTCGACCATGGAGACAAAAACCTTTTTGAATCTTGCACCAGTGGACCTTGAATAACATCAGTGGCGAGTTACTGAGATGCACGTTACACGTACAGCTGCCAAAAAACAGGCAGTTGTTCTCTTATCAGCTTCTATATAGCTCAGAGTACACATTTGGGTATTACGCACCACATGGATTAAACAAACTCAAAGCATGCTCAGGGAGCTGGTAAATAAAGCAGGAGAAGGCATCTGAAGGCTTTTGACTTAATTCCCCGCAGGCTACCAAATTCAGGATGATTAAGATAAACTCAAGGGGAGCAAAGTGCACACAGCTCATGCTTAGTGTTGAATAACTTTGGCTGAGAGGAAATCAAACACACATTGTCATTTAAACGCTGACTGAGGGGCAACGCTTGCCTGCGTTTCAAATCTGGTCAAATAAAAACAAAAAACAAAGAGTAAAGTTGTTGGTATGATCATGTTGAATGTCTTTAACCATACTTCAACATATGTTCTCTATAGGGGGAATGTGTCCCCTATTGCGAGCACCAGTTTTACTGTGTGCAAAGCAGAAGCCTAAGATGCTACTGAGCAGGCTGAGCATGTTAGGGGCCAGCTGATTTGTAAAACACAGAGGGTTTATTGAGGGTTTAATATGCGGTTAGGTTTTGAAAAGAATTTCGTTAACCGGGCTACTAGATGGTATTAATTTAAGCTGCTTTGAGTGGATGAAATCCACTCCAAGTCTGTGGTTTGGATTTATTTTAAAATGACAATGTTCTAATAATGTTTATGAGGATGCACTTATGACTGAAGTTTCTAAAAATAAGGTTTCTTGGAGGCGTGTGCCATGCCATCTCCCACACCTACCCTTCCACCCGATTTGTAATAAACCAGGTTGGGTTATTTCCTAGAAAGGCAGACAGGCACACAGCTGGGCTGTTCAATAGGGGTGGCTGAAAATGAACCCCTGGCTTACAGAAGCAGGTGGCTTGAAAAGACCATTTAAATGACAGCAGCCACGGGAGCATCATGTCTGGCTTGGAGTGAGAGCTTGGCTTAGACAGGCGAGCTTTTAATCTGTTGGCACTTCAGCATCTCCAGTTCAGCATCCCGAGTGGTGCATCCATAGACCTGATTTAGCAATTTGGGGGATGCAGGAGGGGGTGGGCTTGGGGATGTGGTCCCTGCCTAGGCAGCACACAAATAAATGCCTGTCTGTACTCTCCCCAAGCAAAAATTTAATATGCAGAGGGTTAAAGTGGGGTCTCAGTAAAATCCTAAACTTGTTTGGGATCAGCTGCTTTAATCTGCAGGGCTGGTGACAGTAAAAAGGAGGTGGGGAAGTCCTGTGGAGAAAAACAGCATTATATGTCTCTAGGTAGCACCTCGACAGCAGAAAAAGCAGAAAGTGGAGGATGGGGGAGAAGCAGAAGGGCTCGAGGGCTGGCAGGGATATGGGGAGGGACGGGGCTACCCCGCGGTACCGGCTGGCAGGAACGTACTGCGTCTGGCGTAGGTGAAGGTTGGGTCTCCCCTGCGAGAGCTGCTCCTCGTACCTGCGGGCAGAGGACGCGTGGGGTGTTTTGGGCAGGGTTTGCCTTCTCCCTGGCCAAGCACCAGTCCCTCCCGCCAGCCCAGCTGCACCGAGCCCGGCTGCTCAACCCGACCAGGTCTTGTAACACCCTCTCCTGGAAGCGAAAACTGAATTTACAGCTCACTACTGCCAAGGGCAGATGTTTTAATTTCCAATTGTGCCGGTAAAAAAAAAAGAAAAAAAAAAAATCAAGATTTTTGCTTTACTTCTCCCTAGAGAAGCAGGGGTCTCTGCTCTGAGAACCCCAGCCTCAACATCATTGCCTTGCACCATCCACTTTGAGGGGAAAGCAATTTTCCTGGTCGTTTTCCTAAAAATCCCTCTTTGCAGGTAGAGGGGACCTCTCTCTGAGTGTCCAGGTTTTCGGTGCTTTGATTGTCCCCAGTGGCTGGGAGAGCTGCTGGGAGCGGGACGGGAGGCTGGGAAAGTCCCTTAATCCCTCCGCTACAGCATCAGCATGTCCAGCCCTTTCAGTGCCTGCTGGAATTTCAATCCCGAGCCTTGGGCAGTAAAGCTTGAGGGGTCAGGGTATCTCCTGGGGATTAATGATCAGAGGGGGTTTTTCAGGTAATTAATGCTCCACGGGCTTTAATTCTAAAGCAATGGTGTCACAAACCGGGGAAAGGCAGGTCAGAACATGTGCTTGCCCATCCCTGGGCTCTCCTAGCCCTCCCAGCCCGTGCGTGCCTCCCATAGGAGTCGGGGCCGTGGTCACACACTTGACCTTCACTTTTCCAGGAGAGGAGCCAACAACGTGTGCCAGTGATAGCCAAAACCCTACAGGATGTCACGGATGATTAACATTTATTCCATTGCCTAAATATCGTCATCTACTCAAATAATATTGTTCGGTTGTAAATTAAGGCTGAAAAAAAATAATACACGTGTAAACACCCCTTGTCCCGGCGAGGGAAATCTGTCCGAGCTGAGAAATAACTTACTCTCTAAGCTGAGCATTACCAGTGGGCTGAAGGTTTTCTGTCCTATCTGGATCCTGCTGAGGCCTGGTTTCAGAAGCCTTTGACCTAAGGGTCAATAAATTAGAGAAGAAATTAGATTAATAATAAATTAACTAGATTCAAGGAATTGGGTATCCTTAGGCTTAGTTTTTCAGATTTACTGTTGGGTGGTGGCTGGTTTGAGCCACCAGTTAGAGCTCCTGGGGGATGCTGTGCAGGAGATGCCAAGTGAAGGGCATGACAGAGGCACTCCACAGCATCACTGTGGCTCAGGTACGATAAAAATTTACCGTTTCTCTTAGCATCCAAGAAAAAAATGTTGTGTTTTCTGAGTTGGAGCAGCTCAGATCAAATAATCTTTTTATAGCTGGAGATATAAAATATACCCTGCCTCTCCCTGTGCTGGTGGAAACGAACCTGAGGTGGATGAGGTTGGTTGTTGCTGTGGGACACGGACTGGTTTCTGCACTTGCTGGTTGCCTGTGTGCCCAAAGGAAGCGGGTGGTCATGTCTGGTTCCTGGGCTGCTTGCTGGGACCAGTCCCATTTAAACTGGGATGCTAAGCCCGAATCTGCCCAACACTGGGCTCTTGCCTGTGCCCAGCTCTTGGGAGCTCAGCAGGGCTCCTGGGCACCTCCTCAGAGACGAGGTGACCCTCCTTGTTCTTGTCCCTGGGCATCTGGCCAGAGCACTTCAGGGTAACATTCCTCTATAGCCTCAGAAAACAAATCCAAAGAGCCTGCAAACAGGTTTGCTCTGCAAGACCCAACAGAGCAGAGGGGCAGGTTGCTTATTGCTCAGCGCTTTGGTATGCGCCACCTGCCTTGAGCCAGCAGCGGACAGATCCTGCTGCTCCAGAGCATCTTCTCCTGGAGAAGAGCCACGTCGCTGCTTCCCGAGGGCTTAGCTTGGAGGCTGGGGTGGTTTTGTGCTCGGGCGATGGATAAGGCACCAGCCAGGGTGGGTCTGGTCGGAGCAGAGGGGAACCAGGACAGGAGCTGGGGTGCCAGGGGGGCTCATCCCAGAGGCTGGCTGACTTGCAGGCAGGCTTTGCCCATGGTCAGGGGGCTGGATGGGCACCAGCCCTACCCTGGAAGTTGTTTGGCCAGGCGAATGCCACACCGACCCTGAACAGTGCCCGGCATCGCTGTCGGGCCCACGTCTGCTGGCTCAGCAGCCACCGGTACACGTGCCTTCATGTTGGCGTGCCCGAGGGCAGGGGACAGCACGGTGATGGGAATAGAAACATTTAACCTTCACCTAAAATGGATGTGGCTCCCAGGAGGAGGAAGAGGAGGATCCATCCTTTCACGGTGACCATTGTTGTCTCCAGAGGTGACTAGGGGCTTCTTGGAGTATCCGCAGCCGTCCCACACCTTCCCCAGACCTGCAGAGACAAGCCCGGCTATGTTGAGGCTCATCCAGGGTCCTACTGCTTTCAGAGAGCTTCTCCCAGGCTGAACCAGTCCAAAACACACCGTGGGGCTGTTTATAACACCCTGCCCCCACACCAACCCCCAGCAGCTCTCCACTTACACCCCAAGGGGGGAGGAACAGGGGCTCCACATCTGTGTTTGTATCCTCTCTGCTTCTCACAGTCACATTTGAGCCCAAATCTATTCTGCAGAGTGCTGCTTTGTAACATCACCTTAAAGCGCTTTTTAATAGCTTAAACTTCTGCAGAGATGCTCTTACAGCCCACAGGGCTCCAGCACCCCTCTCTGCCCCTCACACGAGCAGGGACATCTGCCTGCCTCCATCCCTCTGCCTGCAAACTGGGCTTAGTGTGACAACATCTTACCCCAGTACATCACAGGATCGTGGGGAGGGCTCCAGAGAGCCTCGGAAAGCAGAAAACCCTGTGCACAAGCCAAGACTTTGCTGCAAATGTGAGCAAGAAGCCAAATATTTTCCTTTTTCTGGATGCAGAGATGAAGGACTGAGCCTTTGTGTTGCTCTTCCCCAGCTCGGCAATTCCAAATTTTGTTTTAAGCAAGTCCCTTAGCCTTGCAGCATCAAACACTTTGGGTATTTAATTTCTGAAGGTACCCATGGAGCTGGTGTTATCCCAAGTGACACCAGCTGGAATTGCAGGTGCTTTATTTTATGCACCCCAAATTAATGAACTTGGGGGGGAAAATGTTGCCTCAGCCTTTCAGTGCCTCAGTTTACCCCCAAAATGAGGCTCATAAAAAGCAGCTGGCAGCGAGAACACCCTGTTACTTGTAAGCGGTATTAACCATCCCCTCTGAGACCAGCACATGTGGGACTAGGAAATACTTTGATTACGGCTCAGCAAATCCCAGTCAAGCAAAAATAACAAGCAACACATGAGCGGTGTTTTGTGGGCTTACAGGGGGGGTCATGAACTCTCAGCCAGACAATAACCAGGAAAAATTAATCCAGGCTTAAAGCCTTTTTCCCACTCAGTGGCTATTTGGGAGCTGGCTGCGACTTGTTCGGTGCTGGGTTTGGGACGGGATATGTCCCTCTGTCCCCAGGACACGCGATACTGGGAAAAAGGGGGATCAAGCAGCCAGGTCCTGGCGGCAGGGAGGGTTTGGCATCACCCGCATCCCCTCTGGCAGGGGGCTGGGGGAGCTGGCGTGGGACGGAGCCGCGGGAGATCGAACAGCCCCGTGTGAGCAAAACACTCCTGTCCCCATAACCCTGCCCCAAACCCATTAGCTGGGACTAGGAGCCAAGAAGTGGGACACAAAACCGCGTCCCCACCGATGTTCTCCAGCCTGCAGCCTCTGCGCCTTCATCTGCTCATCAATTAATTTCCACCTCGCCCTTAATCACAGCTGTTCTTAATTATGCTGCCTTAATAACACAGGAAAATTATATAACCGCTAGCTGCGACAAAGGGGAAAAACTTAGCAGGGTTGTTTGTTTGATTTTTTTTTTTTTTCTTTCTTTCTCTTACCTACAAAAACCATAAAAACCCCAATTAAGGAGAGTCTAGTCCTCTTGCCACAGAGCCGCTAGCCGAGCTGTGGTCCAGGGGCAAAGCGGGGGCTTGTCAGCTGTGGGTTAAAGGGATTTGCAGCCGCTCGGGAAGAAGAGAGAGAGAGTTGCAGCTTACCGAAACCTCCCCGGCACCACCGCCGATCCGGGCTGCGCACGAGCCTCCCCGCAGCCGAGGCAGCGAGGTCGCTTATATAGCCCGGCGTGTAGCTTAGGGGATGGCAGCGAGCCACCGGCCGCGAGCAAAAACAGATCGGACGAGCGAGGCAACCGCAGGCTGAATAATCCCTTAGCAAGGTGATGGTAAACACAAACCCTCAGCGAAACAGCAGCCGTGGAGGCTGGCGGCAATGCCACGACATGGCAGGGTGCTGCTGGCAGCAGGGCAGGGCACAGTGTGGGTGCCACGTCCCGGTGTGGGCACCGCGTCCCAGCACAGCACCATCACTGCTCGTGGTTCACCTTGGGTTCAGATCCAAAATAGATGCTGCTGGGCGTTGAAGATGGAGGTACAGCGTACAGTCACGCAGCGCAATGAATTTCAGGCTTGCTTTTTTGGCTCTTGCCCGATCGGGGACAAATGCGGTGCCCGCTGCCCACCCAGCGTCGCCCGTGGGGTTCCCACGCTTGGCAGGAGTGGGGCAGAGCTCAGCTGGGTGCCATCCCCCACACTGCCCACTCGCCTCTACGCCAGCGTTGGCTCTGGCAGGGGTCAAATGAGGATACTGTGAGGATGTGGGATGAAGCCAGACTGGTTTGGACACCCGGAGTAGCACAGAGCTGCAGAGGCGGGATCATCCTTGCAAATAAACGTGACTGCGTCTCGCTTGAGCCATGGGGGGATCTAGTGATGACCCCTAATGAGATCTCCCTGCCTGCCCCAGGCTGGCTTCAACCCTCCCAGGTCCTTACACGGTGGGAGCCATCCCCAAAGGCTTGGGGATGGGTGTCGGGGCAGCCGGCAGCGTGCGGGATGTGCCAGCGATGTCCTGGGCTGCCTCTTAGTAACCCTTGCTGGCCACGCTGCCAGAGGGAGCGGCGCAAGAGGAACATAGATCAAGATGTCACATAAAAAATAATTGGTGGTGGCCTGCACCCGCTCCTTTTTATGTTTACAAGAGAAAAGGAAAAAACACCTGAGATGTGCCAAAAAATGGCAGAATGTTTATCTGGTGGGCAAAGAGCGTCCAATGAGCCGGAGGCCCTGGATCTGAGAGATAAACACAGAGCTCAGCTGCATTTCCCTGCTGTGATGAGGACAAGATGTGGGAAAGGTGCCGAGGCTGAGAGAAAGGATTTCATCTTCCCCGGAACAGCACATACCTCCTGCCACAGCCGGCCCATCCCCAGCACAGCACCGATGCCTGGGCAGGCAGCTCCGGTCCTGCTGGCTGCTTGGCACACGCTGACATCGATTTCCATGGGCCGCACTGCGAGGTAAGGAAACGTGCTATTCTGCAAAAGGAAAAAAATATTATTCTTAATGTTATGGAAACCAGGTGATAGCTCTAGCCCAGCACAGCTGCACGTATTTCTGCATGTGATTTTGGAGCCTCCTTAGCACGGGTGTCTCGTCTCCAGCATGGCTCCTGCAAGACAAGCTCAGGAAACACGTGCGCGGTTTCAGGAGCAGGTTTGGGACATGTGAGTTCATGCAAAAACCTAAGCCTCTAGAAACGTCTGGTTGCGCAATCTCTCTTGGCTTGGCCATCCCTCGCCGCAGCTCGGGCATGTGGCTGAAGCTGGATGGAGCAGCACAAGCAGAGCCTCAGATATTTCCAGCGCTGAGCACCAGTGGCTGCACTGCGGCTCCAGGAGATGCTCAGCTGCTTTCCATCCACCCAAGGTGGACAATGTCCCAACCCGTGGGGTGGAGGGGGCAAGAGGGGTGCTGCACTGTGCCCAGGGTGGCCACTCTGCAGGGTTGTAGCACCCGTGGCTGACAGGGAAGGGTGTAGCCCACACCAAACTGCTCTTATCATTCTGGTCGTGGGTTCAGCTGTCCAAGGCTGATGTTTCCCAACCAAAGCATCGGTGCAGCAGAGCTGCAGCCCCACAAATACATTCCCCTCCTGGATTAACTCCAGGGGCCCTGTCTGGCTCTCATGGGATTTTTCCACGATTCCATCACCAATGTGTAGTTACAAAGCCATAATGTATTTATGTGAATGCTTCCTTGCTTCATGCTTCCTCCCTCTCAGTGCCAAGGATGGAGCAGTGTAAGAGGACTGTGATAACTGATGGTGCAACGACACCTGCCTCTCCATACCCCTTCGTGGTTGTCTCCATTGCTCTTCCTGTGTCCCTCTAATAAATCCAGAGGAAAACAGGCTAGTGATGCTCATCCCAGCTATTTGTGTCTCCCACCCCTTCTGATACCACACTGGCAGAGTGACCGTTACCAAAACCCGACTGCACTGTGCCAGGAGGGTGGCAGGGACAATGGGGCTGCTCTCAGAGCTGCACGTAGGATTTACAGGCTGTGGGGTCTGTGAAATGCTCTGTGGGCTCCATGAAATACCCTGTGGGGTCCATGAAATGCCCTTTGGGGCCGAGGCCGTGCTCAGCTCGCTGCCAGCTGCCTCCGTCCTCCCTCCCCGCACCCTCTTTGCTCCACCAAAGGGAGATGACGGTTATTTTCCCCTGCTGCATGCTTCTGGGCTCGCTCCTGTTTACAGAGATGAGAGTTAAAATAACTGATTGATGACTTTGTTCCATACCAAACACTTTGGGGAAGTTTGCGTGGTTTAGGAAGGAGAGCTGAGAGCTGGGATTTCACTAAGCACTTGGCTCCCAGCACTTCTCCAGCCATGCTCCAGGGGTGGCTAATGTTGTTTTTTAAATCCTGTTTTGCTATCCCAGGAGCTGGACTGGCGATTTCCATGGTTTGTAGGAGAACTTGGAGATGTGGTGGGTCCCCGGGGTTCACTCTGAGCTCTGAACCACCAGCAAACCTCGCAGCCACCACAATATTGTTTCACTTAAGCCCTTCTCCACCGCTTCATCAGCACAAAATCACACTCCAGCTGCCTAAAAGTTTTGGAAAAGAGCCCAAAAAATGAACTACTGGACTTTGTTTTTATTGTGTGGATGAGGATTTACAGGCTGTGGCTGGGAGAAAAGGAGCGAGCAGACCTTTCCCCCCTGGCAGGATTTACTTAGGAGCTAAAGCTTCCACTGCGGCTGAGCAGTGCTCAGCTCCATGTACATCATTTATGAAACAGATGCAAAAAGTGCCTCAGAGGGGGAACGACATGAAAGCCAGGAGCCAGGAAGAGACTGATTTTGGCTCTGGAGGTTGGGAAGGCTTTTTCTGTAGTGGTGAAAGAGCCAGGAGCTGCAGGGAGCAAGTGGCTGTGGCTGCGCTGCTGGTGGGGTCAGCCACAGGGTGAGCCCTCAAATGTCTGCTGGCACCAGCACAACGTGACTGACCCCCCCGACATGTAAAACCAGGGGTGTCCCCTGCTCTGTGGTCACATCTGTCAAGGAAAGGGCTTTTCCTAGTGCTTTTGCAGGGCATGGCTGTTACCTGAGTGCCCAGGGACCAGTACCTGCATCCCTGCTGCACGGATACAACCCTGTGTCCAGACCCACATCACCTGGAGAGGGGTTTGCTGGTCACCAGGACATCCCAGGCTGCTGAAGGGTCCCGCCAGGGTTTCCCTCCTGGACACTGTGTCCATCCCTGCTGTCTCTCCTTCCCCATCATAGCTTGGAAGAGCAGAGACAGGAGATACTATGAGTGCCAGAAGTGTCGCAATAGTGAATCCCTTTTTAATTACATTGCTGAGCTGGGGAAATTAAGATAAGTATTCCGGCTTGTTTAGAAACTCTACAAGATGGAGTAGGCCTTTATTTTCAAGCCCTCCACGAGTAATGCACATCCCAGCCAGCTCCCCATGCCACACCTGGAGCATTAACCCCTCGGGGACACTCACAGGGCAGCATCACGGTGCCACACGCCGGTACGACACCGATATTTGCTGGGAGCATCCTGCCAGCAGTTGCAGGCTAGCAGCAGGGCCTGAGTTATTGCACAACGTCAAATCGGTGACAGAAACGCAATCACAGGATGCGAACGGGCACGATGGGAAGGTGGCCAGGTCTGAGCCAGGGCAGCGCCTCAATGGGGACATTTAAACCCCGGAGGAAGAGCAGGAGCAGAGCTCCAACCCACAGCCTGCTGCCTGTTTGCTTTAGCTCTGCACAGGGTTTGGTGGACAAAGACCATCCTGTGTCAGAGCACATGCTGCTCTGGACAATTAAATGCTCCTGAAGAAATCCTTAATTTATTGCTCTTATTTACAGGCATTAGCTTTGGGCTCAGATTCACTCCAGGCCATGCACCCATGCTGGTGGGGAGGGCAGCCTCCCACCCATGGCATGGCAGCCCCTGATCTCATCTGTGCCTTTTACTCCTTGACTTTCTTGCTATAAACTAGGCCAAGGTGGGCAGGTTTGCAACTGATTTACACCAGCAAAGCACTAGTCAGTTTTTCCTAAAAACCAGCAAAATCTTGCATGACCCGTGAGCATGCAGGGGAGGTCTTGAGTCTTCCAGAACAACATGGTTTGTGCCCCTCCTGCTCTGCAGGGATCACACCAGCAGCACATGGGAGAGGTGTAGGCTGTGAAAGCCAGACCAGAGGCAATGGTGATGGCAGTGAAAGCAGAGCATCAGGCTAAAAGCTGCTTTTTAGTGTGCAGATGAGCATCTACTTGGGATGGACAGAAAATGTGCAAAGGATGGAAACAGGCAGGTGGTGGGGACTCCTTGTTGAACCGTGTGTGAATTTATTTTGGTTGAATTATTGCACTGAGCCAGGTGGAGCTGAGCCTGGGCCGGGGTAATTTGGGCCAATCTGCCCCCGAGTTTCAGCTCGTAAAGAATTTACCAGCATCCGCGCTGGCAAAAGAGGACATGGAAACACCTCCCCTTCCCGGAGCGCCTGTGGTTGTGGGGGTGACCGGAGCTGTAAAACATCTCACGACCTCATGCATCGTGCCGAGGGCATGCTTGGAAAAACCAGGCTCTGCCGAGCTAATTCCATCGCTGCCGGGATTCCCCCTGGGGTGGTTGTGGCCGTATCAGCTTTCACCAGAGGATAATTGTAGGTTTTCCGGCAGCGTGGGCAGAGATTTTTGGTGGGGGCCAAGCGCTGCCGAAGGGGAGGGCTGGCAGCCACCCGGTGTGAGCAGCTTGGTCCAGCTGAGAGGAAAACTGCTGGGAGCAGGTTGGGAAGGCAGCACAGGAGATAAACCCTTCCCGAGAGAAATTAGCACAACGCTCCCACCATTGGATCGAGCGCTGCCTCCCAGAAACGCCTCGCCGGGAGGCCAAATCCAGCCTGGGGGGAGATGCCAGCACCAGTGCTCATCCCTAGGGACAGTGGGGTCCCACAGTGCCAGGGCTTGGCTCGGAGCAGGTTTCTTGCAGGAGGGTGAAAACAAAGTGTGGGAGCAGAAAATATATTCCTACAGCTCATTTAATTCAGCATTAATGGCATCTCTCCCCAGCGAGACACTGATCCTTTCCTAAAAGCAGTCATGTCCTTGCATAAAGCTCACCCAAGGGTGTTCTTAAGCCTTGAAAACTGCTTGGAAATATGAGGCGTGAGGGGAAAAAGGTGCTGAGGGAGGTTTTCCCTACTTCTTGCTCCTGCAAGCCCCAGGTAATGCTGCTGAGGGTCCTGTGGGTCTTTCAGCTCTCCTCACATCTCACCTCTACTGCAGCAAAACAGAGGCGTGCATCTGGCCCATGTTTGGGAAGGAGCACCCAAAGGGAGTGCTGAAATATGGCTTTGGGACACACAATCCAAGCTGGGAGCATGGAGAGAGGAAGGTGTTTGATGTTTGAAGCAATGTGATGTGCAGGTCCAAGTTAAAAAACAGCAGAGGATAAAAGAGGGCACGAAAGGCAAAGACAAGGAGAGCAAGTAAAACCCATCCAAAAAAAAGGGCAAAATTGTTCACTTCCATGAGTTAGTCACAATGAAAACATTGGGATTTCATAATTTCTTCCAGCTCAAGAAAAATACCCAGTTAGGGCAGCGAAAGCCCTGGCCGGGTTGGTGTGTGCTGGATCTGAAGGGGACCCACAGCCCCTTCACCAACCCCATGGACGATTTTCCTGGTTTACTGGGGACAGGAGCGTCACAGGATCAGGTGCTGGGTGAGACTTCCCTAATAAATCCCCCTGGATGGGGTTCTTAGCCTGGGCAAGGAAGCGAAGCTGCTGTGGGAAAGATGAGCCGTGGGTAGGTGCACACACGCATCCAGGTTTTATCTCTTGGCAGTGAGCAGATGGGGCTCAGCACCAGAGCCCACCATGTTTTCTGGAGCTTGACCTCAAGGTTTGGTCTAGGGTGATAAATTAACTATTCTCTCTTGTCTAGTTTAGAGGTGGGGAAGGGGGGATTTTCCTCTGCTTGAGATGTTCTGGTGAAAGATGGAAGAAAGACCCTGAGAGCTGCTGCTCTGTGTGGGAAGATGTAAATTTGGGGAACCTTTGGGAATGATTCTCTGGACATCTGGGCTCCCCTGCCAGTGGGGTTCTTGTCCTTTACACCATCCTGGCTGCGCCTGTGACTTGGATGTCCAGTGTGATGTGACGGGCTCAGCAACACCAGGAGCACCAGCCAGGGTATTAAAAGATGGGAACTTCAGCAGGTTTGAGGATCAAGAGCGTGTTTCTCTCAGCACCGCTGTCTGATGACATGATACCCCCTGGAGAAGGGCTTTTACCAGTGAGGTCTTCTGTGAGGCTCCGATATACAAAACTGAATTAGAAACAGCATGTTATTTCACCAAGAAAAAATCCAAAGCCACAGCTTACCAAGATATTGAGCATAGTGGGCAGGAGACATCCCTCCCTCTGCTTTAAAGAAGGACTTTTAGGAAGGGGACAGGATGACCCAGATTATCCCAGTGAGGGACAGCAATTATTGTCCTTCTTGGCAGACTCGGCAGAGCAGTCAGGGCTGGGTGAGCAGGCAGAATGAGATGCTGGTTTATCCAGGGTGACTGGTGAGCTTTGGTCCTCTGCCTCTTGCTGCAAAGTTTTCAGGGAATTTAGGGTGATGCCTCGCTACAGACCAATCTGTAGCATACAGCTGGAGGCAGGACCGTGCTGTACGCAGCTCTGATGCTGTTTTTTAATAAGGATGAAAACTGGGAGCTTCACAACCACTTGACTTATGAACTTTGGGTAAGAAGAGAAGCTGTTCCAGAGGTGAGCTCATTTCTAACCCCGGGAAATGACTTCATGGATGCTGGTATTTACTCACAAAAACACTGCATGTCAGATGTCCCTGACTAGACTTTCTGTTTCGAGTCCAGTATGAGACAAAAATTTCCTTGGACAAGCTGCTCCTGAGACAATTCGAGGTTTGGAGGAGAAGAATAAGAATTGGAGGGGGAAAAAAAAAAAAAATCAGCATTAAAAACTCTGAAATCATGAGGTTTTTCTGAGCAAAGGGGAATTTTTGGACAGTCAGCCTGGCAGAAGCACCTGCCTGGGGTGAGGGTGCTGGGGGTGAGGGTGAAGGTGATGGGTGATGCGTAGGATGGCTCTGCTCAATAAAGAGCAATTATTACAGCCCCATAACGCCCACCAGCAAGAGTTTCTCTCAGAGGTAAAAAGACAAGTTTTTCTCTCTTTTGTGAAGCCAAGACCCCAGTGGTGATTTAGTAGGATAAACGGCAGCAGGTTCCCCACCCCACATTTGCACTAGACTAATGGAAATTATATCCCATGCTTCTTTCCCTGCATGAGATCCCAATTTATATGGGATGTCCAATGGAAAAACACAGCACTTGCATTTTTGTTTAAGGTCTGCTCATGCAAAAATTGCCACTGGGGCTATGCTACCTGTTGTGGCTTTCTGATTTCTGTTTTCTCCAGCATTCTAGGATGATTCATATGGATTTGGGAAGAAAATTTGGTGATGGCTGGAGATGCTCTGAATCCCCATGACCCAGTGCTGGGTTGCAGCTCCATGGATGTACTGGGACAGCATCCCAAAAGGAGGGGATTTCGGAAAGAGCCGAGCTGGGGTGTATGGAAAGAAGCCCTGCCTGCCAGCACTGTTTCCTAATCCTGGGGACCAAAAACCTCTGATCGTTAAACCAGTGTTCAGAGATTCAACTGAAGGCTGCTGAGCAGACAACATCCAAGCTGACCTTTCAGGAGATGAGCAAAAAAAAAAAGACAAAACACAAGGGGGTTACTGTGCAAACGCTGGAGAAAAATAGTCATGTTAATAAGGGACCCCACCCTTAAAGAAGACTTATTGCTAATGCATGCCCAGGACATTTCTCTGTGATGGCATGCTAAAAAATTCCTCTCTGAACAGGGACCAAAGGCTTTGTTGTGGCATGAGTGAGGCTTACAGTTCCCAAGAAAAATCCTGTCCCTCTCTTGCATCATACAGTCGGGGATGGAGAGGACATTTCTAGACAAAAAGGCAGCCAGCCGGGAAGGAGGACAAACAGGGAATACATTCCTGACTTGCTATTTAATTGCTTTCAGTGCAGGTGCAAAGAGCTAAATGAAAGGAAAAATAAGGATGAGCATGTGGGGCCAAATTAATCTCAGCTTTAACCATAAGAAGGAGGCAGCTGCTGTAACAAATGGGCTTCCACCCCTTTTCTTTACGGTTTATGTGCTTTTCCCCCCCCCCCCCCAGGGACCAGGCTCATTGCCGTGGTGCCAGTGGGTGATGCTCTGGCCAGGTAAGGAGGTGATGGGGACGGTCCCCTCCAGCGTGGCAGGGTGGCTGGTGCTTGCTGGGTGCCTGCCCTCCTGTTCTGCCCGCGGTGGCTTCGGGGTTTCAGCCAGGCTCTGGCAGGACTGGGGTGGCTGGTAGCCCCCTCAGAGGGATGTCGCTGATGCCAGCTATTAGGTGGCTTTGAAACTGGGTCTTGGCAGGACAATGTCCCTTGGCTCTCAGCTTGTGAGACCACATTTTGGGTGGAGGGCTGGCAGTGCCAGGGGTACGTCTGCTTTTCTCTTTCCCCGTGGATGTAAAGCACTTCAAATGCATAAATTGCCCTTTGTGGCTCTGCACAGAGTTTCCAGCCTGGTCCCTTTCAGCGGTGAAATAGGTGTAATGGAAGGTTTAGGGGACTCTGATGCCTCAAGGGCTGATGTGGTCCAGTGGCTACAGCATCTCTTGAGCCTCAGGATCTGACTTCTCTGCCACACAGTTCGGCTCTTAAATGCACAAAGAGGAAAAAATCCTCTTTTTTTGCTGTGCCCAGGAACAGTTCTGCAAGCAGAGCAGCCTCGAAGACAGTGCAATCCCCTCTTGGAAGTAGGGCATTTCGTCCCCAAAATAAGTGGGATAGGTTTAACGACAGAAACCCTCCTATCCCAGAAAGTGAACTTCACCCTCCCAGGGAAACAATGCAGAGCTGCTGCTGCCAGCCTGGGACCGGCTCAGCTGCAGTCCTGTACACCGTGTACTCCTTAATTTAATAGGCCAGGAAATGTGAAGGTCTGTTTGCATGTAATTAAAGTCCCTACAATGTCCCTGGGAGGATGCCTGCCAGCGCCGGCCCCAGCGGGGCTTGGGGATGACCCTCAGTCATCCCCACAGCTCTTTTGCTGGCCAGAGGAGCAGGGCATCCTCAGTTTCCCTCCCTGCCTTGCACATCGTATTTTTTAAGCTCTTGTGAGCTCTTTGTCCCTCTCAGGGTTTCACACCACACATTGAGCTCTCACTGTGTTACACTGAAAGAAATACAAAAAGAACAAGGTGGGAACTTGATAGAGTGCGGAAAAAAAAAAAAAGCCTACTCATTAAAATGACAAAATGACCCAAGTATTCCTCTTTACAACATTTACAGTCCAGGCATGTACCTGTGTTTATCCATGATGCTCCCATGGACCTGTGTGGTCCAGGAGCATCGCTGTGGGGGGGTGTGTGTCTGTGTGTGCTGCGAGTCTCCTGGTTGTCTGAGCAACGGGATGTTCATCACTAACTCCAAGGATAATTAACTCATTTTTCTGTATTTATAGAAATCCAATGCAGGGTGTGTTGGCACTTATCCCTGATGGGGCCACATTTGGCCACAACATCTTGAATTTTGGCCATTTCTTGCAATATGGCAGCTTTGTCATCATCCCTGCTGCCTGCTCATTAAGCCTGAAATCGGGCAGTTCATTAAGCCCGCAGGGACAGGGCTGCCAGCCCTTGCCTGGGGGTGAAACACCGCAGCAGCTGCCTGTGCCGGGCTGCCCGTGGGTGCCCACCTCTGTGCGCCCTGCTCCTGCTTTGCCAGTGCAGGGGATGTTTGCATCAGCGTTGCCGTCTCCAGATGCCTGCATACGCCTGGGCTAAAAACAGCATAGCTCCCGGCTCGGCTGCCAGCAAGGGGAAATTTTGCTGCTTTGAGGGTTTTGTTGCAGGGATGTGATGCAAAGACGGGCTGGAGCATCCTGACTCGGCACCGCAGCAGCGGGAGACCCGTGGGGGAAGACAAGGAGCATCTTCTCAGCGTCAGGGCGTGCGTATGCCAGGTACGTTACCCTGGGACAAATCCAGACCTGGACATGGGTTTTCCCTTGTTTCTTCCAGACAGCCAGCAAGCAACTCAGTACTTTTTAGCTGCTTTTCCTTTTCGCTGCTCGCTTGTTGGGTTGGTGTTTGGGGAGGGAGAGGGGTGAAGGCATCAAGGGGGCTCGCTCTCAGGGGCTCGGGGTGCGGGTGGTGGGGCTGGAGGAGGGCAGCTTGCTGCAAGGTGTCAGCATCTCCATCCCGCAGAGCTGGGGAGATGGATTTGATCTCTGCTGCTTGTATTATTTGTGCAAAGGTGGGGAATGCTTTTATTTGGTATCAGCAAACCAGAAGGTACTTGAAAAGGTAAGGGACATACCCTACCTGCAGCTGGGACTGTTAACAGCTCATGTCCCCAAGAGTTGGAAGTATTTGCCTTTGAAATATAAGTTGTCCCAAAGCTGGTTGTGCTCAGGTAAAAAGGGTAATTAAATCAAGCCATGGGGACCCCCATGCTGCTCATCACCCTCGAGCCACCCCTGGTGTGGGTGTGTTTCTACCTTCACCTCCTCTTCCTGCTTTGCCTTCCAAATGCAAAGGGACAGAGGTGTTGAGGGTGGTGCTGCCAGGGTTCTGGGAAGGTCCAGGCTCCTAAATGCCACTGTGATCCTCTCCCGAGAGCCGTTGTCAGTCCCTGGACGGCGTGGGATCCCCCTTCTCTCCTCCTGACCACCCTCAGGTGCTGCCACCCATGGCCCCGGATCCAGTGCTGGAGATGGAAGTGGGCCATTAAGATTTAACACACTAACAGAAAGTGCTGTGGGGTTTCTAAAATGCTGAGACCTGCTCATAAAGCCCCTTTGGAAGGACAAGTCCTTGAACTGAGCACAGCCACCCCAGCACAGGCTCAACCAGCTCCAGTTCGACCCATTCCTGGCTGGGCACTGGTCGGCAGCAGCTCGTCCTGGCCACCGCTTCTGCTTCCCAGCTGCTCAACCGTCTTGCAAAGAGCTAAAAATATACGTCTGTGTGAGCAATCACTATAGCTACGCCAGGGGTTAGCCGAGGAGGGCAGCTGGGCAGTGTCACTGCGACCAGGAGATGCGGCAGCTTGGCAAAATGGGCAACACGGAGGGACAGGCAGGGACAAGCCGGGGCCAGCAGGTTGCTGCTGGAGCTTCCAGTGCAGATCCCACCATCTCCCCGTTTCTTCTCATACTGAAGCTGCAGCACATGACACAGTCCCTAAGAGGGGGTTCACTTTGCCGCTTGCGTTTCGGCAGGAGATGAGTGACGAGCAGCTCCCCGCATCTCTCCGTCACCCCGCCACGGAGGGGGACGGCAACGTCTCAGCCCCGGGCTGCCCTGAGCCCTGGGTCGAGCCCCGGTTCACGCAAGCGGCGAGGGTCCGCGTGATCATCACGGCCATCTTCTTCTTGCTGGCGGCGGGCAGCAATGCGGCAGTGCTCGGCAGCCTGCTGAGGAAGAGGAGGAAATCCCACGTGCGGCCGCTGATCCTCAGCCTGGCGCTGGCTGACCTTCTGGTGACGGTGGCGGTGATGCCCCTGGACGCGGCGTGGAACGTGACGGTGCAGTGGTACGGCGGGGACCTCTCCTGCAAGCTCCTCAACTTCCTCAAGCTCTTCGCCATGTACGCGGCTGCCCTGGTGCTGGTGGTCATCAGCCTGGACCGGCACGCAGCTGTCCTCCATCCCTTCTCCCGCGCTCGCCGCCGCAACGGGCTGCTGCTCCGTGCTGCCTGGGCTGGCAGCCTGCTCCTGGCTTCGCCCCAGGTAGGGCTCGCTGCCCTCCCCGTGGGGTTTGACTAGCCTGGGGGTGGTTTTGGAGAAGGGCTTCTCCATGCCCACAACCCTCAAAAGTCCATCCCAATCCATGGGCTCCACCACCACTGGCTTGGCTTTGCTGAGCAAAGCAGTGTGGTTGCTGTGTTGGGTGCTGAGCACCTTCCTTATAGCACCCATTCGTTGCAACATCATCAGGGTGTTATGCTATGGGCTGGGAAAAAAAAAATGTCCACTATCTTTTATTCCTCATTCACATGGTTACCTTCTCCTAAAAACGCATCGCTGCACCACTGCAAAACATCTTGGGTCAGACCAAGACAAACCCGAGCCGTTCCTGACCAAAATAACATACGGTATGGCCTGGGATTTCACAGCCATCAGATCCCATCCATCCTGGCCAGTGCCATGAGTTAGATGCCCAGAGACCCTCTCCCAGTCCAGCAGCAGCAGGGAGGTGCTCCCCGTGCCAGAAGCATCTGCAAGATGTGGTGCCCTTGAGTTATTATCTGGTTCTCCATTTCAGCTTTTCCTCTTCCACCTGCGCACGGTCCCAGGAGGGAACTTCACCCAGTGTGTTACTCACGGGAGCTTCCGAGCGCACTGGGAGGAAACCGTCTACAACATGTTCACCTTCAGCACCCTCTACATCACCCCGCTGAGCGTCATGATTGTTTGCTACGTCCGGATCATCTGGGAGATCAGTAAGCAACTGAAGATCAACAAAGGTAAGCAAGTCCCAGCCCTTTAGTGTCCACCATGACTCTAGGATTGACCTTGCTCCAGCCTGGAGCGTTGCTGGATCTCTGCCAACACCCTTTGAAGAGTAATCCAACAGTTCTTGACCCTCCCCCCCAACCTTGCTGTCTTCTGCTTCCTGTGGGCCATGGACCAGACCACGAGGTGGTCTCCCTTCCCTGGCAGATGCAGAGTCATAGATGGTTGTGTTCTGGTTTTCTCCCATCTCCTGCTATCCTTTTGACTCTTCCTGGCAGGTTTGATAAGAAATCAAAATGACCACATCTCCAAGGCACGCATGAAGACTCTCAAGATGACAATAGTGATTGTTGCCACCTTCATCATCTGCTGGACCCCTTACTACCTCCTGGGCTTGTGGTACTGGTTCCAGCCAGCCATGATCCAGAAGATGCCAGAGTATGTCAACCACAGCTTCTTTCTCTTTGGCTTGCTGCACACCTGCACCGACCCTGTCATTTATGGCCTGTACACCCCCTCCTTTCGGGAGGACGTGCAGTTGTGTCTCAGGGGCATTGAAACAGCCATTACCAGGCATGAGAGACACAAACCTGTCTCAGTTTCAGAGAAGACTGTCAAGGATGGTGTTGTAGATGGTGGAGTGGCATCAGGGGGCTCCAATGGGACAACTGTCAACACGGTCTGCTGAAGAGACATACCCACAAGGAGGTGGGAAGCACAGCTTTGGGGGCTGCTTTGTGCCATAGGATCATTCTGGAGACTGTCATAAGGAGGTTTGCTACCCAACTTTGGTGGGTGAAGGCATCTAGCCAGCAACTGGAAATGTGTGCTCTGCCTGTACTCAGGGTGAAAAACATTTAGGTGTATTTATGGTCATTCTTCTATATACTGGCAGCCCTGGGACAACTAGAAAACCATACTTTTTGTACCCTACACACACTCTAGCCCTGATTCTGGCCTCAAGCATCTTCCACGCTTCCAGCATCAGTCCCTGGGAGGAGATACAGTAGCTCCTCCATGGCCCAGGGCCACATCTCCCAGGGTGGCCAATCTGTAAGTGCCCTTTGCACCTACACCAAAGTGCAGAGCTGCACAGATGCACAGCGCTATGTGGTGTCACCCTGAGAGGCTGTCAGGGTGCAACCACAGGCTTTTACTCTGTTTTATCCACTCACTGTAGGAAAGGCCCTCTAGAAATTTTGGTTCTCCTGGCTCAGAGGCCACTTGGTTCTCCCATGGCCATGTGTGAAGCCCTAGGAAAGATGTAAATCTTTGGGGAGTGACTAATGCAGGGGCATTAGTCCCCCTGGGCTACCTCCATGGTGGGGAGGGAGAAGGTGCTGTGAGGATGGAAGGGCTTGGGCAAGAGGTATATGAAGAGTTACAGTAGGATGGAGTGAGGTTTCTTCTCCCCTTTTGGCCACAGCCAGAACAGAAACCAGTCCCTGCTGCCTTGTTCTGGCATGCAGGGGGTGGTAGGAACACATCCTTACATAGCAGCTCTCTGGGACACATAGTTGACCAGGAGAGAGAGTATTTGGTGACATAAACTCTCCAGGGCAAGAGCTGGTAGGTCTCAGACCACATACTGGGCTGTCCCCAGCAGCTAGCACAGACTGAAGGGAGAAAACCCCCCATTTTCTTCTCTGTTTTCCCCTCTCATTTATATACATTGTCTTTACCTTGATGGCTTGACCCAACACCTGCAGCTCATCTCTGCCCTGAGCAGGGTGGGTGCAGCCACCCCACAGGTGATGTCCAGGGTGTCCCAACGAGGAAAGTGATGGGAAGCACCTGTGGATGAAGGGGCCCATCAACATCCATTGATAACAGGTGGGTGCTGATGGTCTTTGACTGCACCATGAGGGCAAGGGAGGCTGTTGGAAGGATTGTCTGAGTTGTGGTGAGTAAAATGGATTTTTTTTTTTGCTTTTTACCAATGTGCTAGAAGTTGCTTATGAAGGTGGAGGCCTCTTCCCTAGGTGTGGGTTGAAGAGATGGGTTTATTCAATTGTGTTGTTCCTTTCTGTGCAATTAGAAATAGTGGGTTATTTCTTTGTTCTTTCTCTGCTGATTGTTATTAATCATAATATTAAATGTATTTTTTGCCTTTGAAGAGAATTTAGTTTTGATCCAGGTGGAGGGGCTCTTTTGTTGTTTTTGTGAAATCTTTGGGCAGCTCAGGAGCTCTGGATTTGGCAGGAGGCAGTTCCCTGGGCATTTCTGTGGTGACTGCGGTTTTGAATGAGCATCTGGACTTTATCATGACGAAAGAGTTTTGTTTTGTGTTAAAACCAACTCTGGACTTGCTGTGGTTGTATGTGTAAGGAAGCTGGGAGATGTCTCCCCAAGAAAGCAAATCTGCTTTGGGTATCAAGGGGGTTTTCTTGACTCTGTCTCCAAGAGGAGATGGATCCTCATCGGTCAGAAAGGATCTGTACTGGTCTCCCAGTGCCCCAGCTAGCAAATTATTAAAATTGGAGAGGTGGGTGGTGTTTGCAGGTTGGCTGAGGCTGAGCAGTGAGGATACAGGAAGCCATAGTGCTCAGGGTGATGTTGAGCTGTGGATGGGTGTCAAGCCCTTGCCTTTCCCCATGCTAACTGTAATTTATGCTAAACATGCTGCTCAAGGAGAAAAAAAAAAAAAAAATCAATTAAAGCTGCAGGAGCCCAGACTGACTGGTGGGAATTAGTGTGAATCCTTTAGGAAGCATCCAAACTCCAATGAGATGCATAATCGCTGTTTGGCTTTCCTGGGCTCGTTCTGCTCAAGGTTAATTAGGCAACGCTAACAGGAGCAGGACTTACTGCTGCCAGGCTGGCTCAGCTTGACTGGTGCAAAAAAGTGTTTCTTGTAAGGTGATGGGAATGACTTGCAGTAGGGGAAGCTAATTTATTCATCAGACACTCATTTGGTCTCTCTGTTTGTATTACTGATGATCACTAATGGGAGGCAGACTTTGAAAGTGTGTTGGTTTTCTGGCAAGCCTCAAATAAGCAGGAAAGTGTTTTTAATCTCCTGATAACATTCTTCATCTGTTTTCTGCTGAGTGGGAGAGAACAGGTCCAGCATTGCTGACACACTTAAGGCCACTTGTCCCCTCTTGCACAGCAGCAGGAGAGCTTGGAGACCTTCTTTGAGGAGCAAGAAGCACTTTTTTCCCTAGGGGGGGGACCCACCACTTGTACACCCCATGGGTATGGTGAGGGGGTAGAAGCAGGTTTGGCTTTAGGTGAAGAGTAGGAAAATCATGATCTTGGCAAGGATATGTACCTTGGTCCTTGGGGGAAGCATGGCGCATCCTTCGGGATGCTTGCAGGCACTCCAGCGCTGCTCCTTCTGCCCTCCTCCTGATACCTTCCCTTCTGTTGTTGGTGCTCCAGGCTGACATTTTGGGAAGCCTGGCGTGTGGGCAGGGTGCCCAAAGTGACAGCTTTCATAATAGAAGGAAAATGTCACTAGAAGAGCGTGCTGCCAAGCCGTGTGCCCGACATATGCAGGAAGGGGGAGCGAGCAGGCAGGCAGCACCTCCCCGGGGATCGACCCAGGTCTGGGTCCTGCCAGAGGTGGACTGAAGCCCAGGCCTGGTTTGAATGTCCCATCGTTTCTGATTCTGCGTTTCTTAAAGCCCTTCCCACTCTGGAGAGCAAAAGATTTTTGCGTCACTCATCAGGAGCACGAAACCTGGAGCCTCGCTCCTCCCAGCCCCAGGGGTGGTCTTGCTTTCTGCGGTGGTTCCATCTCTCCTCACATTGTCTCAAGCCCCTCGACTTCAGCAGCACCTACCTTCTTCCTCAGCTGGCTCCCGAGATCTCTCCATTTATATTTATCTACATAAAAATACTTATTTATTGTCTATTTCCCCTTTATAGAAGGAAAATTCTCCCACTTCCCCAAAATCTGCCTGTTCCCTCCAAGAAACACCAGCTGCCACACTTCTCCTTGCAGTCACAGCAGGATCAGATTTGTCTGACTTGCTAACAGTTCCTTAATATTCACCACTGTAATGTAACAAACATATTAATAAGCACAGGTAGCTTTATATTTTACAACTCCTCGACCTCACCCTGGGCTGCCTTCTTCCGACACAGCGGTCCTTTGTTTGGGAGGAAATTCTGATTCATTCCCTATTAGCATTTTTATAGTACTGTGCATGTTCAAAGAGCCACGCAAGTGGCTTAAGAGGTTAATGCGAACCTTGGGTTAATTCATAATATTGTTAGTTACTCAGCACAATGCTCTTATTAATTCAGCTGACTGCATCTTGCCACGTTGGGAAACACATGCTGAAATCAGCAGGGAGCACAGAAAACAAGCATGGGAGTAGGATATTAAGTATTTTGCTGGCCTGCTAAGGTAGAATCTGAGCACCTTAAATTTATTTTCCCATTGCTTTTGAGGGCAGCGTTACCCTGCCTCACAGATGTGGAGCTGAAGCACCAAGGAGGCTGTGCCCAGCATCCCTGCAGGTCTGGGAGTCTGAGGGATGGGACTACAAGCCCTCTGAGGGGCACTCAAGACAGGACCCATCCCCTACCTGCAGCCTCCTCTTTCTTCTGGGTCCATTCAAATGGTTCAAAGCAGAAAAAGCTGCTTTTTTTCCTTTGATACCTGCTGGTTTAATTGCAGTGCTGGGCTGCACGCGTCTGCCGTGAGAGCCCTTGCAATCCTTTTCTCTCTGGGGATATAACCTGGAGCAGCTGGTGCAGCAGATCAGCTTGGGAACTAGCACCCTACACGGGTGCTATTGCCCCACGCTTGGGAAGAGAGCTCAGCTGAACGGCTTAAAGCCAAATAAAAGCCCAGACAGACATCAGGAGATAGTGCCGAACAGCCACTATGCATTCATTCCTTTTGCTTACTCTTCAGAAACCTTCCTATGCAAAGAAACCCTAAGAACAGAGCCTCAAAGCCCTGCTGTGTTCTTCCCCATCTGTTTCTTTCATCCAACTTGCGGGCGCCCAGGTTCGTGCCTTTCCCAGCGGTGCAGCCAGCCAGCCCGCAACTGCTGCCCAACCCCCTGCTCCAAAGGGCCCCCGATAGCCCATCTGCTCCAAAAGATGTGTCGTTTGCAGATGTACAAGCCTTTTAACAATGCAATACCCTTCAGATAGCATCAAATACCTCTAGGTTTTCCGGCTGGCACGTTGCCTACCCTAAACTGACATATATATGGCCCAACATTATATACAGCGTGCTGAGGTGGACCAAAAATGGGCAACTATTCCTATGCATGTCTCAAACCCCCAAGTTCCTGCATTGGAATATCGAGGAGTAAACTACATTTTAGTAGTTGAATGCGCTGTACAGTAAATTGTTAGTTTATGTGTATTTTAATTGCAAATCAACGCTATAATTAGCACATACATTTCTTGCGCTGAGGCAACGCAATGTGCTTTAACAGTGAGCATTATTAACGGACTGTAAAAGGCAATGGAGAATTGGACTATAATGTTCTTGTTTTGCAAGCTGTATGGTGAATAAATAAATTTGTTCTGGCAGCAAAATTAACTGGAATAAATGCTTGTAGCTCCATCCACCAAGAAGAGGGGTTGCTGTAAATGAACTTGTTCTCAGCCTTGAGTTAGAAAACCTGATTACCAGGTCATTATTTCTGGCAATTAGGTACCAGAACATCAGAGAAAGAAGAGATTTTCTTTGAAATATTTAATGAGTAAGGTAGTAATCATACACTCATTTGCTGGAAATATGTGATGAGATTTTTTTTTTTTGTGGTTAGGGTTCACTGTGCAATGAAAATCTGCATTTATCAAGTCTACTACTAAAAGCTGTGAGCCTTAACTGTGGCACATATCTAGCTTTCCTTTGCCTAGAATCCCTAGGTTCTTTATCAGGTTTATCCCTGTCTAGTCACTAATCAGGGGACAGGTAATTAGAGGTTGCTTTGGAACAACAGCAAACGCAAAGGACTTGGACAGGAGGGGGAGAGCGTTGCCCTGTTTATGTTGCAAGACTAACTTGTGCATACCTCTCTGTGTGTTTCCAAACCCCCAAAATGCCCTTCTTCAAGATTAGAAAAGATGAATCTGAGAGATACTGAGGTTTCACACACCAGCATTAAGCCAAAGCACTTTGCAAACAGCCTAACTGCTGTAATTCTGACCAGAGAAAGCTGAACCTCTTTGTGAGAATTCAGCGTGGTCAGTCTATCTTACACACAGTACAGTGCATGAGTTGTCATGGGGAGGCTTAAGTGAAGTCTACATGAAGTTAACTGTACCAAAAATGTTCACAGACATAAAATACAATCCTACTAGTTCTGCTGCCATTTTACTCCATTTCTTACAAGTGTTTCAGGAAATAGCTGGCACGTTACTGCTAGCTCGTCCGTTTGTTTGTAAAGGGAGGCTGAAAGCAACTCAATACAGGCAAAAATGGTGAACCAGATCCCAAAACCCAGGCAACCCCCAAAAGCCTGTCAGATGACAGCATAAGTGGAACACTTCACCCTCCCTCTTCTTGGTGCAGAAAAGGCAGTTTGATAGGAATAATCTTTATTTAGTATCGATGCTGAAGGGCCTGAGTTTGTCTGATCCGCACAGTAACCAAGGACGAGACAGATCATGGCTGAGAGCTCAAATCTTCCAGATGTTTTACAGGGGGGAAAAAAAACATACTAGAAACCATTTAACTTCTTCCATTTTGTTGTTTTATTTCTTGTTGTTTTCTTACAATCATTATGCTCAAATATAAAAATTCCTGGCCAAAACCAAAGTCAGTTTTAAAAGTGATCCCATCTGATTTCATACATGCTGAATATCACTAAATTCAGTTTCTGAAAACAGATACAACTTCCTACAGGTTGCTTTTCCTGACATACAGAAAAATCCTCCTTTCCAACTTGTGCGAACATACCTCAGTTTAACAGAAAATAGTTACACCTGAGTGTTTCCATGCTTTAGTTTTCATTAATTTTAAATAACTTTTTCCAATGGACCCTTAACAATTGGTTCATGCTAAGCTGCACCACTGTGATCCTTTTCAGCTGTACTGGGCATCCTCATGAATCACAGGAACACAGAAATAAGAATAAATGGAAAGATGTCATGAGGATAATATATTGGTGACAGAACTGGAAAGCTCCAGGCACCTTTATTTCCAGAGGTCTGGAACAGATGCAGTGCATTTCAGATTGGCTATTATTAAGGCACATGGTGAAAATAACAGTTTATCATCTTGGGCAATCATCTCTCCGAGTCAAACATTCTGTGCCAGTAGTAGACGAAGGTTGGAGAGCTGCTGGCCCCTATCACTATTAGCAGCAGTAGGTACAGCATCATCATGACAGCAAAACGGTGGGTGTAGAACCAGGAAGACTGACTAGAAGTCCTGAAAAGGGAAAAGTGCACGAGTTCCATCAGAGGTGAATGAACACCTTGGCAAAGAGTATCTTAGGTTTTGTTAAATGATTAAGCTAATGCAATAAAAGCAGAAAGTTGTTCCACGATCCCTGTAACGAACAAAGCCTGATTCCCCATCTCTTTTCCCTAAATCTCTGTGCACAATCCCATCCTTAATCGCTGTGTTCACACTTTTCTGTTTGGGTTGGAGCTGTAACTGACTGCCCTGTACACACATGCTGATCAGCTGGGTGAATGCTGCCACTTAGGACAGATGAAGGCAGAGTTAAAACTGCCCTAGTTTTAAGCGCTGCACCCATCGCAGTTTCACTTTTTGTTTTCTGCCACAAACAGATTATCTGAGCTCTCAAAGATACTACCTGCTTACAGGGCTAGTGAAAAAGCAAATTTAGCTGAGCCTGGCAGTGTCAAAGAGGGAGACAGAGGCAACACGATGGTGTAAGCCTTATTTCCGCAGGAATCGGGATAAAAACAAATTCTGGCAGTGCAGCGTATCTTTCTTGCTTGTTTTCTGTTGTTTTTCAAAAAATGAGATGTGTGTATCTGTCTGTTACAGCATGCTCATCACTAGATAGCTGAACTCTTACCTCCTATGCTGTTTCTGTGAATATACTAGCAAGTATTTAACTCGTAAAAGTTGATTGTTTGTGACAACGAAGTATTTCTGTGGTACATCACCCCCTTCACTGTTTTTCACTCTTGCTCTTTTTCTATCTATTTCTTCTGAATCTGAATGTGAAGAGAAAATAAGAGGTCTTTGGGGGAACAAAAAGCAAAAAAATATGCACAACTTCAAGTAACTGTAAAAAAGCAAACAACCAACACCCCCTCACACACATACCCCCTGCCACCAGAGTGGGAATAAGATAACAAAAGACTTAGTGTTGGTATTCCCCTGAATCCCTTAGCATCCAAGAATAGACTGAAAAGTTTGCTTGAGGCTATACCACTCCTAGTCATCCTTGGTATGGATGGCATTATGGCCCAGACCGGGGTGATAAGGAGGTGGGTCTCCCACACAGTGCTTGAGGAGCTGCTAATATTAATAGGGAAAGAAAAACAACACTGAAGGATTGAGTGAGCCCTGCAAGCAGGAAGCAGTCAAAGAAGGACAATCTCAGCAGAGGCTTCCTAGCCATCTAATAAAGCTTATTATTGATACATCTGTGATGCTTCTGTTCCACCACTGCAGGTGAAACGATCAGGCGTTACGTGATTTTATCATACTATTGAAACTAGGAAAAACAAATGATGTCAGCAAAATATTTTCTACCCCTTAAATATACTATTGTAAGAGAAGCTTATGTAAGAGAAGATAACGAGGCTGTTGTGCATTTGTTGAGGGGTCAATCGGAAAAGGAGTCTGCAGCCAGTTTCTGCTGAAGGGTATTCACACTTCACACACCTGCTTAAACGATAGCATGTGTGCACAAAGCTGAAATACGAGCAGTGCTACGTAAGAGATGAACTATGTGTAGTTGTCATTGCAATAGACTCACCTTTCTTCTTCACCTGGCACTTTACATCTGGGTGGTCAATGATCTCGCAAACAGCTACACAGCTAAGGACAGAGCCCAACGCACTTCGCTGCCAACCAAGACCATGAGGGCTATAAAGGAGAGCCAGGCTCAGGTCACTGGTAAGATAGGTACCTTCACCAAACAAAGACGTCTGAAATGAAGCAGAAATATATCCTAAAATCCCATAGTGCAAACTGTAAACAATAGACAAGTGTTATGTACTTTCAGACTGGCAGTTCTGTTTCTGAAGGTAAATTAAGAAAAGTTTTTTCTGACCCGTGTTGGGTCTGGTCCATGCAGTATTTTTGTCCTGGCACAACTTCCTCGGGGTGGGGCAGCTGCCCTCTCCCATCCCTCAAATTAGCTGCTTGGCACAGCCCTTGGTGTGGACAGATTCATGCTTTCCCGGACTTGGATTTAGTTTGCCAGCTTAAGTATTTTATATCAACATGACTGCACTGCTGTTGGAGGCATTTCACTGATTTATTGAGACTGCCATCATTCAAATAATCCAACCACTGCAAACAAGGCAAGGCTTTACTTGCATTCAAATCTATGCTTTACTAGGAAAAAGGGAAATAGTTTTCAATTGTGAATTCCTTTAAAATAGAACTGTTCTAGTAACTTTGAATCAGAGGATTTGCCACAGTAGCTAACATTATCAATCCATTAAGTCCACTGTACCTGATAAGCCATTGTTCATAAAGAACCTGGGGTAAAAACATAGCCCAGGTTGACTGGAAGGTTAAGCAGTTACTGTGTCAAAGCTGCTTTACAGATGACACAAAAAGCCAGGAGGCCCAACTGCCTTTCTGCTGAAATTGGAAGAGATGTAAATCCTATAAGATGTCTCCCTTAACCAGGCCATTTAAAGAAGGCTTCATTTGCAAGTAGAACCTAAAACTTTTTTGATCTAAACTGGAGGCCAGGCAGAAAGAGAGAATCTCTACGAGGCCTGGGTCACTATCCTCGTCCTCTGTGCACAGGCAATTTTCAGCTGCAGGCTGTCAGACAGGCCAGTATTTGCAGAGGCATTACACTTCCGCACAAAGAAGCAAAATATAGCTGTAATTCATCACACTGGAGAAAAGGGGGTTGTGCCACTTTCAGTTTTTACCCTCAGGCTGCACTAGAAAATCCAACACAACCATCCACAAAGGCCTACACAGAAGTGAAAAACAGCATCGTAAGATCATCAGCACATTTCATATCCCTACAGGAATTTGGGCCTATTTTTAAAAAGTGTCACTAGCTGCAAGTGATCAACAGAAGATGGTGCCAGTACCAGGAGCCTCACCCTGTTCAAATGGCAGTGCAGGCCGTTGTGCAGTATGGAATGGAAGTTCTCGAGGCGGCTCCCATGGAAAGCGTAGATGAGGTTCCGCTCTCCCTTGGTCTCGGTGAACTTGGTGTTCATTTGATCACAATAAACGATCTCAAAGAGGTAGTCCGGAGCAGGAACCGCAGCCCCAGACATCCCTGTGAGTTCCTGGATCTTCTCGTACTTAAAAACAGGAAGGAATATAAGTGTTGGTTTATGGGGTTAGATTACTCACTGGAAATTTTGCTTACTGTCCCGTGGTCTTTCATACTGCTTTATGTATCCTGATTATGCTTTCTGTGTCAGAATTTAAAACCGTCACAATTCAGTAGGAGTAAGCGGACAGTAAATATTCTGACAGTTTCTTGCTATGGAAGCTAAATTCCAATTCTTCTTTCCAGAAAAAACCCCCTGAATTAACTGGTGATATAAGGAAAATATCACAATTCTACTTTGTCTACTAATACGATATATTCATCAGGTGATCTTGGAAGAGGAAAAAAAGTGAAAAAAAAAAAAAGTAGTTTTCATCTTGCTACTAATCTCTACAACTATTTTGATCCCCATCACAGAAGTACCTCCGTGGCTCTCAACCTTTCCATTTTGGGAGCAGTAGGCAGAAGTAGAAAGCTGTCTTTCTCAGTGAGAAGCAGGATCTAGCTCCATGACACCTGCATTGGACTATCTTGGTCTAGAACACACAGGTGGTACGTGCTACGTTAATGGGAGTAACCAACCACAATCATTGCCTATCATCGACTACTGACAGTGATAACTCTTTCTTCCAAGCAGTGTTCCTGAAAATTTTATGTAATAAACAGAACAACCAACCCTCTCTATATACAGAAAAAAATGCATGCAGGTTGAACTGTCAAGCTCTCGTAATACCCAACTAACTTCTGGCAGGAGGAAATATTCTCTGAAATGCAAGTTTGCCTTAAAAACCAAATTCTACTCAAGACTTTCAGAACTCAAAATTCACCTCCTGTTTCTTAGTACTTTGTATCATGAAGACCTTAGATGAGAAAATCCAACTAAACAAATCCCAGGTCCTTTTCTCTGTGTTTGGAACAGACTCCAGAAGTTCTTTCAGGCTTGGTAGAGCATTGGTATCTGCAAGCTAACAAGACAGGCATTTAGTATAAGCTCCTTCTTTTCATTATGATTAAACAGAGACCTCTAGTGAAAACAAAACAATATTTCACCCTAATAGGTTGTAAACTAAAGACCAGTTTTTCTTCTGATATATAAACATTTGTATCCAGTTTGTGGGTAAGTTTGTCACTAAAAGCAAATACTAAAGAAGTTATACAATATTTGTATTTACCAACAATATCTGTAAGGTACATATATGAATAATCAATCAAACTCCTGAAAGAAAAACAAGCTGTCACAGTGCAGTATCTGCAGTGGGATAGGCACAGCTGGGGGTGTTCAGGCCATGTGAAATACAAACCCCCTCAAAATTAATTCGAATTTCACGTAGGGGCAAGCTCTACTCACACGTCACATCCCAACACTGGATGTGGAAGTTTCCATGCCTGGGTTTGTTGGTCAGAATCCCAAATGCACTTTAAAACCTGGATTCCTTGACCGGATAAACAATTCATTCTGCTTTACTGGTGACCCTGCGGCGCCGCTGCCCTCACCTCCGAGGGCAACCTCGCCTCCTTCTCCCCCGCAACTGCCCAGGCGCGCCCGGCCGGGGCTTCCCCGTCCATCGAGCCCTTTCACTGGGCTGTTTTCTCGCTCCCGAGGTAGAACAACGCGCTCCCGGCTCGGATAGGCACCCCGGGGCCGGGGCCAACGGCACTCACCAGCCCCTCGAAGTCCTTGGTGTCGCCGCCGGCGTAGCGGCCCGGGAAGGGCCTCAGCGCCGAGTCGCGCTTGTAGCTCTGCAGCGCGGCGGCGAAGAGGCTGCAGCGCAGGTCGGCGGCCAGCGGGTCCCTCCCCGCCGCCTCCCTGACGCGGGAGGCCGCCTCGCCGGGGCCGGGCGCTGGCATGCCCGGCGGGGAGCTGCCGAGCGGCGGCCGCTCGCAGAAGGCGAGAGCTTCCCGGTCCCCGGCTTCGCCCCGTTCTTCCGCTTCGCCGCCGGGACCGCGGCCTGGCCCCCGCCGCTCCGCCCCGCCGCCGGGCGCCCGCCCCGCTCCGCCGTTCGCCTGCCCCGCACGGCCGGGCCGCTGGGGCCGCGGCTGTGCCCCTGCCTCGGGGCCGGGGGAGAAGGGAGGCCCGGGGAAATGGCGCCTTCCCCTCGGGTGAACACCCGGAGAGGGTACGGGAGCGGGGTGGGTGTGTGGAAATGGCGCCTTCCCCTCAGGTAGAGGCCGGGAGAGGGTGGCGGGACTGGGGGGAATGGCACCTTCCCCTCAGCTAGAGGCCGGGAGGGGAGTACAGGGGGAGGCTGGCAGGGATGTGAGTTGCACCGTGGCCTTGTCAGATGGTTTGTGCCCCCTTCCCTGTACAGCATCCAAGGGGGTCCCAGGCCCTTGTTCTTGGCTGCTGGGGCACAGCAGATGCAAACTCCCAGCATGGGCACTGCGTTCATGCGAAACGGCAACACTGATTTGCTGGAACGGTCATCCGTTTTTGTGTAAAATTTGGTTTTATGTGGGTCTAATTTTAACAGGCTTATGTGATAGTAAGTCAGAAGCATGTAGATGCTGTTACAACTTAACAGCTCCCTTTATCATCCAAGCTCACAGCCTTGAAAAATTAATCCGGGTTTGTTTGAGTCTGGCATTGCAGAGTTAAGGGAGAGGAATTTACTTTTTAATTGAACGAGTGGTTTCACCAGGTTGCATCCACTACATTGCTTGAGATTGAGGTTCAGTCTTCTCTGAAATACTGGCACAGTGTTAGTGCTCTGAAGCATCTCTCCAGTTCCAAGATCTATTAGAAGTCACCGTTGGTAGGGCAGAGATATCCTTAACCCAAACTGTTGGTCTCGTGAGTGCAAGTTTCTTTGACCAATTTTGGTATAGCCATATTAGATGTCTTCTAACACTTTTATTGATTTCTTCATTCAGGAGGGATATTGCACATACCCCTGGAGTAACTGGTACAGGCACTGCACATGTAGACTATTGGCAGATGCTCGGAAAAATGTTGAGGTAATTTCTGGATACCTATTACTGGGCTCTCAATTCACAACTGGATCTCCAGAGATTGCTGGAGCTGCAATTTACAGCCTTGCTCATAGCAAACAGGAACACCAGCTGTATTAAATACTGTCCGAGGGCAAACTGGTATCGAAGCAAACAAAATGTGAACTTCATTCCCAAGTGCTGAGTTCATATTCTTACCCACTTGAACGGCTTGGGAGTATGAGGAGGTTTTGTAATTCGGGATAGAACCAGATAGATCGTAGACTGTGCACAGTTAGATTAAACTGAAAATTATTTCACAATGACATACATAAATCATATTGAGTTGTAGGTTTGTTTACTTGCTTTTTACCCTTTTATCAAAAATGCATCTTTCAAGAACAGACGCATGAACAAGCCTGCAATATGAGGCCATCAATTCTAGGACAGCACAAATACTTGCTTAGGTCTGACATATTTAATGGCAACATGTAGATGAAATGATTTTAATGGTGCCTTTGGTTTAGGTTACCAATGTACTAGATATCTATACATGTTTTTATTTTTAAAACATTATCCAGCCTGTGAGGACCATGCTATTTTGTCCTTCTTCACATATTGGTAATGGGTCATTAATGTGTAGGTTTTGAATGAAACCTTGAAATCTAGATTATGTCTGCTCTTTGTGAAACTTCTCAAACCGGTAGCAGTTTGTCTGAATGTCACAACCAGCACATTTCTAATTCCCCACTGTGTTTTGTGTTGTGGGCTTTCTTAGACCGGGTAGCCGTCACACTGTGCTTGGTCCAGAGGGTCTCCTGCACTCCAGCAGCATGGGTGGGTGACTTTTAAGAAGGGGTCTAGCACCACACAAAGCTTTTTCTCAGGAGTTATGTAAATTACCCAGACATGAAATGCAGCCAGAGAGATTCCTTTCCATATTTCTATATCATTGAGAGGATGTATTTTACTTTATCTGATGTGGTGCCTTATTCTGCTGTAAATATCTGATATCTCTGACAGGCTGTTGGCGACATCATTCAGTGATTCAGCTCGGGACATGTTTATTACCTTGCATTATATTAAATTGTTCTGTGCAATCCCTTTGAAAATCAGTCGTTGGCTGTCTAATTGGCTGATTTCATTCACTAATAAATCATTAGATGTAATAATTTTTGGTGCCTGTTAAAGAACAACATTGGAAGATGGTAGAGATATCTCAGCGCATTTGGGTGGAATTTTATGTTGCTGTTTTGAGCTCTTGAATTGGTGTAATTCCAATGCCCTCATTTAAAATATTGCTGTGGTAGAGTAGTGCTGCTGTTGATATCCCTGGGATGGGCAGACAGATAGCAAAAGGTGTGTTGGTCTCTGTTGAGGACTTTTATGTGGCAGGCAGCATGCTGTAGCTTTTATCTTGCAGCATGCCTGGGACTGTGATTTGAGGGCAGAGCGGGGCGTCCTGGCTTGCCATTAAGGAGTGGGGACAGGCAGTCGTCCCTGAGGAGAATCTAGAAGAGAAGGGTGGTGTGGTGAAAAGGGATGGGAGAGCTGGAGGGAAAAGGGTTTCTTTGGCATCGTGTCAGTTTTGGAGATGCTGAGCTCACCATGCCACCACTCTGTTACTATAAGAGTCTCTCAGAGAAGTGAAGGCCTTTTGTTGACTTGCCCTGGCATGAAGAAATTAACCCAAAGTAGATTTAAAACATCACTGGCATCATAATAGTTAATGGAGATTCTGAGAGCATTGATCCAAAACTGATGCCTACCTTTGGGATTTCAAATGGATGGTTCTCTCATTACAGCGAGCTCAGCTGCGTTAGGCAATGACAGATATTGATGAGATAACAAGTTTGCTGTATCAGTGTTGACTGAGGAGTGCTGTCTGGTCAAACTCATCTAACACTGGACTAAACCCCTGTTTTACAAAGCGGCTTCTAAGCCAGAGATGAAGTACTGAAAGTTTTTGCTGCGAGTGTTAAGGGAGATGCACCTTTGTGCGCTGGTGATACTGAACCTCACGCCTCTGTAGATGGGCCTGCAAAATGCATGAGGACAAGCCAGGATAAAGTTATCATTTGTTTGGAGGGGAAGCAGAACTCCCCCTCTGGGGTTAGCTACAGTAGATATGGCCTTCAAGCCTGGGCCTTGTGGAAGTCCCAGACCCAGAACATCTCATCACATCTCATCTCATCCCTCTCCCGACAGCATTAAGCCGCACCGCGTTGGCAGGGCTTTGGAGTCAGAATAAATGCAGAACAGCTGCTGGTGTAGCTTGCGCGTTGCTGCTTTTTAATTAAGTGCTGCGAGTTTGTGCTGTGGGCTGGAGGCTGAGATTCAAAAGCATCTTTCCAGTCCTCTTAAAAACAACCCAATGAGCAGCCTTTGAACAATACAGCACGCACCTCAGCATCTCCTAAGGACTGCATCCCACACCGCCAAGGTGGCTCGTGCACTTTTCCACCCCTGCTTGGAGTGCTTCTACCCTTCAATACGTGCAGGCAGGCAAGACTGGCTGGGGGCACTTGCAAGGAGCTCTCTTTTTTTTTTTTTTTTTTTTTTTTTTTTTTGTCTGATAAGTGCCCTTCAAATGTATTTCCCTTTTCCAATTTTATTTTTCTAGATAGAAAAGCTATCCTTGGTGGTTTGCTATGATTCAGTGCAAAGATGGTTTTGCAAAAGGGTCTGGAAGGGTCATATTGCCAATGAAGGAGTTTGAATAACGTAGCTGTACGGCTTCTTATGAAATTGAAGATCTGATTATTTAACATAGAGTGTAATAAAAATAGTTTCTGTTGTTGGTGGATGCATTTCAGCAAAGAAATGTGGCTTAAATGTCTTCATTTAATTCCAGTGTATTTAAAATTGATCTCATGGACCGGAAAAGAGATTTTTTTCCTCTTAACTAGGGTCTGTGAAGGAAATTAATACAGGGAAGGGAAAATAGAAATACAATACTACACTCAGTGAAACAAATGCTTATGACTGAGGAGTTCGTTACTTGCTAACACCACTGGAAAAGCCAGCTGTATAAGGTATGTTTTATTATAGAATTAACCTTGACCTAGGGTTCAAAGAGAAAGGTTAGTTTGAAATAAATCAGTAGTATGGTCAGGTCACTTCAAAGAGTCTAAAGCTGAGCTTGAAGATTACATGCTGTTTATGTGTATCCAGTTGGAATAGAACATATGGTAAAGATAATAGAAGTAAACTATTTATCTCTTCCCCCCACCCCCCCTTAGGATTTAACGCCTTTTTGTGCTTTGCGTATATATGCTGCAGGGGATGTTTTTGTCCTGAGATATTTATTGAAAACAGAAATGTGGAATAAAGCAACCTTCTTAAGTCAGCTGGGTAAAATAGTCTTGCCTTTAACATTTTTCCAATTGCTCAGATAAAAGTAAGAACTGTTTTGGAAATAGTCATATGAATGTGATGAATCATATTTCTCTGTTACTTGTCTGAGTGAATTCATATAGTCATAAGAAAATCAAAACAAAATGTGCTCAGCTCTCAATTATTGTAGTTCTAATCTAAAAACAGGACCAGATTTAATTGCTATGTGTGAGTTACATGGATTTAGGAGCTTCCCAAATACCAGATAATTCATGAAATGTTGCAGCAAAATAGGCACAAGTGTCCCAGCTAGCCTGGGGAGTGGGAAATTAGGTTGGTTAAGCAGTTTACCCAAAGCCACTCATAACCTGTAGCAAAACTCAGAAGCTAGTCCTCAAAGCTACGGTTGATTCCTACACTTTTTGGGGGAGAGGGCCAGAATGTCACCTCAGCTATCCCGAATGCCAGTCTGCTGCTTTAACCACAAGACCGACCCATATCTTTTGGCCCATGTTCCCTTATTCTTTTGCTCATTGTGCAGTAAGGAAGATAGCAGGACTTGAAAGGTGGCATGTCCACCAGTCACTTGAGTCCATGTTCAGCTTTGTGTAGATCATTATAAAGGGGGAATAAAGGAATTTTTTACTTCTTCCAGACACATGAGAGGCTACAAAGTGCTGTCAGTTAATTCCTACTAGATGGCAATTTTCCA